ATAAATGACAAAAATTATTTGGTTATTTAAATTTTAATATCACGCCAATAATAGTATTTAAAAATTAATAAAAAAAATTGTTAAAATAAATCAAAATTTTAAAATAATCAAGATTTATAGGGTATTCTCCTCTTTTCAAAATAGGTATATTAGCTTTTTGACTAAGAAATAAAATGTTAATTATTTTCTTGCGGAAAAAGCTGGACTTCTTATGACCACATCTTTGTTAATTTTTTTACACTGTTTTTTTTATATTATTTTTTTATATAACTTTTTTTTTATATTATTTTTTTTATATTATTTTTTTTTATATTATTTTCTTGTATATTTTGTTGTATAATCAAATTTTTGTTTTATTAGTTAAATATGATATATGTTTTATTATTGTTTATATATTTTTTTCAATATTAAAATTATTTTTCTTTTTAATATTATAAATATTTTCTTCTAATATAATAATTTTGTTTTTTTAATATCATAATTATTTTTTTTATTTTAATTTTTTTATTGTTAGTTTTTCTATTAGTTTAATACGATATTTATTTTATTATTGTTTATGTTTTTTTATCAAAATTATGATTATTTTTTTTTAATATTATAACAATTTTTTTCTAATATAACAAATTAGGTTTTTTAATATAAAATTTATTTTTTTATTTAATTTTTTTTAAAAAAATATTCTATTAGTTTAATATGATATTTGTTTTATTATTGTTTATATATTTTTTTTAATATTATTATTATTATTTTTTTTTAATATTATAAATATTTTCTTCTAATATAATAATATTGTTTTTTTAATATCATAATTATTTTTTTTATTTTAATTTTTTTATTGTTAGTTTTTCTATTAGTTTAATATGATATTTATTTTATTATTGTTTATGTTTTTTTTCCAAAATTATGATTATTTTTTTTTTAATATTATAACAATTTTTTTCTAATATAACAAATTAGTTTTTTTAATATAAAATTTATTTTTTTATTTAATTTGTTTTTAAAAATTTTCTATTAGTTTAATATGATATTTGTTTTGTTATATATTTTTTTCAATATTATAATTATATTTTTTTTTAATATTATAAATATTTTCTTCTAATTTAATAATTTTGTTTTTTTAATATCATAATTTTTTTTTTATTTTAATTTTTTAATTTTTTTATTATTAATTTCTTTGACACTAAGTTTTCTATTACTTTAATATCAAATTTGTTTTATTATTGTTTATATATTTTTTTCAATATTTTAATTATTTTTTTTAATATTGTATATATTTTCTTCTAATATAATAATTTTGTTTTTTTAATATCATAATTATTTTTTTTTTATTTTAATTTTTTTGTTGTTAGTTTTTCTATTAGTTTAATACGATATTTATTTTATTACTGTTTATGTTTTTTTTCAAAATTATGATTATTTTTTTTTTAGTATTATAACAAAATAAAATTTATTTATTTTGTTTAATTTTTTTTTAAAAATTTTCTATTAGTTTAATATGATATTTGGTTTATTATTCTTTATATATTTTTTTCAATATTATAATTTTTTTTTTTTTGATATTATAAATATTTTCTTCTAATATAATAATTTTGTTTTTTTAATATCATAATTATTTTTTTTATTTTAATTTTTTTATTATTAATTTCTTTAACACTAAGTTTTCTATTACTTTAATATCATATTTGTTTTATTATTGTTCATATTTTTTTTTTAATATTATAATTATTTTTTTCTTTTAAACTTACAAATATTATTTTATAATATAATTTTGTTTTTTTTAATATAATAATTTTTTGTTTTTATATCAAATTTCTTTATTAATTAATTTTTTTTACTTCATTTTATTTCATTTCAATTAATTGCAACTTTTTTTGAACCTATTTAATTAATTATGTAAAAATGAATGATTTTTTGGAATGATTTTAAGTTCAAATCTGAAACCTATTTTTCTACTGAACATTTGGGTTTTTGGCAATAATGAGTTAAAGGTTTTGAGGTTTGAAAAAGTTAGTAATAAAATTTTTTTTAGAGATAGGAATTCCGAATTTGATTGCTACGAATATATAGATTAATATTTTTATTTTTCGCATCCACTCCCAAAATACCTTATTTTTCTCTCAAAGTCGGATTTAACAATGAATTGTAGATAGTTCTCCAATTTATTCAGAAAATTTAAATCTGATCAGTTCAAGAATTTTCGGCAAACACTAATAAAAAGATATTAAGTTTGTTTCTATAATTTCACCTCGAACTAAAAATTTAATTCATAGTTTGAATTTCCCAGTCTAAATTGAGCAAAACTTAACCTGAACCGTTTCAAGTAGAGATTACAAATGATGGATGTTGGCAACATCGGAAACAGCTGCTAAAAAGTTGCACCTCACTAAACTTTATTTAATTTTTCGCACCAAATACTAGTAACTTGCGAAAAATTTAATAGCTAAATGGAAATTAATTAGTTTTCGTTTAATTTTTTTTTACTCAATTTAATAAACAAGATATTTCCTAAATAGGAAACGTCGACTTCGAAATAATTACACAACGTACAACTCAATTAGGTACAAGGAAAAAAGTCAAAAATGTTTAGAATTTACCAAAGTCCAGTGGCTTGAACCTAAAATAAGTATATATTTTATATACATATATGTAGTTCGATACTACTTGAAATACAAGTTGCCATTCTTAGTACGTATAATAAAAATAACCTCTAAAAAAGTGCTGTATAGTAGTGTAATGATTGTGAAAGTAACACTTTTGGCGACCTCTGATCGGGTGATTAAATTTTGATACATTAATTTTTCCCTATTACTTCAGATTTTTAACAACATCACTATACTTTCTTAAATCACACCGGAATCTACGTGATGGAAGATAAAAAAGTAAGATAATCAATGATAAATTATTAATAATAAGTTAGTAATAATAACAGCACTATTTTTTGTTTTAATACTTCACTGCAAGTAACATAATTATTATTCCTCAAATTTTTACAAAAAGCAATTTTATCATTGCCAATCAAATGTCATATGTAGCCATTGGTTTGAATAAGTATATGGTAGATACCAGTGACAAACTGTTTCTCGCAAGAGATGTGCCTCACTTAGACACTAAAAAGTCAGACAAACTTCAAATAACTTTAGGTAACCATACTTTTATTTTCCACAGGGAAACTATTAAATCTATAGGTGATGTCTTCAATGCACACAGTAATAATAAGGGAAAAACAATGACAGTGATAAAATAAATTAGATTAATAATAACTTCCAATTAGCCATATCTTTTTCGTCTGTCTTACACCCATGACTGTACGCCTATAAAATAGATCCTAACCTGTTAGCGTACCTAGCCATTAGATTGTGTCCTTTTAGTACGGCAATTGTATTGTACTGTGAGAGATAAACAATACTAATTAAAACGAGAGGTTGTTGACATGATTTTCGCTATCTAAAATATAAAACCCTTCAGTTATTACATGTGCCGTCAATTTAAACGTTTTTGCCTCCTTCTAAGTTTAAAACTCCACAATATATTCCTTCTGCTGGAATGTACTGCAAAAATGAAGCTGAATTAAATAAATATTTCTCAAAATTATTTTAAAATCCTCGCACTGTCGTCATAAAGTTACGAGGTAATGTCGTGTCATTATTTCCATCACACAACCGATTTAAGAGATATATATCTCGCTTGTAAGCAAATAATGATTTAACAGTTCAAAATAAAAATATATTAATATGGCATCAAAGTCTTACCACTACTATTATTAAATATATAATACTTCACGATACTTGTACTTGAAAAAGTTGGTAGCTCTGATATATAGCATTATTTTACCAACATGAAGCAAGCGTATACAAATACAAGTTATTATCTCACTCAAATGCTGACCGGACATGAATACTTTTGTAAGTATCTGTATCGCATGGGAAAGGCGGATCTATCCGACTGCAGTTATAGCGACGGAGACTGACACAGAGTACACCTTCTTTTATTATAATGCGTGGCTCACATTTAGAGTAAAGATAATAGCATAGATTGTAATAATAGCAATAAATCCCGAGAACATAATGGAAAAGATGAGAGCAAACCCAGAGAGCTGGCAAACGATAAAGTCATATATGATTTAAGTTCTCTAAATAAAGAAATTAGACCCTAAAAAAAAACCAGAAACTAGAATAATTAATAGTACAGACACCAAAAAAAATGCGGTGAAAAAATGGAATTCTGAACGCAGATTGAAAATCATAAGAGCATGGCTTGAAATGCCAACATAAAAGAGAGCCTCCTCGAAGTAATGCGAAAACGGTTCTGAGGGGGAATAATTCTTGCGTATAGGAGACTTAAAACTTGGAATTTTGTTATTTTTTGTGGTTAAAGTCCATTATAACAACACTCCAAGTTCGAACATACAAGTCAAGTACAGCTTTGTGTAAGTTGGCTAATGAACACTGACTCTGAGCTTCAAATTTGGTAGGGCACGAGTTCAACGAGACATCGTTTCTATCTTTATAATTGATTTTAAAAATCAGAAATAAATCGAATTATATAATATGATTAAAGTATTTTTTATTTTTTAGACTTTTATAAATACACTCTGCTTTTGTAATAAATATAGTCTTATTGTATTCAAAAATATGCGCTGTCCTTATTCATATGCAGTGTTTATAAAAGTTTATGTGCTGATTTTTAACCACACACTAGTTAAATTGACCTCATCATTTTGTTAGAGAAAATTGAGATCATGTGGTAAAAAAGATATGAAAACCAACATGTGGTATGGTTGAACCAACATGTAGTATAGAAATAAACAGGACACCGGCTCCTAACGTATCGGAGCACCCCGACTATATTTGGAACTAGCATGATGCGTTGAGTAAGAATATTTTGATCTGAGATTTAGTTAAGATCTGGTTAAATCAACCTGGTTTAATAATTTTTCCGAGTGTAAAGTAAGTAAAATGAAGTTTCAAAAGTATTATCTTAGTTTTTTATATCTTATAAAAATGACTAAAGCATCTGATTTTGTAAGACTGACCTGTCCTACTCATCAACATGTGCTCAAAATAAGACAATTCTAAGAAGAACTTTTCCTCTTACAGTTGCTATGCTCTCTGCTAGTCCTATTGATTTAACAACCTATCCATTTAATGTATTTTGTTTATTTCAAAATGTGTAGTCAATTAGCAGTTGAACTTAAATATGAAAATGATGATGAGAAATACCTCACGTCATAAGTCATGCTCCCAACTCAGGCAGTTCCAAGCGCAAATATGTTTTTACATTGTTGACGAGTTGACTGTTGCCTGTTGCAGGAAGCATCAAATTACAGTGGGTATTTTGGCTTTGAGTGAAGTGTGAGTACTGGAGCAGGCACATATGATATCTTGACTTGCGGTGCTGCCAGTGATAACATCGGTCGTTCTTCAAGTGGAATGCATTACGCATTGCTCCGCTTTTTAGCAATTGTGCAACTCTTGACGGTGGCTGCGTCAAAGTTGATGTTTCAAACGTTGCTGCTGGAAGAAACTTGAGAATGGGTTTTTATTTTTTTATCTTCACTTAGTAACCACTGCAATTTAAGTTTTTTTTTTAAATAAATTTCGAATATTTTCATTTTCTTTACTATATATACTTTTATATGTCGAACAGTTGCGCTCAAAGCAACAAGGAAGCCATATACATTGTTGATTACGTAGCGGTAATTGACAATGCGTGTCAACAAATGCGGCTTAAATTACAAACAAACGCGGCATAAGGAGGAACTGTAATTAATACACGATTAATCAATTTATCAAAAGCTTTTGATTTTATGATATTTTCCATAATAAAATTACTTTACACACACATACCAGGTTAAAAGCTAACACTATATGACCAAACATACCTAATTTGTACGCGTTATAATCCTATTACCAGCTGGACCAAGTATATAAGGTTCTTCCAAAGATCTCATTGTATTATAATACAATCGGGTATTAAAAATCGCTCTTGAACTAAACTTGTTCAGCATGTTTGCTAAAAAAACTTATTTTTACAAACTTAAAATCATAATCGTAAAGTGATCATATGTAATCAAGAAAAGAGAGAAAATTCTCTTTAAAGAGAATGAGGAGTCAGCCACACATGCACTATTAGAATACCCAGCACTAATGCACAAATGGAATAGACTCCTAGGAACACGGTTGCCACTTATGGTACTTTAGTACCAAAATTGGTACTTTTTTTTTTTTTTTTTCGTTTGGTACTCACGTTCAAAAAATGGTCCATTTTTGACGACCCAACTTTATTGTGGATATTTCCAATTAATGTTTTTTTTTAAATGCAACTTTGCACTATTTTATATTTTGTTCATTTATAACACTATGAAACCCACAGAACGAGAAAATAAAAAGGTCCAAAAAAATTTTGGACCTTTTTTTACAGAAATGGTACCTTTTTAAACCAATTTTGGTACAGAAAAAAATTTTCAAGTGGCAACCGTGCCTAGGAATGTCTACCCTTACGAAAGAGGCAATAAGACTATGTAAAGTATTTTTTATATAACTTTTTATTGACGTAATAGGGGTTAGAGACCCATTATAAACCTGGAAAGGGTACAATAGGCCCAACGATCGCAGTGCCATATCCCTTAACAATAATAATAATATGTAATCAATGAAATTAAGAACACCAAAATACATACTTAACAATGCCAAACAGATCGGTTGCACTGTTATATATTCCGAGAGTCAAGCAATTATAAAATCTTATCGTTACTAAATTTGAGTTACCACATGCTGTGTTTGATAATAATAAAACACCTAACAAATTTACAAACTTTGACCAAAACTGTGCTCAAATGATCTGAACCAACGTTTGAGACCAAAGTAGTTAGATGCAGTACTTACAAACGTCTTCTTGCTAAAACAAATGCCTTGATTATATAGTAAAGCTAATTCCAACAGATCGTTCACAAAAACCGCCAAATTGTTACCAGGATTCATAGTCGTAATTGAACCGAACTTTAATTAGTAACAAGTTTGTTACTGGATCATATTTCTTCATTAAGCATACTTAGACTTACCGATTTTGTCATAGGTAAACCGATATATTCCCTCCTAAATTCAAGTTAAGAACTAATATCAAACACGAAGTTATAATTTTTGATCTCTAACTTTTGACTTTAATTAGAAAAAAGGTTTTAAACTCTGAAAACTAAAACTAAAGTGACTAAAATTTATGATAAAAGCTGTGGATATTTTTGGGAATTGTTTTTATTAGAGAAATTTGTTGAAAGGAAATATGGCTTTATATGGCCGTCGTTAAACCTCTATTTATGCGATCACAGTATGGTGACCGGCTTTAGATAAATATTTGTAGTGCATAGTACTCATCAGAGCGTAGTGTAAATATAAACTCTATATTAGTTTTGCATAAAGGAGCACTCTACCTATTATGTCTAATATAATAAAAATGTAGCTTAGAACTACATCATAGTGAAGGGCTACTGAAAGCCTACACATACATTTTTAATCTTTTTAGTCTTAGTTAGAAAATATTTATCACATATTTTCCACTTTTAATTCCGGCAGACAATTCAATAGCGATTTTTCATCTAGAAATACTGTATGGATTTCCCATTAGCACAGAACTTAACCATAACCATATGTGTAGACTATTCCAAAATGTGACACATTTCTTTTCTCTAGTTTTTCTGTCACAGAAAGTAACAGACAATTACAAGGTAGATAAGTTGGTGAGACAAAGTGCTATAGATACTATTTCAAAACATGTGCAAGATCTGCGCATATTCCGGGAACTATGCAGACACCACTATGTAGCTTGGTTTGTGTATATGCTATGTTACCCTTTAACTTCTTTAAGTGAGGTTACTACATTTAATTTTTTTTTTTTGAACGCAAAATGCATCATCATTTCCATTTCTTCCAAGCATAAGATATCTTCCGGAAGAATTGCATTTTTATTTTACTTGGATTTTTTTAAATTCTATGTAAAATCAACAGTTTTTTACAGTGTAATGAAACCATGTAATTTTAGCTGAAAGTTAAATTATGGAACATTGGACGTTGACTGCTGTTGGCTTTTAAAATTTTTACTGTCATTGCTCCACAAATTATTTATTGCCTACTCCATGTTTTGTGTAGGAGAAAATTTTGAACATTAATTTCGTCATTTGGAGATATAGGCGTTATTATGTCCTCAATCTATTGACACTAAACTAAGACTAAAAAATTGTCACTAAGATTTAAGTCGCAGGAAATGTTTCTTTTTTAATATTTAATTGCTGTTGCGTTGTTCATGAGATAATTATTTAGATACTTCACAGATTAAACTTGATTTTCTTATAAATATTATTTTAATATATAATTCGATTAAAGCTTTTTAGAGAAACTATTGCATTGTACGAGGGTCACTATTTATATTTTAAGCTTAATAATGAAAAAATTAACTAAATAAGTCGAAGTATTCTTCTTTATGAGTAATATGATTTTGAAAGCCTTTTTTCCAATCTTTTTCAGACACCTCCAAAACATGCAACAACGGTTTCTGTTATAACGAAATCAGACTATTACGTTTGTATTCCATTTCGAATAACTTTTATTCTATAAAACTTAGACTCAAGGGCTTGTGGTAGCTTGTAGAGAGTATAAACAGCTGTTATTCCTATAAATTCCACGTAGTTGGCAATATCAGTTTGACAGATATGCCTCTGTGTAGTTGGTAACACCCTGTATGGTAACCCTGTATTGTTTTGTTGATTAGCAGTATGCATTGTACAAAAAATGGATCATGGACTACATGTACTATTAATTTAAATAGTATGAAATGCATAAATATTAATAAAATGACTATTTCTTGATGAATAAATACTTGACCCTGTAATAATGAACTATGTAAAGGGTGTTGAAGACTTCTCAAAATCAAATCAAACTTCACTTTATGTTTTAAAATAGATTTAATATTGTACTGTAAATGATAAGACAACATAATATGTTGATGGGTAGTCACTCTCGATATTTTTATTAAATCCAAAAAATATTAACCATATAGTAGCTATAAATTACTATATTGAAATACAATCTAAATATTTAGTTGAATTTTCATGCAGTGAAATGTCGAGGACCACTGACCTTTTGTGTTTGCTATATTCTTTTCGATCAACATACAGTCAATCTATACAATATATATGATAAATTATTATTAAATTTAAAAATGTTAAAATATTTTTACTTTCATTAAAAGTTTCCTGCTTATTAATTTATGCAGCAAACTCAGTACCGACGACGGTGCAATTTTATTGTGTCAACTCATGTGCACTGCTGCATACCGCGAACAGAATTTATGCCTCATCTGCACTTTGTGCAATCAACATCTGCGGTCAACAAATGCTGCATTCAGTGCTCAATTAAATCTCATTCAATTGGCATTGTCTGCGTAGTCAAGCTGTGCACTTGTCCCCCACTTATACACGGTTTTGGTGAATCAAAGTGCTTTGTAAATTGATCAACAAATACTTAAACTTTGCTCGTATCCATGTTGCTCGGTGTTTCTATATTTTTTTTCCAGAAATTAACAAAAAAAAGTTTTTTAGTCCGTCCGCACCATATACAATCATTTGACTTTCTAAAGTGTGTATGATATGAATGCACATGGGAAACTTCTTAATAGAATTATTAATATGAGAGATTTCAAGAATTGTCCAACATATAATTCTTTGGTTAAAGGTTAAGTAATTTGTTAATGATAGTGCATACAAATTGCTTGACCGATTAAGCGACCTGTCCACACATCGTAAAGTACGGAAATTGTAGATGAATGATAGAATCGGAGGAAAAGACCGGGAAATATTTTATATACATTATATATATATTGAATTGTTTAATATATTTTCATTTAGAGAAAAAGTTATTAAAAATAATTTATTGGTACTTGGTACATGTCTCAAAATATTATTAATAAATAAATATCGGGTGTTATTTTTAACCGCATGAGAACTATCGATATGGGTTACTATGGTTTGACAGCTGAAAAGGTCGAACTCTGTTGACATTTCCATTCAATAATGTTAACCAATTCATCATAAATCGCTTAACGCTAAAACAAAGCATCCAAGTTTTGGAAATCTACTTTGAAAAGAATAAATCTGTTAGCGAATCTCTTAGAGCTCTTCGTCCACCTTACAGTCAGTATAATCGGCCTAGTGAGCATGCAATTCGTGTAGTTATTGATCATTTTCGCACTAATTTTACTCTTCTCGATTCAAAGCCATCAATAAGATAAAGAAATATGCATACTGATGATAATACAGGGATAGGCGATTAAAGTATTACCAAGTACACATAGGTATATCTGTCTGTCTGATATTGCCAACTGCGTGAAATTCATACTGCTGTTATACATAGCTGTCTATATTGTTTACACACATTTGTGTCTAAGTTTTATAGAATAAAAGTTATTCGAAATGAAATTCAAACATAATAATGTTATATTTGGTTGGAAAATCACAATCACAACCAAACACCTCAAAGTGAATATCAAATAATATCATACCATAAATCGTTATAATAGTACAGGTAGCGTAGCCAATGGTCCAACACTAGACATGAAAATATTCCAGTATATTCCAAGTATTTAACAAATATTTCAAAATGAGCTGAAGTTAAAGCATCACAAGTTCCAAAAGGCACAAGATCTTAGGAAGAGCGAAGGAGTTGTTACGCTTACACGAAAGTGGTGAATTTTCAAACAATGTCTACTCAGATGACAAAAGTTTCCCCATTAAGAAATTCATGTACTCTCAAAATGATCGTATTCACTTAACTGAATGCACTACCGTTCACTGCCATTTAAGACTATGAATAGTCAATCGAAATAATTTTCTATCTGATGTAATGGATGGAAAACCGATGGACGCTCTCCAATCGTTTTCATCGAGTCTGACCTTGAGTCGATAGGACTTATTATCGGAAAAATGTTTTGGATGTTGCTTTAGAGCCATTGGCACGCAAAAATTTTGGTCGTAGCACATAAGCATTCCAACAAGACATAGCAGACAAGAATGGTAAAAAAATCATGATCCACACTTCATTTCGTTCTTACAATGGATTCGAATTTGAACTTGTTGAACCGTTGAACTATTCTATCTAGACCATTTTAGAGAGGTTGAGATCAAGGTGAGGACTAAAAAGTATGCCAGTATGTATGCGCTGAAGAAAGTCATTGTTCAGGAATGGGCCAAAAGATCACATTCATGTAGCATGCAACTCATTTTTTAACCGTTTGAAGGCCATAGTCAAGACAAAAGATGGCCGCATCAAACTAGAGTGAATGGATTCTAAAATTTTGATTGTTTCCACAAATTTTTGTAATTCGATAGAATAAAAAATGTTTTCACACAAAATAGATATGTTCGCTTGAATAGGTAAAACTTCAATCGCTTAACCCTGTCTAATATGTTTAATAAGCGACGTCCATTTGTTTGCCTATCAAGAACAAACTTGTCGCATTTTGAATACATACAATCATTTTTTGTATTTAAGTCAACTATACTTATAAATAATACAATAGTTATAATTATTTTTTGCCATTTATCCAACATTGTAGGAAAATTATTATTTCCTGTTGCTTCTATTTTCTGATTTTCTGCACTTCAACAATGATCCTCTCCATATTAAAATATGCGCGGTCATTTTCTACTAACCTATTCACTTGAAGTCATACTATAGACTTAACAGACCCATAACTACTTATACACTTCTAAACACAATCCAGCAACGCTCGTAAAACGTACATTGATAGCGCCTAATGTGAACAGGCTTTAATTATCAAAACTCGTTAAAGTAATTGTAATTCTACTTAGGTATACTTTTAGGCTGTACTGAAAATAAATGCTTTCGTAAAGCATATTTAGTTACTAAACTTGTTGGTAAAAGCACAGTTTAATCTGATATTTGTTCATGCATTAATCAGGTATATAAAGTGTGCAACTAATAAATTGATTGAATTTAATATATACTATTATTACTTACTGGCAAATACCTGATATATATATGAAGCGCTGCCTATAATTTTATGGAGTTGAAAAGAATTTTTTGATCCAGATAACAAAATTAACAAAATATGAATAATTTGTTAAAAAACTTGTTTCGCATTTCATCAAGCAAAAAAGAATAAGAAGTTCGTAGGCTACCTTTTGTGTCTTGCGTCCAAGCTACACTAACAGACCTATTCTGTGCACTTTATAAACTTGTCAAACATCGATACTTGTCAAAATTGACTGCTGTAAAGGTTTTGGTATTCTGTGACATAAATAAAAAGCTCTTTTCCTTGTTAGTTGTCAATACTACAAATGCTGTTGACAACTATAAAAATATGCTCTTTTCAAGCATTTTCTATTATTTGCATGCATGACAAATATTCTTAACTAAAATATACGCTCTTTACAAGCATATTTTTTATTGTTATTTGAATGCATGAAAAATGCTTTTGACAACTTAAAATATATGCTCTTTACAAGCATTTTTTACGAACAGTTACGAACAATTACGAACAGTTTTCTATAGAAAACACTTTAGACCACAGTGTGGTGAGAAGCACTAGGTTCTTGAGCTTTGAAATTTGTCAAGATGTGTGCAAAATACCAAAAAGCTTTCTGCTTTATAAAAATCAAAAATTTTATTAAATAATTTGACAAATCTGTCAAGTGCACAGAATAGGTCCGTATGTATTGCCAGATGAATTTTGACATTTCTAGTTCGAAAGTTTGGCATTTTCTAGCATAAATGACATCACCTTGTTTTCTGGATAGATTCTGGATTGTGTCTCTGCGAAAAAATGTAATTTAATAATAAACCTTTTTGTGCGATGATCAACAAGATTATACACAAAAGAATACTTCAATCAACTTAGTTCGACATTTGGTGATGAAACACCACATCCAGCAAGTGTGAAACGCTTGTTCAATGAATTCAAGCATGGACTCAGTTTTCTCCACGACGATCTTCTTCGTAAAGATCGGTCATAAACGGCTGTTGTACTAGTAAACATCGATGCAGTGCGAGAAATGATTGATATTGATTAGCATGTTATATATCGGGAGATAGAGACCTCCTTAGCTATTAGTGAGACCAACATAAATTCAAATTTACATATACATTTAGCTGTCAGAAAGGTAAAAAGAGGGCACGTGTTGATTGGTATAAGGAAATTATGAAAAAATATGGGCGAGGTATCTTAAAACACGTTCACGACATCATGACAGGTGGCAAATCATGAATCCACGCTTATGAGCCCATATAATAAATTTAATATATTTTTATTATTAAATTTATTTTTATATAATAAATTTAATGTATTTATTTAATTGACAGAATTGTCGTATAATAAATTTATTATATTTTTTAATGAATTTATTTTCATTCTGTATTTCTACTGGATTACAAAAGATTCTTGAGTCAAAATTATTAGTTTCTTCTTATTAGAATTAGTAGGAAAAAATCTGCTGTTGTATAGGCATACAAAATATATTCCAGCAATTCACTGTTTGGATCTTCCAAAGTAGGCAAAACCCGACAAAAACTTTTCGCGAACGGAGCAAATTCAAGTAAATGGTCGCATGTTTTTCCAGAACCACCGGTCATATTGCAACTGTACCACTTGAACAATTTGAAAGGATTAATTCTAACTGGTAGACTATTATTTATTTGACGGACATCTTCAGAGAATTAAGGAAAACCAACTGTCCAAACAAGATCATCTTCCATCACAACAATGCGAGCTCTCACAAAGCTCCTTTTTAAGCACTCAAATCGTCGAGTTTATGGTACATTCGCCTAACAATCACGACTTAGCATCCTATGACTTCTTCTTTTCATATTTATTTCAATATCTTTCAATAAGTTTTATTCTCAACTTATGATATAGCACATTATTTAAATTGACTTTAAAAATTCATAAAACTGATTCTCCTTACTATATCTTTATTCAATTTCATTTCAGAAAATTGAAAAAACTCGCACGATACGGTTTTGCTGTGCTGGCTATGAAGGGAATATTTCCATAAATGATACAGTCTGTAAGCCAGTATGTCGTGGTGGTTGCGGTCGTGGATTTTGCGCTATGCCCGATATCTGCAGTTGCGAGGCAGGTTATACTGGAAAGCATTGTACTCAACGTAAGTATTTTCGTAAAATTACTAGAAATGTAACTTACATAAATTATTTCTACCGATATATATACAACGTGAGATGAAAAAACTGCAACCAACTTCAGACTGCTGTCATTTCTAAACCGCTCGTCCCACAGCTGTCAGATTTATTCTAGTGACAGCTCATTATATTGTTTACAAGCGCACAAAAGCATTTTGGTGGGAATTTTTCAGAAAAAAAGTTATTTGTGATGAAATTCAAGCGTGATAGTGTGATTGCTTTGCATTTGGCTGGAAAACCACAAGTGGCTATCGTTAGAGCCCTCCAGCATTTAGAAGTGAATAAATGTTTTGTGTCTCGTACCATCGCTCGTTACCATGATACTGGTAGCGTAGCCCGACGTCAAGGAAGTGGACGAAAAAAAACAGCAACATCGGCAGAAATGGTTCGAAAAGTGAAAAAGCGAATTGAACGAAATCCGCGTCGCAGTGGACGAAAAATGGCTCGTGAGCTGAACATATCGCAATATGCCATTCGGCAAATATTGAAAAATGAGCTTGGACTAAAGCCATTCAAGTTCCAAAAAGTGCAAGATCTTACTGATGCGCAAAAAAAAGTTAGACTCGAAAAAGCTAAAGAGTTGTTTCGCTTGGCCGAAAGTGGTGAACTGCCGAATTTGGTTTTCTCCGATGAGAAACCATTCGTTATCCAGCAGTTTGTAAACAAACAAAATGATCGTGTTTACTTGCCAGAGAGGTCAGCTGAAAATTTGCAACTTCGGTTGGCCATCACAACTCAAAAGCCGGCCATGGTGATGGTGTGGGCCGCCATAACAGCCGATGGTCGCTCGCCGCTCGTATTCATCGACCGTGGTGTCAAATTAAATGCGCAAATCTATCGCGAAAATATTTTGGAGGGAGTTCTGAAGCCCTGGGCACGCAAACATTTCGGCCGCAGACCTTGGACATTCCAACAGGACTCAGCACCATCGCACTCAGCACGCGCCATCCAAGAATGGTTAAGAAATGAGGTTCCTCGCTTCATTTCCACCGCACAATGGCCACCAAAATCTCCGGATGCCAATCCGTTGGACTATTGTGCCTGGGGTATTTTGGAAAGCAAGGTTGGAACTAAAAAATACCAAAGTGTCGATCATCTCAAGCAAGCGCTTCGCCGAGAATGGGACAAAATACCGCAGAGCCACTTTCGGGCAGCGTGTGATGGTTTCATTGGCCGTTTGAAGGCCATAGTTCGTGCCAAAGGTGGCCAATTCGAACAAATCTAAACCGATTCTCAAATTTGATGTTATTTCCATTTTTTGCTTTCATTCAATAAAATTTAAAAAAAATGAAAAAATTATGGCGTTTTACTTTGTTGCAGTTTTTTCATCTCACCTTGTATATATATAATAGGCTGTCTACCTACAAGATTTAGAAACTTACCTTCGATTTTCACAATTTTTTTTTTAAACTGTTTCTAAAATTCTATATGAATACTTGACATAATCTATATATAATTTTAGGTAATACCAATAATTTCAATCTAATTGGTTTTTTTTCACTTATTGTAAGGTTTATAAAAGAATAATATTTTAAAATTTATATACAGGGTAGTACTAAAGTAAGACAAATTTAACGTAGAACAGAGTTATGGAAATAGAAGAAAATAGAAAATAGAAAAGAAATTATGAAATAAAGAGAGAAAGGAGACAGAAAGAAAAAAGAAAGAAAGGGAGTGATAAATAAGAGAGAAAGACAGCGAGAAGAAGAAAGAGACATATATATATATATATATATATATATATATAAATGTCTAGTAAGGACACTTTGATTAATTTAAACACCCTTTTATTAAAGAGTTTTACTTCAATAATTTGAGATTATAATAAAATTTCAATATTTTTTAATTAAATTATTTTATAATCTAAATTATTTTTCCTTATTTTTGAATAGGATGTGATCATGATCATTGGGGAAATGAGTGCAAAAATGAATGTGAGTGCCAAAATGGAGCAGCTTGTGACAACAAATCCGGAATGTGTCATTGTACTATTGGATGGTCAGGAGATTTGTAAGTAAAATAAATAAAACAAAAAAGAGTATCGATTCTTACTCTACCTTAAAATTAAAAAAAGGGTTTTTTTTTCTAAATACTAAAAAAACATTAACTTTTAATTTATATATTTATATTAAATTTCAGTATGAAAAATGTTTTGCATTACGAAAAAGAAATATATAATTTTATTGAATGTTTCAAATAATATTCGACCTATTCAAAGCTTAGTATATTTTGATATCCAAGTATATTTGAATACGAATAACAAACCAGGAATGCCCAACTATCTGAACTATCAATAGCAGTTGATTGGTTTTTGAGTAGATTGTCAGTAGACTATCAATAGTGTTACCTCTTTAAATAAAAATATAAATATATAAACTATATAAAAGAAAATAATATAAACTATATAAAATAAAATAACATAAACTACATAAATAAAAACTAAATACTAAATATGGATGACAAATATCTCGAATAACAAATTAGCTAATAAGCCCAACGTAACAGCTATTTTCTACTGATTAAAGACCATTTATATTTCTTCAAATCTCTCGAATTATACAGTTTAATATAATGAATAAGGCAATTTAAACGAAAACGTGGTACAGTTGGTATATTCAAATCTATTGTGAGTCTAACAAGAGTTGTCACAACCGTATAATTCATTATTTTAGTTTCTATCATAATCGTCGTTAATAGTGGCAAAAAATTGAATACTATTAACAATATAGACAGTATCATGAATACTTTTCTAGTATTACATCGAAACCTCTCTATATTTTATATATAAAACTAAAGATATATATATTAATAAAATAAAATATATATATATAAATCGGATTTGCTGTATGAGTAGCTTGAATTTTTTGAGTAGTTAAATATTTTCGAACATTTAAGCCGTTCGAGCCCAGTGTTTAATTTAAGTATACTCAGACCCATCCGTTCTACTCTGAACAATATCACCTATTTTTACTATATAATTAATATTTTCAGAGTACCGTCAGTAGTGGTTGTTAGAATGCAGTAATGTTAATCAATAAATAAAAAATTTAATTTAATCAATAAATCGAATAAAACTAGGCCGATTTATTCTCAGAACTGAGCAGTGGATTGGTTTTCTCTCTGAAATAGACTATATAAGCGATTCCGATATCAATAACAATTTACCAATCGCTGCATAGTTTAGAAGCGAAAAAAAACTCACCTAATTAATTTAACTTGATTGCATATTTTTAGGGATGAAAAAAATAATATTAGTTTTTGAATATACAATGAATGCGAGTTTTATATAATAAAAGAGTGGACTTCACGAGCTAACTCTGCCTTAAAATGAAAAGATTTACTTAACTCGCTACTAAATCCATATATGTCAATATAGCTTAACTCTTTAGATATCATACCCCCAAATCCGTTGTCAGTGGCACCTGTGAAATCAGAATCATATATGCTACTTTTATTTTTTAATATAATTTTAATTATTTTTTAATATAACACATGTTTTCTTCTAATGGTTATTTATGGTAGTTGTGAATTGCCCTGCCCAATTGGCACATATGGTGTTATGTGTCGCAAAGTATGCGATTGTCCCGATAAACGTTGTCATCCGCAAAATGGAGATTGTGATACTCTTAGCACAAATGTAGCACCAAATGCTACACATGCGATGATTGAAACTCTAAACTCAACAATTGTTAACATAACGCATAATTTGGATAGCATTGCCAAGAGCATTGGCAATATAGTAACTAGCAGCACTGAAGCAACACCGCTGATTGAATCCAATTTACCAGAAGAAACATCTGCTAAATCCATGCCTGAAGTTATTGTCATTAAGCAAGATGAAACACACACACCCAAAATAATTGTGCATCCATCGAGTAATGCAGCTGTACAATCTCCAGAAGTAATACATGTAATATCACCTGATTTAGCCAGTTTAGCCGGGGTCTCCGGAAATACAGAAACAAAATTGCACGAAACACACAAAACAACCACCGAACATGATACAATTATGTTAATGTCAATCTTAATTATTTTGCTAATAATTATAATAGCTATTGCTATAGTATTCTTGTACTTCTATCGCCGCTATCACTGGCAAAAGGAACATGTTGAAGCCGCCTTAGCCGCACGTCAATCCACGCATGTTGCTAAAAACGATGTACCCACGCTGAACGAGACAAGCATAACAAGTAAAAATTTTTTAAAACCTTTACCCGACTTGCCGGCTTTCACACAAATGGTACGCAATAAAATCGAGGGTATGTAAGTGTCGAGAAATCTTAAAAACCAAAATTAAATAAATATTATACAATAAAATTTCTTTAATTTTTGGTTAATAAATTTTCATGAATTTCCTAACATACTTCTTGTTCTCACATCTCACAAAAGGTCCCGATTATTATGACCCACCGAGCAGTAATTCGTCCACTAAGGCACCATCTTATACTTACGCGCGCAAAGAATCACTTTATTCTGTAGTCGCACCAAAGTCGCGTAAAGGTAGCCCAGATTCGCATTTATATGACGAAATACGATATCATCAATCCGCACAGCATAACCAACAGCTACAGCTAACACCACTAAGCGGGCATTATGATGTGCACCAGCAACCTATTCCCCATCACGTTTCACATTTGGTAATACCACCAACCAAAAGTCCGCAATATCTGCAAGTACCAGGGATGTCATATGCATCGCACAAAGTTGCGCTTATCTAGGCTAACTGCACATATTATTGTTTAACTATATTATAGATATTTACACGAAAAGAAAGGCAAGAGAAACGACGATGAGGATAACAAACTTACAAGCTATATACTAAGTTTATGATCAGTTTTAGTGATAATTATTTAAAATATAATGTTTACTATACAAACATTTTCATAATCATACATATTATTAGGTTAACAATAGGTTAGACAAGTTCAAGATATAGACTTCTTGAACCTAGCAGAATTACACATAAGGAAAAATTTGATAATTAATTTTTGCGTTCAATCATCAATTTTAATGAAACATTTTGTTTATGTACAATATTAATTGAATTTTTTTGATCTTAACTTTTTTTAACGTTACTGCCATACATAATATTATGTGCCATAATTACAACAAAAAAAAAATCCCTTCGAAATAGTTTATTTACACTGAAAATAAAATCAATTCTATGAAAACTTTTCTAATGTATAAAATATATATAAGATATGACATAATAAAACATAATAAACATTCAATTTAAACATTCAACTTTTTTATATATCATATAAATATAAATATATCATTTAAGTATAAGTTCAGTTAAACTTCTCTATAGCGAACATCCCTATAACGAATTCCTCTCTATAACGAAGTTTTGTTGAAGACACAGCAATTTTTTATATTTTTGCATATATTTGAGTCTCTCTATAACGAACCTATCTATAGCAAACCTCTCTAGAACCTCTCTATGACCAATTTCTCTCTATAGCGAACCTGTCTATAGCGAATCTCTCTATTACGATTTCTTCTCTATAACGAAGTCTTGTTGAAGACACAGCGTTTTTTTTATTTTTTCATGTATTTGAACGCCTCTATAGCGAAATTCTCTATAGCAAACCTCTCTAGAACCTCTCTATAACAAATTTCTCTCTATAACGAACCTGTTTATAACGAATCTCTCTATAACGATTTCTTCTCTATAACGAAGTTTTGTTGAAAACACAGCGTTTTTTTATATTTTTTCATATATTTGAACGTCCCTATAGCGAAACTCTCTATAGCAAACCTTTCTATAGCGAACCTTACTATAACGAATTCTTTTCTGTAACACGAAGTTTTGTTGAAGACACAGCGATTTTTTATATATTTTCATGTATTTGAACCTCTCTATAGTGAACCTCTCTATAACGAAGCTTACTACAGCGAACTTCTTTAGAACCTCTCTATAACAAACTCCTCTCTATAACGAACTTTTCTATAGCGAACATCCCTATAACGCATTCCTCTCTATAACGAACCTTTCTATAGCGAACCTCTCTATAACGCATTCCTCTCTATAATGAAGTTTTGTGGAAGACACAGCGATTTTTTATATTATATATTTAAGCCACTCTATATATAACCTCTCTATAGCTAGTTCCTCTCTATAAGGAAGGTATTTCAGATGGGTAAACAGATTTTTGCATATAAAAAAGCCTCTCTATAACAAATTTACTAAAATGGAAGTTAAATACTCCACTTACACGTTTTAACTTATGAGAAACTTCTTTGCAAGCTGAATCCTACTCGATATGAGCTAGTGGATATGTTATTCAGTTTATAATAAGATAGGGAGTTTTTTGGCCCGCAAGTGGAATGATGAAGGGTGGTGGAACGTCATGTGCATTTGCTAAAAGTAAAAATTTTTTTTTCTTATCATCGAAAATGTTATAACTATAGTTTATCTTTGTCCTCTCAAACATTAGTATTCTCCTTTTTTGTTTACTGAAACGAATAGGTTTCATTTATTGATCACCATATGATCAGCCTAACTTATACCATGTTTCCACTGCTTACTTAATAAGTAACTTAAGTAATATTTTTATTGACATGAATTACTTATTGCATGTGAAAGAGTTTTAATGTGTCAGAAAGCTATTTGAAAATTCTACGACAGCTTCTGTTGTTTAAATAAAGTACACTTAGTAATATATCACATAAGAAATAAAATATATAATTGATATATTAAAGTATTATACTTACTTACTTAATGTTGTCTTCTTCTCGTGGAGTATAGGGCCTCTGCCATAGATCTAAACCTAACTCTATAGGGTGCTTCGCGGCACATATTATTTCAGTTATAATTTGCATTATGAAGTTTTCTGTGTATAGTTCTGCGCCATATTTGTGCTGGTACGCTAGGCTTTCTAGAACCTGTTAAATTATATATATACGTTTCCATTGGCTTCGTTCGACCAGTTAACTTACAGGAGATTCAAGTGATTCAAGCAATCTCAAGTAAATTAACTGGATAATTGGAATATCACCAGTTATCCAGTTATATAACGATCTAGAGCCATAAATAACGATTAATTTTTTCATGAGTGGATAATAATGCTATAAACGAAGAGAAGAAGAAATCTTTAACATATCTGCAATAAAAAATTTTGTTGAAAGATGTAATCTATTTAATGAAACTAAACTAATTGTCAGCTATACTAATGATAAAACCATTGCACCATGCAATTCTACTCTATTTTTTCTGATTTCATTCTTCGTTTTCTTCGTTTTGTTGTATCTGAAACTTTGTTTCCAGATATTATATCCAATTCACACCACAAACTTAAGGACTTCTGCAGATGAATGCAATAAATCCTAACAGTTAATGGCGAAGAATGATTGTTCTTTACAATTCTACTATATGCAAAACTACAGTTCACAGGACCCTATACAGAACCACATATAAAACGGAAGTACACTATTATTCTTATGAAATGTGCCACTGCTACCGTTGGGTCTATTGTGCACAAGTACACCATATGCAGACCCAAAATATTCTAGTTCAACTTGTTCTTAACTAAATATAAAGATTGATGACTGCTTGATGACTGATGACCATAACAATACTCATACTATGTTTGTGTTTATGTTCTCAAAGTTATGATAGATATTGTGAAAATACTATAATTCAAGACCTGTATTGGATTCTCCATATGATTTGAATAGACTAAGAAGGCTCACAGAAAGCATTGATAAAAAAGAATAGACTTATGTGACGTGATGTGATTCGTGACCTCATACTAAACAAAACATACTTTATTTCTTCATGGCGTTACAAGCAGCTCAAAGAACTTAACATACTCTTTCATTTTGTATGTAGATATCATACTAATTTTATTTTTTTTTAAATAGTAGGCGAACTTTTGAGCATAATTAGTTTTTTGGAAATAAAAATTTTTATTAATTCATTTGTAAAAAAATTTGATTCAACAATGTTTAAAAATGTTTTGGATGTAAGCAAAATTTCAGTGTATATTTTTTAGTAAATTTAATTAGTCTTATATTTTGATATTTAAAACTACGTTTATCATAATCTAATCTTCAAAAATAAAAAAAAATGAGTAAAACTATTAAGCAGATGGCCCAAATGGCGAAACAAATAACATCCAAACAATGTAAGTTTTTTATTCACTCATTTAAAAGTAATCTTAACTTTCATCAATACTGATAGTCACTGAGAAAATGCGGGACATTATTTATTCTAAAAACAAGATTAGCAAAGATCAATTTGCAGAACTTAAAAAAGGTGAGTTTGTCTTTTGCAGTACTTTAAAAAATGGTTCTTTATCACAAACTTATAATCATATGCTATTATATATAGTTAAGTATATAATAAAATAGACTAGGATGGAGAGAGATCATTTTTATAGATCATATACGACAGCATAAGCTAGTCCAATTCCTTGAATAGATAATCTTCAATCAAATATGGCATTCATACAGTATTTGAGTTCACTTAAAGTTATATACAGTACTACAAATCTTTTACGTTTAATCTTACGAAAGAATTGTGTTGCGAGGTTCTCCAGAACCTAAAACGCAATATATGCCTGAGAGGTATATAGTTATCTATATAAACGCAATGCAATACCATACCTAAAGTGTTCACTTCACAACGTTTCGTACATTTTTTCGCACTTTATCCAAAGCATTTTAAAAGTTTATTTTTAATAAAAGTAGTCATATAAATAATTCCATTGAATATATTTAATGCATTTGTTTCAGAAATGTAATAATTTAAGCAAAATAAAATCTTCTCAGCTTATGTTCTTTACAAATATTTATGCTATATATTCGGTATAGAAACGTCTAAAACTGGGTCTATTATTACAACACGTTTTTGTAATGTATATATCATAGTGATAGTGATATATATCACTATATATATATCATAGTGATAACTATGACTATATATCTTAGTGATAAAACATTTTTTAACATATACTTTGTATTATGATTTATTGTATTATTTTTATATAGTAGTAGCAGTTAAATCGAATCAGGAATCCGAGTTCAAAGATCAACCAAGTACGCCAATTCCTGCGTCTGTTCATGCAGTTCAGAAACCAAACGACTCATCTAAAGCATACGCCGGATTTAAGGAAAGGGCACAAGAATTAGACGAAAAAAGATCAAAGTCTTCTCGAGAACAGATTGAGTTTCAAGTAAAATTCATTCAGATATTACATTTTCCAGTTAAATAAATAAATCCTTTTCTGTTAAAATTTTTCCAGACTCTTCTGAAACCATAGGACACCATTATTAAGCAACGACATCTGCACAGCATCTGGTAAATTAACTTCATTTACACATAGAAAATAATATATTTAACATTTTGACGTGTTTGAAGCTTAATTTACATTCAGTAGTAGTATTCAGACATGTTACTTAATTCGGTAACTTGGTAAAGTGATAAATGTTTTTAAGAACTATATTAACAATATTATAGCACATTCACACTGTCTCATTTATCCAGTTTAGCTCATTAAGTCCGTCAATGGGTCTAATTTACCATACAAAAAGTTTTCATATAAATGAGCTCATTATAAATAAATCAGCTGATTTAAAGCGAAAAATATCGAATGAAACCCTTAAAAATAAATTTCCCACAAGAGAAATGATCAAAATTTAAAATATTTGTCATACGTTTTATACATAAAACGTGCCGTTAAGGTACGTATTTTTCAAAAACTTTGTTTTTGTTTATTGAATATGTATTAGATATATAAAATATATGTATATAAATTATGTTATAGATCAATTATTTATTTCTTTTTTTTTTTTTTGTGTGAGATATTATTAAGTGAAGTTTATTTATTTCAGATGGATAGCCACGGTACATTGCGCTACATTTCCTATTCACTATTTCACACATATTATATATAACACCTATTTTTTAAATCTACCGCGTTTTCCATTTTAAAGGAATTATTTCACATACTACCGTAATTTTTCTCTTACAATTAATATGTAAACTAATAAACGCTCTTTTATAGCTTTTTTGACATATAAAACCCACATCAACTGCATAAATGAGCTCATTATAATGTGAACGCTCAGCTTTTGAACTCGTTAACATATATGAGTAAGTGTCGGCAGATTTGTTTTAAAGCTCTATTTTAAAGAATAATAAATAAAGAACTTTTAAAAAAATTAAAAAATTAAATGAAATAACTAGATTTACTTTAATTCAAAAAATTTATTTTCCATTTTTTCTTGCTCCTCCCATGCTTATTGTGCAACAAAATAAACAAAAACAAAATCAGCTGCTTTGACAGTTTAGAATTAAAAATTTGTGTTTGAATATTATTCATTTTCACACTTTACCGGATACCGAGTAATATCTTAATATACCTAATGTTTGCTCGAATCAAAGCGATCAAACAATTTACTTAAATATGAGCTGTCAATTCTTTTAGACATTAACTGAAGAAATACTTCACATGAATATTTAAATTAAATCTTTTAATCTAATATATTTTATTGCTAATCATTGCTTGGTTATAGGTTCCACAATGCCCCTCCTAGCGGTGAGCCAGAACAAAGATACGACACGAACATAATAAGGACACGATACCTGGATGAAAACGATAGACGAAATGTGAACGAAATGCGAATAGTAGCATACTTAACGATAATTTGCCATAACTTCCGTGGTAACACTGTCAAGCCATAATGTACCATAGCACTACACATTGTGTCGTACGTTATTGGTGGAGACACAACACAGTACACGTCTACAGCTGCTATTTTATTGTAGGGCTTTACAATGGTTGCGCTGCTATCGTCGTGATTTACAAAGCACTCAATGATTCAGCAGCAAGTGTGAAATCTTGTTAAATTATTGAAATAACGACTTGTCTTGGCAGTTAGTACGTTGCAGTGGTGCAAACATTATAGTCGCAGATATAGTGGCGTACGTGTCAGCCGCTGCGTCATGGGGAAGGGCTATGGCGCTGGTACTGCGACAATTATCAGAAAACGCTATAGCGCTGATACTACGGCAGTCATCGGGGAGGGTTATGACGTTGGTGTTACGATAGTCACCGGGGACGATTATGGCACTGATACTACAGCAGTCATCGGGGAGGGTTATGACGCTGTTGTTACGGCAGTTACCGGAGACGATTATAGCACTGATACTACAGCAGTCATCGGGGAGGATTGTGACGCTGGTGTTACGGCAATCATTGGGGAGGGCTATGACGCTGGTGCTGCTGAAATCATTTGGGAATGGTATGGCGCAGGTACTGCTACATTTATTGGGGAAGGCTGTAGCTCTGGTACTGCTCCTATTATTTGAGAAGGGTGTGGCGCTGGTACTGCAACTTTTATCGGGGAAGGCTATGGCGTTGATACTGCTGCAGTCATTTGGGAAGGGTATGTCGCTGGTACCACGACAGTCATCGGGGAGGACACTATTACTGCTGCATTCACGTGGGAAGACTATGGCACAGATATTGCTACAGTCATTCAGGAAGAATATAGCGCTGGTACTGTTACAGTCATTCGGGAAGGGTATGACGCTGGTACTACGGCACTCATCATTACTCAGTCGTCGGAGAAGGCTGTGGTGCTGGTACTGCGGCAGTCATCGGGTAGGACTATGATGCTGATACTACGGCAGTCATCGGGGAGGGTTATGGAGCTGGTACTGCTGTAACCATTTAGGAAGGGTATGGCGCTGGTACTACAGCAGTCATCGGGGAGGGATATGGTGCTGCTAGTCAGTCATCGCAGAAGGCTATGGCGCTGTTATTGTTGTAGTCATCGGAGGGAAAGTGCTGTAATATTTTGCAATATTGAATTGATATCATTTGTAAAAAATAATATAACAAATAATGATATTGTTGTAGTCATGACAAACGCTTCTATTCTTCTTCTGTTAAAAAGGCCTGGCTGAAATCACTAACGCGACGTTAAACTTGAATATCTGTAATGAGTGACTTTCCATTGACGCTAGTTTGACGTTTGATAATCTGTAAACTGTCCCAAGATCATATTGGCTGCTGCACAAATCGAATTGGCTACAAAGTGGCGTCTTAGGAAGAGATAATACTACTACAACAGACTTTTTTTAAAGTTAAAACGGGAGAAGTCGTTAGGATTTTCATTTACTCTTCTTGTAATCCAACTGAATATCAACCATTGCAATGATTGCTGAGGCTGCTATGGATCGAAACTACATCAAATAGATGTTAATCAATTTGCTAAACATGCAATCGTTGTCTAGGCGTTAGGATTTATATAAATCCGTACCGTTGCAACTAATACTGACGAAGCGCGTCTTGCCATAGTAAACCATCTGGCCGTGCCGAGACAAACCAAGTGCTGTTCGTCTGGTGTGCGACTCTATAGGAGGTTAGTTTATTATCTGTCGCTATATTCGTAATGCATTACATTTTTTTTGCAGTCTATTTGGGTTATGTAGGGATCGCTATTATTAAGTGTTTGCACGGCTAATTTTAAACAATATCCGTGTGAGCCACCATCTAATATTATACTTTGATTGTTTTAGTAATGCAAACACAATGGCTTACAAAGTGCATACTTACTCTATGGGTTGTTTGCCGGAACAATGGACCATGGCCAGATGTAGCAAGTGACTTATGCCCATAAAATATGACAATTAGCTGTGGGAAGCAGACGTGGCGGGTTTTAGAAACAACAAGAACGAGTGTACTAAAACTTCTCCATAGCCAGAATATGAGTTTTTCTTGTCTTATATTTAGTTTGTTAAATTTTTTACATGTATTCACTGATAGAAACACAAAACAAAAAATTTATAAATTGTGTTAATCACCCTATACAATCCAAATCAACTAAATTATTCTAAATGATAAGAAAATAATCGAAAAACTATCAACTCAATGTTGAAATATAAGAAATTTCAGCGCAATTCAATTGTAGTGTATTGGGAAACTTTAAATAAAATTTTTTGTCAGTTTTAAATTCAAAGCGAAACATATAGTACAAAAACCAATCCACTAGCTGACAACCACGACAATGTTTTCGAAACCCACAACAGTATTGAAATTGTTCAGCATCATTTTAGCACACTATCTAATGGAAGTGACAAGTTTGGAAAATAAACTAATATTTGGTGACATTTTCGAAGATTCCGTACGTAGTCTGTCACTACAGAATAAGCGTTATGAACATTTATGCCGACGTGAAACGCCGTAAGTCATGCCACACACATTTGTTACAGATCAAAAATAATAAATAATTACTCTTTCAGGGCGATATTTTTTCAAACGCAGAAAAATGAACTCGTACGAGGCAATGGTTCCACTATTTACTATCATCTCATTGATGTGTGCTGTGAGGGCTATATACGATCTAAACGTAATTTACAAAAATGTGTACCGGACTGTTCGGCGGTCTCTCCCAATAATTGTCACAATGGCTTTTGTCGCGCACCAAACAATTGCGTTTGCTTCGATGAATTCGTACGCAACGATATTGGAGAGTGTGTGCACACTTGCCCCATAAGCTGTCAACATGGACGTTGCTACTTAAATGGTACATGTGCTTGTAATCCTGGGTTTCAGCTAGACACTCAAACACGTAAGTTCTGTAGACCCACTTGTACTGTGCCATGTGGCAATCATCAAATATGCACTGCCAGCAATATGTGTGTTTGCAAGGATGGCTATAAAATGTCTGATAGTTTGGGTTGTCAGCCGATTTGTACTCCAGATTGTGGTCATGGCAAATGCGTAGGACCAAATAAGTGTGAATGCTTTCCGGGATATATGAAACGATATCAACGCAACGTCTGTGAAGCTGACTGCGATCTGTAAGTAAATATGATCTTATATACAAATCATATGAAATATTAAGAAGTATATAGAAAGCTGATGTTATACACGTAATTTACTATTAAAGTATTTTTTTTGATCTTCCTTTTATTTTTCAATATAAAGCCGTATTCCATCAGGAACATAGACTATATACATAGAATCGCCAGGTATTTCTATTTAATGCTAATAATCTTAATTCATTAAATGATTTGCTAGTTTTATGCCGCATAATTCTTCTTGAAGTGGTACGAGGCCTGCCAGATCTTCGATTGCCTTGAGGGTTCCATTGTAGGGCATTCAATCATTCTCATAAATGTCTTCCGCGTGATTGCATGGAAGTTAATAACTGCGTACTTTAATCTCAATATTCTAAAAGTTTGGTACAATCGATTTCGAAACAATCTATATTGAAAAGTAAAAAATTATTTTAATCTCAGATATTTGCTATTGTCAAATTGAAGGTAAGGTAGGAAAGGTATTTCTAACTATTGATATGTGCACTAAAATTGGCAGGGACCAAAGTGTCTAGTATAATTAAATAAAACACACGAAAAAATTTTGAATCAATTAATATTTATAATGTCACATTTAAAGGTCTCTGGAGAGCAATACAGCTTCGCTAACATTTGATCTAATCATCTACACATTCTTTATAAATTCTTAGAGGTATGCCCTGCAATTCTTTATGTGAATTCTCCATGTCAAATGCTCTAAACTTATTATTTAAACACTTACCACTTAATTGTGATTTGATATCTGATAAAAACGGTCCTATGCTCCTCCTAGGAGTTAAAGGATTTAATATATATATATATATATATATATAGATACTTAACTATGCAATACACATTATTAATTAAAAAAAATTTTTTTAGTAAATGCGAGAATGGTTTTTGTGAATCTCGGTACAAATGTCAATGTCGAGATGGCTACAAATATGACAGCAATACAACTAGTTGCCTTCCGGACTGTAAAGATGAGTGCCAAAATGGAGTTTGCGTGGCACCTGGTGTTTGTAAGTGCTTTGAAGGATATACACTCAGCGGCAGCACTTGTATACCAGTGTGCAAAGGGTAATATAAATTTTATATTTTTGATTTTTTTATTAAAAATAATGAAATCAATCAAATCAAATTTAGTGGATGTGGTCTTTATGGAAAATGTTTTGAACCAAATATATGTGGTTGTGGATCGCCTGCACAACTATGCATTTTCGGTACTTGTACAGCTAAAGGAACGTGTGTATGTTCTAAAGGCTTGACCAGATTCATTGACAAATGTGTTGAATTTACAAACGTTGAAGGCCTGCTAAATAATTATGAGCAAAGGGAATATTATAACCAGCAACTTACATATCAATTTGAAGGGCTAATTGGTAGAATGTTTAAATATTAAGGAAATGACTTTAAAATATACTCTGCGTAAGCATCTGCAAAATGAACTGAATTACTCTGTTACCTTGTTAAATTATATGTATTAACATTTTCAATAAGAATTTATGGAACAATAAATCTCATTGCTTCAAAAATGCTACAAATATCTATATAATATATGAAATGGGAGCAAAGGTATTTTCTCATGTGTCAAACTTAGCAGAGGCTTTCTAAAATCGAGTTTACTGTAAACATTTTTAAGTTAAGAATGCTGTAGTTACAAAGACTATAGAATACTTCATCTTTGGTATATCAATAGCACAACGGTTCTGTGCTATATTTATAACACGGGGGTTCTGTGCCCATTACTGGCATAAAACATGCCAGATTACTTTAAAGAGCAGGTACTAACATACCAGATTAAAAAGTTTCGAATGTGTCAATAATCAGTTATAATCTCTTTAGAAATACAAACTTCAATGTACTTGCATAAACAGAATCTACCATCTATACCCTATTGGAGTGAATATATTAGAGATTAGACTCTTTACAAAGTACACTATGATCAGCCTCTTAACATGTTAATATGTAGTTTCACTTTGACGACTAAACTTATAAAACTTCAATTTAGAAAAGTATCCAAAAAAATTTAGAAAAGTATAGAAAGATTATATGTTAATATATAGTAACTCTTATATCACACTGCTTTCTAAGTGGTTCCCCAATTAAACTTAACATTATGCAGAAGTTATCATATTACAAAATAACTACTGAACTTGACCTCTAAATCTCTTAAAAATTATATCGACACTACGGTAATAAATTAAGGATATATTTTGAAGTTTATGACAACTTCTGGTATTGCAAAGGTTTTACGCTTTCCCAAACATTTGTAGGTTATATTCGAAACTACGTTAATTTTTTATAAAGGATTTCCAAAATGTCAAATGTCTTACAAATCTTTATCTAAAAAATTTTAAAATAATATATTTGTATATTAAAATATATATTTTAATTAAATATTTGTTATACGATACAAAATTTGCTGAAAACAAAATAAAGTCGTTTCATACGTAATAAATTTTAATAAATTTTTATTTAAAGTTAATGATATCGGCAACGTTTTAAATTTTTATAAAAAAAATTATAACTTAAAAAAAATTTTAATTTAAAAACAATTTTAGTTGAATAAAGTAAGAAAAATATAAAATTTAGACTGGAACACATGTTTGACGTCCTTTAATGCCAGATTTAATATAACCTGGTTTACATACACAGAAGTTCGGTTGAGTGCAATAACCATTGGGACAGCCCTGTGCACAATGTGGCTTACAAACGTTCTTTTGCTGCTCATCCAATATATAGCCAGGATTGCAAGCACAAGTATTAGCACCATCACACACGCCATTCAAACAAGGTAGTTCACAATGAGGTACACAGTTAGCACCAGAACGATCCAATTCGAAACCATTAGGACATTCGCATACATCAGGAGCTGCACAGCGCCCTTTATTGCAACCACTTAACAAGAACAAAGGAAAAAAATTTGAAAAATATATTTTTTGAAAACTAAGTGAGATTTTAACTTACAGTGCACACACAGGCTCACAAATACCAGCCACTTTTAAGTAGCCTGTGTTGCAACTACAGAATCCAGGTGCTGTACAATGTCCATTTTCACAGTTATCACATTTGGGTTCACAAGCGCCAGCTGCAGTTAAACGGAAACCTTCAAAGCAATCACATTTATTAGGCCCAACACAAGTTCCATGTTGACATGCTGGTTCGCATTTGGGTATGCAAAATTTGCGATTAACTGGTTCGATAGTATAACCTGGCTTGCATTTACATTCGTTATCTGATTCACAGATGCCATTACCACAACCAATTGGGCAAGTGGATATACACTTATCATCATAGTTGCGCACATGTCCTGGCATGCAAACGCAAGTATTTGGGGCAGTGCAAATTCCATTCGGACAGTCATCTTTACAAATTGGATCGCAACGTTTGTACACATGCGGATTACGTTCATACCCATCACAGCATATTTGAATTTTACTCATAGCTGGTGTAGTGCCATTGCCAACTGGAATTCTACGATCATCAGACACCAATGAAGATGTTCTACAAAAACAAACAAAACAACATAAATAGAAAATATTGCAAACTGAAAAAATTATTAATTCTACATTGTAGTTGTAATAAATATTAAGTAACTAAACTCGTATCAAGTGACCTCAAGACTGGTGCTAGACTGCCTTGATAAATCACATGTCGATTTTTTGAGTACCGGGATATACTGGCGTACGAGGAAATGAATAAGCAAACACACTAGCGAGAAAGAAGCAGCCACACCGATGCTGGGGCAGAAACCTTTCTGTAGACTAGACAATAGTACGCTCCATTCTTGCATAAAAATTTAATAGAACCAGAATAAAAAAGATTACTGGAATTATATATCAGGATTAAAACAATCCAAATCACTTATTGGTACCTATAACTATAAGATATACTAATAGTGTATGAACCTATTAAAAAAAAAAACTTCGAATCATCACAGGAATCCTAACAGGGCACTGTAAACTAAAACACCACCTTACAAAACTGGGTATACTTACGGATGCAAACTGTAGATTTTGGGAAGAGAATGAGGAGTTGGCCACACATGTGCTTTTATAATGCTCTGCGCTAATGCACATACGAAATAGACTCCTAGGAATGTATATTCTTACGTTAGAGGCAATAAAACTCTGTAAAGTAGGTTCTATACTACTTTTTATTGACGCAACAGGGCTTAGGGACCTACTCTAAACCCAGAAGAGGGCACAATAAACCCTACGCTCGAAGTGCCACATCCCCTAACAATAATAATAATAAATATTAAGTGTTATTTTGCTATATATACCATATTAATTTTTTGGCCCAACAGAACAATTTTGCTTGCGCTATATCTTTACTTACTGCTCTTCAAGAAGAAGTTAATGCCGGTAATAAGGCAAATATTTGAATAGTGGAGGAGTGTTCAAAAAGCAATTCCTTTCTAGATTCTCTTCAAAACATCTATAAAACTGATGTAGCACAAGTACTATGACTAGTGAGCTAAAACTGTGTGCTGCTTTAATGGATACTTAATCACTCTTAAATTGCTAATCATAAAACAATGATATAACTTAAAATTGGTTGTATTCTGAACATATCTGATTCGGGTCATATTGAAAAATTAACTTATCTACAAAAAGAACTTTGATTGACAATTGGATAACAGTCAAAAAGAGTATCGGCTGATATATCATTTCGAGTCATCATCAAGCCAAGCGTAGTGGTACAAACTCAATAATAAGAACTGTCTGATGTTGCGGAACGCTGCGTTTAATTGAAGGAGTGTGTTATAGCCACATTTTTTTTATTGTACATTGTTTCGATGCCGAAAGAAGAAATTGAGGTGAGAACTCTTCATCCAGTCGGATGAATAAAATAATATCGTACTGTAAAGTACTGCACTAACTACTGTGGATTTATATAAACCAAAATTTTTATACAAATCTATATGATTTCAAGTTATATGAATACAGTATTATATTAAATATAGTTCACAAATATGTTTTTCAATGTTAATTATTTTTTTTGCCGAAAGTGACGCATGCGTCTTATAACGAAAAGGAACTATTTAAAAGTTAGAATGGTTGGAATAGAAATGAAAAGACAAAAACAAAAATTTTAGTTAATTTATTGAAATTTGCCTGACCATACAATGCTGTTTCGAGTATTGTCAAGTATTGTCAAGTCAGTGGTGTTAAAAAATATTCAAATTTTTTTTTAATTAGTCCGTATATAATTTGTTTGGCCTAAGAATACCAGGCTCTTAGATCTCGTGCCTGTCAAATTCAAAGCGATGACTAATCGTCATGACTTTTCCACAAGTAACCAAGGCTGCATTTTAATGAAAAGCTATTAAATTCTTTTTTTTTTTTTGAACACATATCGATAGCTCTTTACCGTCTAAATACTAGATTATCTATCATTTACAGTCATAACCTTTAAAAGTAAACACAAAAGCATCTTTATTAATTGGACGGACAGACAAACTAAGAAAAATAAAATTACTGAGAAACAAATGCAAATAAATGTATACACACATATGTATATATATAAATATATATAAATGTTCATATTTAGTGATTACGATGAGACATTGTTGCTGTTTTGAACACACAGATAACTAAATGTTTGTTGACAATGGTGTCAAGCAAACAAATTTTCCAGAATTCTTAAACCTTTGCCTTATCCATAAAAAACATCGAGAAATTAGCGATAAGATGAGTTTTTGACTTAATTGCAGTTGCATGGAACTTATTATTTAATATTGTGGGTCAGTTAGTGCTATGCTTTATCAAAAATAATTTTTTTAATATTTAAACAAGAATTGTTAATGCTATTTAGTATATGATTATTATGCGTGTATAACATATATATTAACAAAAATTCTTTTATTTAATAGAATTGTTTTAAAATACGTTTAAGTAAGCTTTCATAAGATATCTGTAGAAGTAAACAGTACTTTTTAAAAAACTTTTCAAAAATATCTATAAAAACATCTTTTTAAATATTTATAAAAAACATACTTATAGATATTTATAAAGATCAGTCACCACATCATGTAATATATTTGATAATGAATGGAAAGTGTTTTGTATGGTTGTAGACAGGCCACCTAAAAGGCTAGTACCAACAGCCCGTTAAAGGATTTAAAACATACTTTATGAAATTGGAATAAGAATATACATAATACATATACAAAATATACATAAGGTCAATTATTGATTAGTCTGATGAAGTGATAAACATTAATCCAGTCAAGGCGTAAAGAGTGGTTTTGAAGATACCTCGAGCTCAAACAGCTTCAACATAGAAAATAAAATATATATAACATAAAATAATATACATAATATAAAATATATATAAAGTATATTAAAATCGGTGTTGTTTTTTAAGGAATTTTAGCTTTTATTTCGATCGTAATTTTTTGTATATATCTATTGTATTTCGGCAAATTCGCTTTTGCCTTCATCAGAAGAGTTTCTAATATTGGAATTGGAGAAATACTCCTAGCTTTAGGAGTAGTTAATAAGTTATTTATTATTTCTACTTCTTAATTTGTTTTACATGATTAAAAATTAATACATAAGAGCTTATTCATATAAGACAATAACTTTGAATTGTCCTTTATGAGGTTTTGCTCGAATTTCTGTTACATTGTGTAACCCGGATATTTGAACTTTTGGAACAAAGAAGTAAAGTGAATCATGAAAAAATGTCTTCATGGAACATATAACTTTAAAAAGTAATAGTGCAAACAATAATAATAATAATTACAAAGGAATATGTCTAATAAGTCCGCATAAATTACAGACTCTCGTTTAAGAAGGCTGCAAGCTTACTATATTCTACACCATTACAGCATAGCACTCAAGCAATATTATAAGGAACTTTAATAACATAATTTTATTATACCACATAGAGTACTGAAACAGTCCAATTCAATTGGCCCTGTATTTTAGAGGCTCACAAATATAAGTTAGTAAGTTATTTAGTCACTTAGTTTATAGTAAAAACATGTAAGATAAGTGAGTGCAATTACTGTTTTTATAATTAAATAAAAATAATAGAACTTGTTTTTCGTTTTGGAAAAGATATAAAATTTGTTATATTAAGCATTTGCCAGTTAGAAATCTAGTTAGAAACTTTATAAAAAATTCTTTCAGATACAGACTTTCTTAATGTTTGGTCCGCTATTATATTAATCGGTTACCCAATAACATAATATAACAAAATAAAAATAATTAAATCAATTACATTATAAATAATTATTTCTCAAACAATTTTGATTTAATTTTTAATATACGAGTATATTCTGTTCTATTCTATGTCCAAAATCAACATGGAAAAGTTCAACGTTAAATGAAATAAATACCATTTTGCAGCCCCTAGGAAGAAGAATAAGCAACATTACTGATATAAAGGACTAACATAAGGTTGCGAAAGCGACTTAGAGACAGCCTATACCCGACTTATAGACAGTAGGAGAGGCTGCTCGAAATCATTGACGTCGAGCAAGGCTTATTATTATTATTACTAATATATATTCAAAATTTTATTAATAGAGACAATGCAGCAGCTTTGTCTGCAGCATTACCAAAAGGTCTGAAAACCCAAGAGGTTTGCATCTGCATTTTTTCAAGTAACTTAAGAAGTATATAAAAAATTCTAGTTTGTTAATAAATTATTCATTAATTTTACCAAATCTTTGGTGTAAAATTATAATTTTATTTAGTAAGCCTACAAAAATTAACACATTTATTTTGAAAGCACCCATTCTAATCTAAAGTCACTTTACTCATTATTCAATGCTAGATTTTATTATTTAAATTTTTTTAAGAAAAAAAAATCTCGCTATAAAATTCATTTTGAGTTATTAAATAATCATAGAGCGAGGATGTAGAGGTCAGCAGTTTATTGTTGGCGTATAATCAATAAGAAACGAAAAAATCACACAGAAAATTATTTAAATTCGTTTGTTTTTTAAATTTCAAATAGTTTTTAATTAAAATTTACTTAATATTTCATGTGATGATAATTAAAAATGATCTCATTAGAAGACGAAATAAAATACGAAACGAAATAAAAACTTAACCAGAATTGTATTGTACATATACATTATGAATAGACATATATATATATATATATATATTTATAATTATAATTATATTTATAATTAGAACAGCATTACTTTATGGGTGTGTCAAAAGCTACAAGTCGCTCAAAGTCAGGCTCTCTGAAGGGTCTTCAAAGTGCCTTGGTACATCCGCACAAACGACATGCTAAGAGACCTTAGAATATACCCGATCAAAAAATACATAAGGGACAGCGCCCTGAAGTTATATGCGAAAATTGACAGGCTATCCTACTTACCACTATCTAATCTTAGAGTAATCACTCTCCGCATGGGGAGGTACGCAGATCTTAGATCAATCACTGAATAATCTTGAAGCTTATAGGCATAAATTAGTCAATGAGATGGGTGGGACCATGTAATATCCCTAGGTATCAAAGAGTAAAAGTGCCCAGTTGCGCTAACTCGAAAAAAAGAACAACATCATCATCATAATATATATTGACAAAAATATAAAGAAATATATTAATATTAAAAATAATATTTTATCTTAAACTATCTTAAAATTTTAAAAATTTGAATATCTAATGAAAAGAAATTTATCTTAAAAAAGAAAAGTGGTTATATAGCGAAAAAATTTTTCAAATCCAGAAATTTAAGAAATTAAGTCTATTGTTGGGATGACCTTGTCATATACAAATTATCACTGGTGTTTGAAAACATCTAATAGTTTGTAGAAATAATTCAATTAATTAATTTTATTAGTTGAATTAAGAAGTTTTTCGAACAGTAGTAAATAACAACAACAAAAATTAACTTTATATTATTTTAATTAATTAAGTTTTTGGCTGAACATACAGCTGTTTCGAGTATTGCCAAATTTCCATCATCAGTGGTCTTAGAAATAATTATTGTATGTAATTATTCGTAAATAATTGTTTAGTTGAATTAAACAATTTAAAGTGCAAGTGTCAGGAACCTTATGCTGTGAAATTTCAATTATAGACTTATGTGTAACCTTACAATTTAGGTTTTGAATACAATATAACAGATTGTTTAAAGTCCGTACAAAGCAAACCAAAAACAAAAATTTACAAAATCAAACTAATAAAATTTTTGTATTTATAATAATTAAACAAATTGATTAACGAAGAATGATAAATGATAAAATTATTCGATTAAAACAAAATTCATTTTAACCTGAGATAAACGCGAAAGATATTCCGATAGTACCACAACGGAACCCAGACCTAAGAGAGTCACAAGTCCTTCATTGTTATAAACTGCCACAACAATACCTAGTAACTAGCATAAAAAATTTTTATACATCGGTTTCATTTTGTTTCAATAATATTTACCCAGCTATTAAAGCTTGCTTATAACAGAAAAGATCCGTTCCAGAAGTTTAGATTTCGTTCGAGAAGTTTATTAAGTTACGTGAGTTCGTAAAAGTCGAAACGCTTAACGTGAGAAACTGCGTTTCGCGAAATATTATATTTCAATCGAATAAAATCCTAACATCACGCACAATCTGTGGAAAAGAATCGGGAGAATATTTATTCGGGATCCTTTCATAATAAAAGGATTTAAATCATGAAAACCGTAAGGTAATAAAAAAAAAGTAAAAGTTCAAAAAACAAAATTCTAAAAAATTGTAATTAATATAATTAATTATAATTAATACTATGATAATTTATAGTTTTAAGGCATATACACTAACTAAAATGATTATTAACTAATTTATAAAATTTATGTATTAACAATATGTATTATTGTTACAAATTAATAAGCTAATGTTATCAATTTTTAGAGATACTGTAACAAAAGTATCTAATTACTTTCAAAATGTAATATATATGACAATTAATATATAAGCACATCATATTACACATCCATTATTAGATTTGAGAATAATAGTTACTTTTGTATACATATATTGGGATAACTAATTTAAAATATACTACTTTCAGGCCCAATATTTAAAAAGAGTCTAGTTATATTGATACATAGAGAATATAATTCACAGATAATCTCAGATAAGCCCTTGTTAAATTTTGGAAACCCAAAAAAGTAAATTTTGCCATTTTCTGTCACGTTTGACTTTAACAGTTTTAAAATAAGTTTAGTATGTTGCATTTAAAATAGATTTAATCAAATTTAATAGACTTATGCCAACGCTTGAACTGATACTTAATATTTTATGGCATACCTTTCAACTCCTCTCATGATTTGTTTTTAACAACCAAATTTGGCTTAAAACGTTTCCCTTGTAGTGCTAATATGGGCTTCGGAGAGAAAGCCCGAAGATGAAATGAAAGAAGCACAAACCAATGTCAGTGATATACAGTGTTGCTCTGCATTCGTAAGAGTTTTTCCAAAAACTTTTGTAAAATGCAGAATGCATCACGCACACTTTTCAAATTATTAATTCCGGCTATTTTTCATAGAGGATATATATAGATACGCTCTCTCCTTCTGACATTAGGAGGTCCTCAACGGACGACATTCTGGCTTTCATTCGAAAAGTGGAATGTCTTCTGTTCGGTTAGGGTCAGTTGCAGCACAAAAGATCAATCTGGTCGCAGTGCTCTACTCCTTTGGGAGCTTGTACCCCGTTTATTTCTATTCTATTCTATATAGATACATATTTCATTTTCACACATTTACTGTCTAAATTTAAGAACGTCATATTTATATAATAGAGTAAATAGTATCGGTTTAAGGACTACATTTTTTACGCTCGTTTTTTAAAATTGAGAATTCGATTAATTTAAATAATTTAAGTGACAGTACTGTACTGTTTGTATCAAATCTTATTCTTGAAATAGTTCGGAAATGTAGCCTGCGAAAATTAAATGTTTTTTAAAATATTTTCAGTCATATATTCGATAAAACACATTCACTATTTGTATGTCCTATGACAAGAAGTCTTCTTCTAATAGAAAAAAGGTAACTGTAAGACCATTTTCGTATAACCCTTTCGGACGCTGCCAAATATCTATCACTAGTGGCTTTTGAAAATATCTATTGGTTTTATGGTCCATATAAAAAAATAAACATATTTTTGTATTATATACCACGTTATCCAAATATCAAAAGAATATTTTCAATCGTAAAAATGTAATATTAGACAGTCAGTTTAGCATTGAACCTCAAAATGAATGGTAATAAGCTACAAACTTCCATAAACCTCTTTTTTTACAATTTATTAGTTTGATGAAAATTTGCAAAATGTCGAAATATTCTTGAATTGACTCATTTCATTTTGAACAAAGATTTATACCACTTCACAGTTTATTAACCTTCATTCCAAAGTATTATCTGACTTGACTGTACTATATTTCTTTCTTTCAACTTACGGCACTTCTTTATAGCAAACGCCAGATGCCATAGCGGAACGGGTTTTGTTGATAAACTCTGCAGTTGGATCCAAAACAATGTGTGGGCGGAATGTGGTATGCGGTAAAACTAATCCCACAACTCCGCTGTTACCTAAATAATGTTCTCCAGTATTGGTTACTTCGTGATTTGACCAATCGCCACCTCTATATGTCTCAGCAGGTATAAAGTTGCGATTATACGCATAACTATCACTGCCATTGAAATGATGCTCTTCGGTGGCGTTACCCAATAATAAACTCCCAGAACTGTGACCAGGGTAATGCGTTTTGATGCCAGAAGTTTTTATTTGCGCTTGAGCAGCGTAAAATGTGCAACAACAAAATATTAAAAGCACTTTCGTGAATGATGCCATCACTTTTTTTCTTACGTTCACTGAAAATGACGTAATTTAATTGATTTACAATTACTTGCCGCAGGTGTTAAATACAATATATATGTCTTATATACGAATACGTTTCAGTTCGCGCTAAGACTTTTGTTAATTTTCAGAATTTTTATTTGTGAGCACAACCGTCAGCGATTGAAATGAAATAGAAACTGAGCTTGGCGGAACTGCTTCAGATGCAAATATGTGCCCAAGATTATTAGCTCAAAGCAATTTTTTTAAATAAACAAAATATAAAATAAAATTATTAAACAATAACAACAACAAATATATGTGTAAATACAAATTAGAAAGCATATCAATCGCAATAATCGCGTTCGTTTTCCAATGAAATCTCAGTGCTTCCCTCTGATACGTAATTTGATTTTATAAATTAAAAAATTTGTTCAAAATTTATTATTTTTGCAAAAACTAATAAGTATTATCGTTCCCATTTCTTAGAAAAACCTCAAATAAATTCTAATAAATGAACAAATTTATCTACTATACGTAGTTCAAAACACAGATCCATTAAATAAGCAGTATTTCTCAATTTTTGAAGACTTGAATAATTTTCATTCTGTTTTTATTTCTGTCAAATAAATTAATAAAAAATATATATTAATATTGATTTACAAATTTGAATTTGTTTATTATTATTATAAAAATGCAAGACTGTAAATATTTACAGAAAGAGACCACTTTATTTTATGTATCTTATCTGCTCTCATACTAATCTATAACAAATAAATAAATGATCAACCTGTTATAATAATCAGTGTTTTCTTCTATATTATATATCAATTTTATAGTAAGAAAAAAAATCTATAACTAAAAATGAAATATTCTCTTTTTTTATTATTTGCGAATTTGTGCTAAGCCTGCACTATTCTTTTTATAGTTAATCCAATTCCATGATTTTAAAAACCCCTTCTTAAAACAATCTCTGTATACACCCCTGTGACATACATATGTTAGTGAGCTTAAATTATGTATTCTACTTTATCAATTGTTATTTTAGTTTTATTAAAGAAAAAACTGTTATAATCTGTATTTATCTCCATTATAACATTTTTATTTGTTAATGTTTTTTTGAGTACTGAGAATGCGCGTTACTGAAATATATATTTTAGGTTGAAAGTCTTTGGGTAGTATGGGTAGGGCTTCATGACATATTTCGAGAATCTGAACGCTAAATCTTCAATGATCCATAGGGGCACTGAAGTATCCCAAATATTCCTGCGTAAATCTTTCAGATGACGACATTATTGCATTGACCTGACACGCACACATTTACATAAGTAAAACGATATCTGCATATATAGCATTTACAATCGTTTAATTAATAATTAAAATGATAAATTACATTCCTTTGTAATTAAAGTAATCTACAGTGTCCTCTTCTGGTACACAGTATATGCCAATGAAACCAATGCACTGAGGAAAACCTAATCTCACAAATCCTTCAGACCGCTCATTAGATTTCTCTGTAGTCAAAGAAAAATTGTTTAAATAAATTGGAAAAAGATGCTTTAAGACTTTGTCGCGAAATGAAAGGAATATTTAGCATGCAGCACACAGTCCCAATTTCAAACAAATTCACAATAGTGTGATAGTCACACAAAACACAATAAATCATATTGCAACGCGTTTTTCTAATAGAATTCGTGATTGTTTTATTTTTTTCAAACTATTTAAGTGTTTATCGGGAAATAATCTTGTAAATTAAGTTCCCCAAAGGAAGTATCGTTGTCGTTAATACATGACTGTATCCTCTAGTACGTCTGAAATTGGAGTTGGTGAATCATCCGGTGTATAGTCTAAGCTTGTTAGAAATTCCGTTAACGATACCAGTCTGATATTGCGGATATTATGCTAGTTGAGTTCGCATCTTATAGCATTAAATTTTATGATATAGTTCTTAAATTCTTAAAACAAAGTAAGACAATATTCTATTGCAGCAATGATTTGAAACTATTTTTATATTAATGATATCTTTTATACATTGAATTTGCTTATATAGCAACTCTATACTCTTTTGAGTGTTACCATTCAAGAATCCAAATAAAAAACTGCTGTAAAAAGATTTTCTTCAAATTGTGTGCTCTTTATTTATTATTCTTTTATTTACAACTTTCAGAAAGACAGGTTTCAATTCATTTTACGACATATCCGTTGTAATTGTTAAAATTTGATTTAAATTTATATTACAATATTGTAAAACTTCCATTATAATGGACTTTAGGCATTCGCTTGTATGCAAGGCCCTTGTTTCTTTTAATGTGTTTTTATTGCAATTTCTTTGTCTTTAATATATAAGGCACATATATTGCAAGGACAGTTAAATTGAATCTCGAAGCTATGTCAATTTTTATTAAAGTAAGCTTTCGTTTCAAGTCTTCAATACGTCTGTCTTTAATCTTAGTACAATGGTTCCCAATGTGCTCTTTAATATTGCGTCAATTGATTTTATTTCGCACAGCATTTAATACTGGTCCAGTCAGAACTTTGAGTGCTGCATTCTCAAGCATGCAGAAAGGCCTCATATTTCTAATAAACAGCAATACAAAATATATATACTCGAGCCTTTTTTACACAAATATAATCAGCATTTACATCTAAGTGAAAGGTCTTCAATTGCCTTTCCAAATTGCCTGTATGATCTTTCAAAATCCTACTTTCACAAATTTGCAAATATTAGAAATACACTGATCGTTTCCGCCTATTGCCATCTGTAAAAGTATATAGTTTTTTATTTTGTACAAGTGTTATTTTGATAATATTAAATATGTATCAAATATTTATATATAAAATATATAATACAAAAATATAATATCTTTATTTTAGAACACAAACAAAAAACAACGAAAAACAACAATACACATTAAAGGCATTTCCAAAACGTGTTGCCCAATAGACACTAAAACACAGTAAAATACACTAAAATAAACTATCTTCGTGAAATGATCCCTAAAAAAGTTCACTACCTTCGTCAAAAGAACACTAACGAGATATCGTAAACAGTACACTATTTAAGTATATCTGATATGTCGGTTTCATTTTAAGTGTTAAGTGTTTAAGTGTTTAAGAATTTAATCCTTAAATTCTTTTGATTATGGAAATATAATTAATAAATGGAAAACTTTATTCAAACACTTATTAAAAACGCTATAAAATACAGAAAAGAACTATTATTATTAGGGGATGTGAAAAGAACTAAGTAAATCAAATTTTCAAACTCAAAATTTTCAACGTCTCAATCTCAATCAAGAACAGCATCTATGTCGTGATCATATTACACTTCTAATGTTTATAAATTATATATATTATATAAATTATATATAATACATAAATTATATAAACAATATATATTATAATATATTATATATATTATATAATATTATTTATATATATTATAATTATATATTATATATATATTAGATGACCTCTGGATGATCTAGAAAGTAAAAAGTCATTAGTTGTTTATACTTTAAAAACAAATATATTTTTTTAGAAATATTTTTCTAGAGTAGTTATAAGTTCACTTTTTTATATATTTCTGTCTTTTAAAAATAAATACGTTATTTCTGCTTTATAAAGTGTCAAAGTTTTTTTTTTGTGTCAAAGTATGTCCTTCCTTAAGACATACCATTATTACAACTGCTCATGGAAAACCTGTAGTCGGTTATTTATATTATAATATATAGATGACTATATAAAAATAAAAATAGAAATTATTAATAATTTATAAGCTTTATTTATTTAGTTCACATAATTTTTTTTTTTTTTTAAAAATATATTGTTTCTATCTATGATTTCTGAGTTCACCTTAACAGAATAAATTGAAATGATTTTATATTGATCTATTAGTAAAATTTGGCTTATACATTCACTAAAAAGTCTCAAATGGACTTGATCACAATCGGACTTAGCAAAAGATATATATATATATATATAAATTAAATTATAAATTCTAATAAATAAATTTATTATAAATTTATAATAAATAACTTTTTTTAATTACTTCTAAAAGCAATGCCACACTGGAAATATTTATTGTTTAAGTACAATTTATTGATTCATCTGACATATTATTATTTTTTTACTGAAAATTCGTATGTTTGATGTGATGTGGATGAATTAATTTTTAAATAAATACTTAAAAAGACAATATCGTTTTGAAATTATTGAGGTTTATATAGAATTTTTTTAGTAATCGAAATCAACAAATATTATATAGGAATATTAGTAGCATATCTTTGAAAGTATATTCTTGGTGCATTATGTGGGAGAAAAAAAATTTTCAAAAATAATGCCTCACTGAAAGTTTTTATTTCTTAGTAAAATTAAATACTGAATCTAAATAAAATATGAAAATTTCAAGGACACATTTGAAAGAAAAAAAATTTTTTTTTTAATTTTACAGTTAATATTAGTATTCAAATATAAACAATCATAATTGTTTAAACAATTTCCTAAAAGTTCAATCAATTATTTTTAGAACGCAACAAATTTCAAGTTTTTATAATTTATATAGCCGAAGATATAGCCATTTGAATATGTGTCTACAATGTCAATTCTCAAAACCCCATGGGTCCATATCTCCTAAAAAAAAATTACAAAATTTTTTTCCGAGATATTCCTTATTTAAAAGAGGAACTCATAAAAACAGATCAAAAAGGTGTCCGATTTGTAAAAAAATGACCCATATGTAACATGTAAACGAATATATATGTATACTATATTATTAAAGTAAAGTAATTATGTGTATCTCGAGTAAATTCCACTGTATGTGCCACTGTATTTTCTGAATATGTATTCAAATTAAATAACACAAAACGTCATTATTTTTATCAATTTTATATATATATGTATATACACATATACAACTTTATGCATATGACTTCATATATGTCTTCCTTTCCCCGTTTGCATATATCATTGCATATGAAAAAATACAAAACATTTATTTATTTTTTTATCAATTTTGGTTTTTATTAAAATTAAAAAACTGTAAACATATGTACAGCTTTTATACTATATGTTTGTACCGTAGTGACGTTTTCAGTAAACGCTGTAGATACAATAATGCGATAAAATACTTCCGAAACACGTCAAGACAAGTTAAGTAAAAATAATAAAGTACACGAGAGATAAACAAAAGATTTTGTTTATCTATTAAAAATATTAAGCGTATTTATATAAGACTTGGATTGATTTTCATTTTCTTTGAATAATGAAATTAAAATATATTGTATATATAGTTCATCCACATATATACATATGTATATAATATTAATTTTTATTATGCTTAAGTTTTAATACAAAAGTTAAAATAAGATATAGTTGTGAAACAAAGAAAAAAATAATAATAAATATAACAATAATTAAATTTATTTTTAATATGATCAAATAGATAATTTATATTTATAATTATATTTTTATATAATAACATATATTGCATAAAAACAAACAAGATTAAATAAAAAATATCACAGTTATTAACTTATGTATATATTTATTTAACAGATATTTGAGTCTACTTCAGTCTAGACCATCTTCAGTGTTAGAATATTATAGTTATTATTTAAAAATATAATATTTTAAAACACATAAGTATTGAAGTCAACACTAATATGAACATATTAGTGTCCGGAAATAATTCGCATATTTCGGTTCTGAAAGATTTAATTGTAAAAGGTATTCCACACATCAGCCGACCTAACATCGAAAAAATAAAATAAGTTATAGATAATACGTGTGACAACGGTTTATAACAGTCCTGACATTGTTTAAAAACAAAACTAATGGTCAACTACAGGATAGTTTTAAATCGTTTTCATAAGGCTGTTTACAAAAACAATATATGAATTCCACATGAACATCAAAAATAGATCCAACTAAATAGATCGAACTAAATTTAAATAGACATTAATAATTGAAAAGGTAATATTAAGACTTCTACCAATATGACATAACTTTAAAAAGCATTTATTCTAAGATGCTGTGATTCAATAATTCAGATCGGCACATCATATCAGCCTAAATTAAAATTAAAATCGATAGTGAAAGATATCACTCTTTTATCATGATAAAAGAAATACTATTACATCAACCAAACTGCTACTTTAATAAGAGTATCTTATACGTGTATATGCCCACGTATGTAATATCAAACCAAACGAATACGCTTTCTATATAAAATGTACTAACGATATAAAAAATAACGACTATAGCCTATTTGATAACTTTTAATTTATATTGAAAAAAAATAACATTATGGTACAATGCCTACGAAACAGAAGACATCAAATTAAGCACAGTAATTTGGGTAGAAATGAACTGTAAGATTTGCATACTTTATATGCTATTATAAAAAAATTTAAAGTTCAAAACAAGTAATCACTGGTACTTATATTTTTCGTAGATAAAAATTTGTTAAATATTTATATAAGTATTTTTCCATTTCACTATATCTAAAACAACAAATTCCTCGAGAATTTAACAAGCACTGGACAAATCTGTTGAACTTTGAAAGTTTTGGTTTCGCCTAAGATGTCATACATTTGCATTAACATAATTTTTTGAAAATTGTATGTAAAAATTTATTATCTTAACAAATCAAATCTTATCTTAATACTTATTTTACATTCCACGCAGAAATAGTTAATTTGATAACACTTTTCCTACACTCTCATCATTCTAAATCACAGTTCTTCGCAACGGCCTCCCATTCGTATGTAACCGGGATAACACTCACAGACATCGGGTGCAGTACAAATACCATTGAGACAATCCTCATTACAGATAGGATTACATTGCATAAGACTTGACTTCAGATTTTGTTCGTAACCTGGACAACAGTAGGACGTTGTATGTATGCGCAATGCTGGATCCATCGATTCACGCCTTAAAGAGACGATTCAACAATTAAATATTATAAAAAATGGGAACAGTATATAGACAGTATATATAGAAAACTAGTAACAACTTACGGTGTCTGTTTGTAACAAATTCCCGAAGCCATTGTGGCTTTTGTTTCCAATATAAACATGTCACGCTCACTAAGGTTACTTAATTTCCAAAACTGAGCGTTAGTGGGTACCATAAAAACGAACACACAAACTGCTATGATATTTAGAATTGCTTTTGATTTCATTTTATGCCAATTCAAACTACAGATTTTTAAGTAACTTTATAATTAAAATATGTTATAAATTAATAAACTGATCCAAATATAATAAATACTCCACGTGTTGTACACTGCTGTATTGCTTTAATAGAACTGAATGCATCTTATGAAAAAAAATCGTGAAAGAAAACGTAGTTTTCCTTAGTTTCTTCCGGTGTTTTTCATTTTTGTATTTTTATTTATTTTTATTAAAATGATTTTGTCTCAAATGAGTAAAAATTAAAAGAGAAAGTAAATATTTAAAGCAAATTTCTATATACATATGTACAAAACCACGATCAGCTACTTAATGCCGTTCTACGTAATCTTGCTGCTCTGTTCTGTATTTGTATTTCTTCACTTCTCCTGATAAGAATATCACTGATGCTGCCTTATAATTATTAAAAAAAAAAAAAAATTAGAGGTCAATTAAGTAGGGCATTTAAAAATATTTTCACAGTAATATTTATTGACATGATTATACAGTATTTATTTTATTCATATAATCCATTTTATATAGTCCAAATCGTAAACATAAGTCATCAAAGAACTTGTGAAGCTATAAATTATTTAAGTTTTTAAAACATATGTTTAAGTTTTCAGTTACTGCTTAAAAGTATGTTATAAAAATATACAAAATATATATATATATATATATGTATATATATACGCGGGTCGTATACTAAATTTCTGGTATACGAGTATATAGCTAATATAGTTTATCTGGATGTTTTTAAGCTTTTATTTTGATATGCCCACTACATATGAAACCCAAATATTTAAAGAAACCACACGTCTTAAAAAAAAATATAGTCGAAATCTAATCCTTACCGGTAGCTTCTATTACCAGCACTTTGGTCAAGTATTAAAACTGGGTACTCCGATAAACTTATACAATATTTTGTTGTAGCTGAAAAAAATAATTTGAATAAAATTTAACTATAGTTTTTTTTCGCAAAAACAATGCATTTTCATAAAGTTCGAATTTCAAATAAAGTTCGAATTTCGAATAAATTTCGAATAAAGTTCGAATTTCGAATAAATACCATATAAAATGAAAAAAAATATTTTTAAATACAGTATCTTAACTTTTTGAAATGTTTTGACTTTAGAAATTTGTAACATAAGTATATATATATAGCAAGCTAATATGTTTAGCGACTTCGTCAAATTGTCTCCTATACGAATGGGCGCGATTTAATTGAAACTAAACGCATTCGATCTGATTATTTTTTTTTTGTAGAAATGCTAAATTAACTGTTGTTATTTAAATTCTTTCTTCTTTGTATCCGATTCCCCTAGTGGGGCATAGGGCCGCAACGATTCTTTTAAACCGCACTCTGTTAGGTGTTTCTCTGCAAATATAATTCCATATGTAGTGCTCTTCCGTCATTTATCTTTCAATTGTCCTTCTCCAAGTTAAAGTCGGTGCACCAGAGCGTCTGCTGATTTGTGGACTTTATGTCGTCGGGTAGTATTTCCTATCCAATTCAATTTTTGCATGTTGATTTCGTTACAACAGCTTTCCGATTTGTTTGGTCAAAAGTTTTGCATTTGATATGTGGCCACCAAATTTCTAGGATTATCCACAGACACTTATTTAAAAATGTTTGTAACGTTCTTTATATCTGTTTTGAATACTTCCATGGTCATTTAAATTATGTGAATATTTTGCCTTTGATATTTAATATATTTGTCCATAGAAGAAGCCATATCAACATTTCAAATTTTTAAACTATATTTGGATAATGAAATACTTAAAATTATTGTAGATGAAACAAATATATGTGCAGCACAACAAAATGCTATTTTTACTGTTAAGTCATACGAACCACGTTAATTTTTTTTACTTTTTATGCTGCAGTGAATATCACGCAGTTCTTAAATGGTAGATATATTAATGAATATATCAATTTTTTGGACCAACATTATAGCTTTTCTACAACAACCTATTGAAATGCTTAAGCATACAATCATTTCGCTGATAATAGCAAAATATTTTTTTTTTCATAAAAGGAAAACATCGAAAGTAATCATCTTAAAAATTTAACCTACTAAAATCACTTTTTTGCAATGATTTGTAAAAAGCTTTATAGCATTTAGAATGTAAAGCTGTCCACTGTTCTGTAAATCTCATTTATTTTTTTAAATTATATTTAAACTTCTTTACGTATGTGCAGAACAATAACAAAATTGTTAAATAATATATATTAAATTAAAATAATATATAATATATAATATCCTAACATTGTTACCTAACCGACAGTGAAGTTTTTCTTAATAAACCGATTCGTACTTTTTATTACATATTTTGTTGGGAATTCAACTATAACCTAAACACCAAAAAAAAACTTACTGATAATATCAACTTAGAATATTTTATAAATAAACAACCAGTGATCTATCAGCAAAAATCTTTAATGCTATGTACTAAAGTGCACAACAGAAGTAAGTACAAACTAAAGTGCTAAAATATAGTTCGAATATTAATTATATATCACTTGTATTTCTTATAGGTATTCTTATTTATAATAAATTTGCCTCTATCAATTACAGGACAGTATTTCTAATTTCGTCAATAAGTGAGAGTATTTATGAAGTGGTTAAAAAATTAATAGCAACCCCGATTTTTAAATAATCTTATGTTGCAACTTAAACAATGAACAATTAAAGTTGTGCAGACCAAAAACATATTTAAATAGAAGAAAGTTGACCAACATACTGACATTCGGTGTCACATGTGAAGTTTTGACTTCCTTCTCTTGAAACTAATCAAAATAATGTGGTGTTACCGGATTCTTTTGGACATTTTCAGAACAATGTGTATAAGAAATCTGTAAGAACAAATCACATGAGTACTTTCATTCATATTTGTTAACAACGCTAATGCTAATGTTAAACAAATTATTCATTCATAAAATAAATATTATAGTTTTAGTTCTCATATATAATTGTTAAAGTAAATACCTCAAATTCTGAGGTATCACTATTAAGTATTATCCAAATGAACATAAAACATATACAAAACATTTTAATTACTTTCTAATCTTTCTGATTCATAAGAATTCTAAATTCACAATTTATCGAATGTAATAAAATTATCATTTTTACGACTTATATTTGCCCTGTTTAAAAATTGTACATAAATCTTTGCACAACGTTACAAATAATTATACTTTATCTAATTAATCTTACAAACTTGACTAAGAGTAGTATTAACGCAATTAAAATTTTATTTTTTAATAAGGTCTAGTAGACTTTTTTGATCAATAATAAACGTTTTTTAGTTCCTTATTAAGTTGCAAGTATTTTCAACTCACAGTTAACGGTATCTTTCTTGATAATCATGACTAATTTTCATTAATATTTAAAAATATGTTTAATTTTCTACAATTCTACAATTTTAGAAATTAATTGATTAACGAAATTATGACAATAGAAATCCTTAGATTTTCACACCTTGTGGTAAAATTTATAACTATTTATTTAACTGGATAATATTTTTTGTGTAGCCATATCTAACTGATTAAGAGGTCCTTTTTTCTGTAATATAACAATATAAAATCACAGTTTGTATTCTGTATTGTAAAATAAATAAGTACTTAATAAATCATTAATTTAATCAGTAAATAGCAGTTCTCTGCCCAAATTTCACTCTAACAAAATTGTCATATACTGCAATTTCATTACTTTGATTCATACGCCAGGAAAACACACAGATCAACAATTTAGTCTTGCAAACAATATTATTCAATCGTAGAGAGAGATCTACTATAGTTATATATACTACACAGACTAAACATAACCAGTCAATTATCTTTAAAGATACTTTATTGTAAATCAGTATCACCCTAACAATGGAGAAAAATTAATTCAGATGAATATATTCAAGAATCATCACTATTGCAATAAAAAATCACACGCACTGGAAATTAAGATAAATAGTAGTTCTACATACCAAATAATCCAATGCAGTAATTTCTGAGTAATCGATCATCTTCACATCAAAATGCTATCTTACAGCTTTTTCCCAGATTTATGTTTCAAAGTCAATCGTCTCCTGCATCCATATGTCGTTCATAACTATTGTTGGAGTTCTGCCGTTCAAATCAACCAGTTTTCTTCATGAGAAAGAAAACCCATTTCCGCCAAAATAACAACATAATGCCATCCTAAAGGATAAACCAAATTAATATTTTCTTGTCTAACATTCAAGAATAGGTTTTTTCTTACTCATTTAATTTTTATACCACAGAATAAACAATTATTAAATTAATATATATACCAGGTTAAATTGAAATGGCAGCAAGCAGTGTGCCACTGGCAATCGTAGTTGTTAGTTGCTTTGCATATTAAATCAATTTAACATTGAAACATGTCTTTTCCTTGTACACATATTCATTATTATAAGAATAGAATGTTCTCCTTTTTCACTGTAAATAATACATACATATATTAATTTTATTATAATATTTAATAATCGTAATTGTTGTTCTAATTAAAATTAGTATTAAAAATTGAAGAAGTGACACACTAAGCACTTAGATGCGGAGCACCTATTTCCTTTAATTTACAAAAAAATCCATTTACACCCCCAAAGCCAAAATATAAACAAAAAAACAATACTAAAGCATAATTTACCATTAATACAGCATCGGTGATTGTTTATTCCCTCATACTTATTATAAATAACACATTATTGCAACTAAAAATGATCAATTATGTATTTAATGTGGCAATTAATTCATAAAACAAAATACGTATCCAACATGTTAAAAATAATTGACAAAAGTTAAATGGCGACAACCAGTAAATAAACGTCAAAAATTATGACCACAGTAAAAGAAACCCAAAAAAGCACATGAAGCAAATGGTAATTTATTTCAATGGGACCAATGGGATATTTTCTGTTGCTCTTTTTACATTCAATATTATTTTATTATTATCATATAGAAAACTAATATCTATATATCAATCGAATACACCAGTAATAACAAAATACAAAGAGTTCCATATTTGATGTAACAACAAATTAATTAATTTGTTGTTTGATACATATATATATATATCTCTTTTATGATATGCGGATTGATGAAAGTGAGTGTTTACATTACGTTAAATTCCGTTTGTTATTGAGCCTTATCTATCTTTCAAAATCACATCGACCTATTTCTGTTCTAAATTTCGTACCAAATATATTTTATGTACATATTTGATAATATTGTTAACAACGATTTAAAATTACATATCCGTAAAATGTCTCTATACAAACACTTTCAATGTTAAAAATGAAAACTTCAGTTCAAATTTATTCATTCTCATACAATTAGTCATCTACACATAAATATTATTCTCAAAAGTTATTTTATTTTTTCCATTTTACGCAAACATTCGTACCAAAGATGTTTAAGCAAAAGGAACAGAAAATTAAATTTCCATAACAACTGATTTGCGTATGAAAGATATATTAGCGAAAAAAATTTTGAAGGAAAAGTTAATATCTTAATGTATTTTTCCACATATTCATTGTCATAGATTTATAATGTTTTTTTTTATTAATATGTAAGAACAATAGAACATGGTATAAAATAAGGTTTAATCAAATAAAATAACTATTTTTAGCAACTCTGTGCAGTATATAAAAGAATATTTGTTCTCCTACGAGACAAATATTATTACTGCATATTTTAATTAAATATTGCGCAACGCCTGCAGTCATATATATAGCTCTTATGACATGTTTTCACTGATTACCTAGTAAGTTATTAATTAACATGAAGATTTTGTCGTGTTTATTATTAACATAAATTACTAATTGCGAGTGAGAGAGCTTGTATGTGTTTGAAAGTTCTTCGAAAGTTCTATTAGAGTTTGTTTATATAAACTTCACTCGACAATATATCACACAAAATATTAAATAAATAATTGATATATTAAATTATTTGTTATATATTATATATACATAGATATGTATGTTATATATTCGTTACATTTTGTTAATTACATCCTCAGTGCGTTTATTGACAGCTCAGCTGTTGTTTGTTAACATTTTGCATATAAAACATATTTAAAATTTTGGTAATATCCCTTGCGGGAAATTTATTTAACGATTGTATTCGACGTTTCCCCCTTATATTATATTATTTATTGAGAATAAGTAATAATAGGCTTACTAGGTAATCAGTGAAAACATGTCATAAGAGCTATATATATGACTGCAGGCGTTGCGCAATATTTAATTAAAATATGCAGTAATAATATTTGTCTCGTAGGAGAACAAATATTCTTTTATATACTGCACAGAGTTGCTAAAAATAGTTATTTTATTTGATTAAACCTTATTTTATACCATGTTCTATTGTTCTTATATATTAAAAAAAAAACATTATAAATCTATGACAATGAATATGTGGAAAAATATGTTAAGATATTAACTTTTCCTTCAAAATTTTTTTCGTTAATATTTCTTTCATACGCAAATCAGTTGTTATGGAAATTTAATTTTCTGTTCCTTTTGCTTACACATCTTTGGTACGAATGTTTGCGTAAAATGGAAAAAATAAAATAACTTTTGAGAGTAATATTTATGTGTAGATGACTAATTGTATGAGAATGAATAAATTTGAACTGAAGTTTTCATTTTTAACATTGAAAGTGTTTGTATAGAGACATTTTACGGATATGTAATTTTAAATCGTTGTTAATAATATTATCAAATATGTACATAAGATATATTAGGTACGAAATTTAGAATAGAAATAGGTGGATGTGATTTTGAAAGATAAATGAGGCTCAATAACAAACGGAATTTACCTTAATCTAAACACGCACTTTCATCAATCCGCATATCATAAAAGAGATATGTTTATATATGTATCAAACAACAAATTAATTAATTTGTTGTTACATCAAATATGGAACTCTTTGTATTTTGTTATTACTGGTGTATTCGATTGATATATAGATATTAGTTTTCTATATGATAATAATAAAATAATATTGAATGTAAAAAGAGCAACAGAAAATATCCCATTGGTCCCATTGAAATAAATTACCATTTGCTTCATGTGCTTTTTTGTGTTTCTTTTACTGTGGTCATAATTTTTGACGTTTATTTACTGGTTGTCGCCATTTAACTTTTGTCAATTATTTTTAACATGTTGGATACGTATTTTGTTTTATGAATTAATTGCCACATTAAATACATAATTGATCATTTTTAGTTGCAATGATGTGTTATTTATAATAAGTATGAGGCAATAAACAATCACCGATGCTATATTAATGGTAAATTATGCTTTAGTATTGTTTTTTGTTTACATTTTGGCTTTGGGGGATGTAAATGGATTTTTTTGTAAATTAAAGGAAATAGGTGCTCCGCATCTAAGTGCTTATTGTGTCACTTCTTCAATTTTTAATACTAATTTTAATTAGAACAACAATTACGATTATTAAATATTATAATAAAATTAATATATGTATGTATTATTTACAGTGAAAAAGGAGAACATTCTATTCTTATAATAATGAATGTGTGTACAAGGAAAAGACATGTTTCAATGTTAAATTGATTTAATATGCAAAGCAAGTAACAACTACGATTGCCAATGGCACACTGCTGCCATTTCAATTTAACCTGGTATATATATTAATTTAATAATTGTTTATTCTGTGGTATAAAAATTAAATGAGTAAGAAAAAACCTATTCTTGAATGTTAGACAAGAAAATATTAATTTGGTTTATCCTTTAGGATGGCATTATGTTGTTATTTTGGCGGAAATGGGTTTTCTTTCTCATGAAGAAAACTGGTTGATTTGAACGGCAGAACTCCAGCAATAGTTATGAGCGGCATATGGACGCAGGAGACGATTGATTTTGAAACATAAATCTGCGAAAAAGCTGTAAGATAGCATTTTGGTGTGAAGGTGATCGATTACTCAGAGATTACTGCATTGGATTATTTGGTATGTACAACTAGTATTTATCTTAATTTCCAGTGCATGTGATTTTTTATTGCAATACTGATGATTCTTGAATACATTCCTTTGAATTAATTTTTATCCATTGTTAGGGTAATACTGATTTACAAAGAAGTATCCTTAAAGATAATTGACTTGTTTTGTTTAGTCTGTGTTGTATATATAAGTACAGTACATCTCTCTCTACGATTGAATAATATTGCTTGCAAGACTAAATTGTTGATCTGTGTGTTTTCCTGATGTATGAATCAAAGTAATGAAATTGCACTATATGACAATTTTGTTAGACTGAAATTTGGGCAGAGAACTGCTATTAACTGATTAAATTAATGATTTATTAAGTACTTATTTATTTTACAATACATAATACAAACTGTGATTTTATATTGTTATATTACAGAAAAAAGGACCTCTTAATCAGTTAGATATGGCTACACAAAAAATATTATCCAGTTAAATAAATAGTTATAAATTTTACCACAACGTGTGAAAATCTAAGGATTTTTATTGTCATAATTTCGTTAATCAATTAATTTCTAAAATTGTAGAATTGTAGAAAATTAAACATATTTTTAAATATTAATGAAAATTAGTCATGATTATCAAGAAAGATACCGTTAACTGTGAGTTGAAAATACTTGTAACTTGACAAGGAAAAAAAAATCTGCTAGACCTTATTAAAAATTAAAATTTTAGTTGCGTTAATATTACTCTTTGTCAAGTTTGTAAGATTAATAAGTTAAAGTATAATTATTTGTAACGTTGTTAAAAGATTTGCGTACAATTTTTAAAAAGGGCAAATATAAGTCGTAAAAATGATAATTTTATTACATTCGATAAATTGTGGATTTAAAAGTGTTATGAATCAGAAAAATTAAAATTATATAGTGATCAAAATATTTTGTACATGTTTTATGAAAATTTAAATAATAATGAATAGTTAAATCTTAAAAAAATTGAATCCTTTCACTTATTTCAATGTAAACAATAATGTTTATTTATATAATTTTTTGTTTTTGAAGTGTACTTATGTTAAAAGTTTATAACGTTTCAAAGTTAAATTCACTTTTTGCTAAGGAAAGAATTTCTTCCTGCATGCCTTACAGATGTACACCTAAATAGAGTCAAACCGAATAAAACCCATACTTCCTTTATATACATCGACTCTTAGCTCAGCGAAGCTAATATCATTTAATATCATTTCTCTCTGAAATCACAGTTGTCTAATAACAAAGCTTTTAATAGGCCTCATCCCTCTCACTCCATTGTACTTGCTTTTAGAACGAATAACAATAGTACTTAAAAAAGTTTATAGATTTTTATAACTGTGACTGAATTAATATTAAGATATAGTTATCCGAATGTTTAAAATATTCAAGTTGAACCGATAAGGTAGATTTATTTTACTTCTTGTTTGATAAATTATTTATTTGTTAACTTTGCGTATAATTTTACTGAATAAAACACGTATCCAGAACTCTTTTTTTTGGTGAAATATGATTATAGTATTCACAAGAATATGCTAATATGATAATATGGTAAAATTACTATATGCTAAAGCTGCATTGTGCAGCTTGATACAAAATATGTGCTTCAATGACAATGTGGTAATTTTGTTTTTTATAAAAATCTATAAGAACATATCACCTAGCAAAATACCTTCTGTTTTCTGTTCCTGCAATGCAAGCACTGTTTTTAAAAAGCATATTATATCATATTACACTTTACATAATAGATTCTTTATAGTTTATTTTTTCTTATATATAGACTATAAAAAAAACCTTAAGCTTCTAGTGATTATTTAACCATATTAAACTACTCAACATTCTTTGAATTTCGTTTAATTTGTAAGTATTATCCTTTGAAGTCTACTAAACAGTTAAGGTTTTTTTGATACTTTAAAAAATACGTGATAAAAAAAATAATAATTTGAATTAAATGAGTTATCCATAAAAATAGTTGGGTTGCTCATTTCTGAACATAAAATGTTGCCCAATTAATAAATTGAATTCGTTAATTAGTGCTTCATTCATCTTATATGGATTCATAGAAGCATATGTGGTAACTTTGTCAGTTGAAACGCACTGATTGATAAAACGTGTTCTGCCCTCTTTACAACGACATCGACCTTTTGCATTGCAAAATCCTTCTTCACAACGTTGGTAGGATTTAAATCGTCCTTCGATTATGTTACATCCACAGATATCTGGAGCAATACATTTACCATAGTATCCGCAGTTGGTGCTTTAGAATATACATAAAATTATTTATTTATTTAAGATTTTTTAAAAGCATTGTACTTTTCGCATATGGCTGAACACTTTATTCCATTATGTTCATATCCATTGAAACAGCGGCATACTCCCGGTGATATACATATTCCATTTTCACAGTTGTCGTCACAATCAGGCAAACAAGACGTGGTATTATAATCATATTTATAGCCATTTTGACATATACAAGTTGTTTGGTTCACACAAAAGCCATGCTCACAGCGCCTTAAATATATATCGAATATATGAATTATCACAACCAAAACAATGCAAACATTAAATGTTAAGTATTCCCACCTACATATAACAAGGGCTTTCACAAGCGGTACCATTCATACGCTTCTCATAACGATCAAAACATTTGCATTCATTAGGAGCAATACAGTGTCCAAATCCGCAATCAGGTATGCACACCTGAAATATAAATCATGTAATTATCATTTATTACGTTACTATAACAAAAGCAGAAAAATAGCTTACCGGCTGACACCCCATGGTTGAATCTGGTCGTATTGATTTTGCATAACCGTCTGCGCAAATGCATTTATTAGGTTCGATACAGATTTCATTGTGTCCACAAATAGGATCACACTCTGGCTGACAAAACTTTTTCGAAGGATCTAGTATAAAGCCTTCATTGCAAACACATGTACCATTTAAATAACATTGTCCGTGTGGACAACCCAATGGACAAGTAGGAACACAAATATTTCGATAATTGTGCACAAATTCATCGAAACACATGCATTTGCCACCATCAATACAAAATCCGTTCTGCAAACACATATTGCCACAATCCGGTACGCACATGCTCCAATCGTATTCATAGCGCTTGAAGCCCCTACAACACACCTCAATAACATTGAGAAACGAATTCGTAGTACTATTCCCGACAATTGGTACGTCTTTTTCGTACTGAGAAAATATTGCACTGCAAAAAAAAAAATATAAATTAAATTTTGTTGAACAAATATAATTTGGTAGCACTAGAAAGTTACATCGAAGAAGTCATATTGTACAGTAAAAAACTAATTGAAGCTAACTTTTAATGCATAGTAAATACATAAAATGATATACAGTTTTGTGTCAGTTAGTTAATGAGTACTGACTCTGAGCTCTGACTCTGATCTTCAAATTTGGCAGGGTACGAGTTCAACCCTTGGTACTTGAAGTCTCAAAAAATTATTTACGAATAATTAAATACAAGAAATAATTCCAAAACCATTGATGATAGGTATTTGGCAATATTCGAAACAGCTATATGGTCGGCCAAAGATTCAATTAATTGGAAATAATATAAAAAGAGCTTTTGTTGTCGTAGTTCACTACTTATCAAAATCTGTCTATAAAATGATATAAAAAAAATATTTTCTTAATTATCAATTATTTTAGTAACAATATAATGTTATTGACTTTAAAATTATATATAATATTATGTACGTTATAGCATTTTGTATTTGTTAAATTTGTTACCACTAATGAATTATAAAATCGTTCCAGTAAATTCAAAGATAAAATATATTATATTTAAATATAACTGAATTATAATATATTGTATACTTAGGTCGTGTGCGAGTTAGGCTAAGTTGCGTTCTAAATGAGGGAAATACTAAGTTGTGCCGATAATGTAGTGATGTGTCGATACGTGTTGATAAATGGCTAAATGTGTGCAGTGCAAAAAATCCCAAAAAATCTCCCATTTGGTTTAGCATCAACTTAGCCTAACTCGCACACGTCCTTGATAACACAAAACAAATTAAATTTTTTAAATACAAATACTCACGGCACTTCTCTAGTACATTTCGGTGGATGACTATTTGGCAGCGGCAAAGATAAGCCCGGCGCTCGAACTGGTGGCTTAATTGTTGTGGATGTAGTCTTCAGAAAGTCAGTTTTAGAGAAATGGAATATACCGAACAGTAGTAATGTAACAGTCAAATTACGTGAAAAATCGCTTAAAATTGACATTATTTAATTGAGTTTTTATTATTCAAAATAAAACAATTCGATTCGTTAAATCGAAAATTATTGATAACAGCAGCCAGCGTTCGTTCACTGTGAGAGACCTCAATTGTTTTGAATGCGGTTACCTACTGAGATGGATAGTATGCTGAAGCTTTGAAATTTCTTGTTATCAGCAACTGAATGAATATAAATCTATAAACTGTATTAAAACTTTTGTTTGTAAAGAGACATTAGTATTAATATTCGTATTTGGTTTTAATATATTAAATTGATACAACTAGGCATATTCTAAAGATGTGTGTCATTTAAGTTTTGATTTTAAACTAAATTTTTATTCTGGTTTTGGTCATTAACCCATTGTTATATCTGAAATAAGGCTAAAGCAAAGCTTATTAATAAAAGTCACATCTTAAAACTAATTGTTTCATTTTATTTGACTATCTATTCGGAAAATATTAATCTTTTATTGCGTTGCAATTTATATTATCACATACGGTTAATGTTTTTAACTGGAAAGAAAGTAGCAAGCTCTATACATACCTCTAATGTAGAATTTTGTATAAGTTCACATTCTAGCTTGTGTGTCGAGACGTGATTAATTATCGATATTCTTAAATGGATTTAAAATTGTTTGGTTTGGGGAATTAGAATGCGTGAAAAGAGGATTTAAGTATATCTTATCTTATTATCTTTTTGGTGTAGAATATTGATTATTCAGTCCTGGTGTAGCCTGTAATTCATAACACACTACCATGGTGTGTTTTTTTGGGTATTTAAATTAAGAACCGAATTTTATTATAAATCTATAATATTTTAACCATCCCTCTGTTAAGTTATGGATCCCTTATCAGAAATCTGTTTTAATATTTAGAATGCAAGCGTGTCATATTCTAGTGAATGTGTTCTACATTATAGTAGAAGTCGGAACTATATAAAAGTCGGGTGAATTTTAACTCATGCAGAAACAAGTTGCCGGATGTTGTCATAATGCAAAATTTCGGGTTAACATATTCTGTGACCGTTCTATACTCATATTTCTCTTTAAATGAATCAGTTTACTGCATAGTTCTACCGTAATAGCATCAGGTATAACTAGCTTATAGTGCATGACTTATCAGCATTTCACTGTATAATAATATAGAACAATTTAGATTTAACGTATTTTTCAAAATTACGTTAATACGTTAATAGCGTATATTATATTTCGTTATTGGTGTGTTTAAATGAAAAAATTTCGAAAAAAAAATTCTATATTGAGATAAAGAAGCTGTTTTTCTTAAAAATACTTGTAAGTCTTGCACATTTTTTTCAATTTAATATGTAATAATGTTTTCATTATGTTGAAAAGTGATCCTGACTAGCAACGAAGTGATGTCATAAAGCAATATTTAAACATTTTCATATTCGAGAAAATATAAATTCGAAATATTTTATAATGTTATGATGAATTTAGATTTCAGATCTAATTTTAATATAAATAGTTAAACATTATAAATATATACCAGACGCGAATACATCAACTTTTTTAATAGAATGTAGTTTGCAATATAAGATTTTATACATTATATATCGCTACATAAATGCAATTTCATATTTTAAAATCATTTTCGCATGTAAAAATTTTCTCTTACATTAAAAAATGATGCTTACTAGCAACAAAGTGATGTCACACAGCATTATTTAAAATAATTGCTCATTAAAAAAATTCTAAAAATTTAAAAATTCAGTTCGTATTATTATTTTGAGTTTAATATATATATATATATATATGCCGGGTGATAGTTTGCAATTGCATATCTTGCTCTGAAACGACTTTTCAAAGTACTATGTTACATAAGGACGAATGACATCCTCAGGAACCTCAAGATTGATAAAGGATAGAGCCCTGAAAGTATTTACAAAAACTGACGACAGACTTACCAACACCGCGTTATCGAATCTCAGAATGGTGACAGGACTACTCGGGGAGGTATGCAGATCCAAGGTCAATTATTGCTTAGTCTGATGAAGTGATAAACATTAATCCAGTCAAGGCGTAAAGAGGGGTTTTGAAGATACCTCGAGTTAATAAAGAGTAAAAGTGCTCAAGTGCTCTGGCTCAAATAGCTTCAACATAAATTATTTAAGACAGAATGTTATTTACACATTTGCATATGGATAAGTGCAATTAATAAAGGAGTTTAAAATAACGATTTTTTAAATCACACTCCCTTGTCGTCCTCCTTTAAAAAAAGGCGTCCCGGCGGGAAAAAGGCGTCAACTATCGCGGGTACAGCTTTAGAAAATACATCTGAAACTATTATCATTCTTAAATCTTTAATTCATAAATAAAATTTATTAGTAAATCCGAATAAGAAATAAAATATGAGTTTTTGTTGTATATTTTCTAAAGTTTTATTTAACAGAAATTTTGCGGGTTTAGTATTGCATGAGGTGTACATTAAATTATTGAAGAAAATTAAGTTAATGTATTTGAAGTCATACGTATGTTTTGAAGCGTTTGGCCTGAACTAATCATTACTATGCCTGAATTTTTAGAATCATGGTATTTTTATTTTAGAACTCGGTTGGACACACTTTAAGTTCAAAACCTTGTTTTCAGTTTTTAATAATCCAGTTTTTGGCGACTCAATCTAATCTTATTCACATTGTAATATCATTTAAATCAGCTGATAAGTTTATATGTATGCGATTTGATATAGTTACAATATTTAGATTAATCAGTTTATTTGCATTTGTAAATATATTTTATACATATTTAATTAATGATTAGTTTGATTATAAATATGATGACGTCATAAATGTTTTCATAGCTTATAAGCTTATAAGTATAGCAATTCAAGGGAAACATTAAACACAATGTTTTGAATATTTTCAAAACAATATTGAAATAAAATTCAATGCTTGAAATAAAAAAAGTTTCTTAAATTGATAAGACAAGTGAAGAGGCCAAGAGTACGTTCATAGAATATTCACATTTCCTAAAATAGGAAATACGGGAAATATGTAATAAACAAAAAAATCTCAGAGACACGCAAAAGTGATTGTCTGATTTTGGTACTAATTTTAGTAGAATTTTAGCAACGAACGCGTCTAATTCATTTCGTTTAGTTGAATTATTATAATAAATCATTTTTATTAAATGCACATGTGAACTCGTATACTAGTACATGTTTCTACAAATAGACGATAAGATGTTGACTTGGCACATATTGCATCAGCAACGTCCTATAATTTTTTGGTGTCTTTCAATTTTATTTCTTTGTTCCATACTGCAACAGAATTTTGTAGCAACATATAATACGCAACAACATTTTTCGAACTCTTATCAGCATTTGCCGCAAGAACCGTATCAGATACAGCAACCTCAGTACCAAGAGGAATCATTAAAACGGCACACACTATATTCTAACAACAATAAAGAACAACAAACAAATGAAAGACTTAGAATGCCATCGAGATCACTGAAACAGTCAAACGATCAGTCAACGACAAATTATAAGAAACGACCTGCTGTTATGGTGAATAATATTACAGAATCATCACAGCATAAGCAAAGAATTTGGGTGCCGTAAGTAGACAGATTTTCTATAGAACGAAAAATTTCCACTATGATAGAATGCATTAAATGTTCAGAAATCTAAAATATATTAAACGATTTTATTTTCAGAACACCTTCTTCTAACCTTCTTACAAATGAATCAAAACTAACAGATTATTGTTTTAACAATCATAGAAAATCCATTGTTCAATCAATGCTCTTAAAACATCTTCAATGTAATCAACCATTTAATGAAACTATTTAGTGTCATCCAGAATCCTAACATCAATAAAAAATGATTAAGAGACTAAATTAATAGTGTTATCAGGAGGCAAAGGTAGAGTCAAAGAGATGCAATTGAAGTGAAACTGAATGTTAAAAGTTCTTTTTTAGACTTTTTCCAAAGATATTATAACCGTGTTGCATTGTGTGATTGTGCAAGTTTTCCGGAGAGAAAGGTACAGTCATAGAGATACAATTGAAGTGAAACTGAAAGTTAAAAGTTTTTTTTTGGACTTACACCAGAGATATTAAAATCATATTGCATTGTCTGATTGTGCACGTTCTTTGGTACTGCCTCGGTAACACCAATAAACGTGTCGCATCCCATCTCTAGTGGAGCTACCATAAATATGATTGTTGCATTATTGTGATATATACAGTATATTCTAAGCAAACATATCTCTTAAGCAGAATATAAATCTTTTCCGGCACATTCCTAAGACTTATACAGGTTTTAGATACGGGTAGTAGACTAAAATCTGTTTCAGTGTACGTTTACTATTGTACAGGTGGTGTCTCCATATATTGTAAATTAACTTTTCTGCTTTTAACTGACATTAGCACGAATGAAATTTTACTACTCTCATTTTATCGACTATATTCCATATTGCTCTAAACAAACTTTTTGTATTTAAAGAAATCTACTATAAATCCTTTTTATTTATACTGACAACACTTGAGCTTTTTACATATGTAAATATTTACGTTCGTCCCTCATCCCTTTATTCTCCCATGTTGCTACTAAACAACCCTGCGTGGCAGCAGGGTTGTTATTCTAAAACAATTAATATTATTATATTACTATAAAAAAAATCTATTGTAAGCAGATTTGTTTTCTTACGAAATAGACTAACAGCTTTCAAAAACCAGATAATAGTACATTCACGACTAAAAAGAGAACCACTAAAAATGTTTTAAACTATTATCAAAGCTTCGCTTACCTGATTCCATAGTACTAATGATGTCTCAATCATTTTTGATGGTGTTAATACACCTTTAAGTTTAAGTTTAATCAGTATTTGCACTGGTATCGTTTGATTTAGATATCTTTTGAACTTGTATTGTGGCGTATTCTCAGTTAGCACCTATCTCCATTAGTCCTCTTTCGTTGAGGTCAAGATTCTAGCTGTATGATCACCAACAAATTGCTTGAAGCGGTGATTTTTTTCATTCAACAAAGAAATATGTCAATACGATTCAACTAACGTTCATTTTTATACCACCAGCACCTTTGAGAATCAACTAGAATGAAGTTTCAATCTTAGCATAGAAGTTTTTATGGTACAGTACAAATATTTGTACAGTTTATAGTATCTTTGTTATCATTTTTTGTGATCTTCCGGGCTTAATCATTGGCATCGTACCTATTTGTTAAGTTTTGTCTTTTATTTTTGCACGAACTTGACATTGTTTTATATTATTTATCCTGCAATGTTGGTGTATCTCTCTTCCTTATATTGTTTAGCTCATTATAAACGTCAACACATAAAATGGTATTGGATGATATTTTGAAGGCTCTCAAATCATTGGCTAGTTCCGGCTAGTTAGATTATGTGACGATTGATTTCTCATTCCAAACTTTACACTATCAAAAAATTGGTCAAAATATTCATACGACAGTTCTCCTGGAACTAATAACAGTGATACTTGAACAGATTAGTTCGTTAGAATGGGAACTGAATTTGATGAGTTGGATGGAGAACATTTATGCGAATGAAGTATTTATGTTGACGCATTTATGCTGACCCAACTGTATTTATGAGACAACATTGTCATTGTATTTAATCGGTCAATACCCAATATGGCTATATACTGAATTTGTAAACAATTGTGTGTCAGCTGTTAAATTTTGGCGGCAATTTAAATTGGTGTTTTTTGTTTTTATGTACCAAATCTCAAACAAAATTATGGACTACTTGATAAGACATAGTCGGTATCAGTGCATTGCAAAAAAATGGGATAAATTTTAATAATGTAGTTTAATGTTTAATGTAGTTTTCTGTTTCTTTGTGTCTGAAACCCACTTTAGTTTACAGGTTATTACTATTATTATTAGAAAGAACATATATTATCTATTGTTTATTCAAATCTAAATCCTAAAAAAATCCTTTTGTTCAATACATCGAATCGCAATTAGTCTAATGGTAAGTAGATAGAGAACCAGCAGTTATCAGAGTTCTTTAATCCATTATTAGAAGGTGATAGTATTGTTAGTTAAAGAATTAGTGATTCAACTGAGTTTGGATCTCTATGGTATGATAAACTCGTCCGGATAATCGTTGTCGATCAGCATAAACTTTTACTATTCGACTTTACAGATAATTTGTATTAGATGCTTCTGAATACTGAAGCAATATGTAGTTGTTAGGTTAATCATACAGCTCGGTATACAAAGGTGTAGTATGTCAATGTTTTGAAGAAGGCTTTTAGACGCTGTTATTAAAAAAGTATTTTACTTTTTGTTCTGTGTTGTTATATATTATATATATATTATATATATATTATATATATATTATATATATATTATATATATATTATATATATATTATATATATATTATATATATATTATATATTGTCTATTGTTATATAGACAAATTCTGACAGCATTGTAGTTGTTGCATTCTGGCTAATAGTTTTTAAATATACATTCTTACATGTTCATTTATATCAATTAATAATTACAAGACAACATCGTTTTTGTTGCATATTTGTTGTTTTTGTTTTTTTTTTGCATATGTATTTTCGTTCCTTGTTTTTAAGAGCTATGTATGGTGTTCCCTTCAATGTTCAATTAATTAATGCATAACTTACATATGTGGAATAGTTTCAAAAATAATTATTTTTTATTGACTGCTAACTAATTTTTATATTTTCAGGCCAGATGTTATTGAAAAATATCCATTTGCTTTCACACTTCAATTAGATAAGAAACAGAATTATGCACAAATTGAGATATGCGCCACTGACTATAGACCGATACGTTGGTATGGCAAGGTAGTCTGTCGTCCAGTATGCAATAATTGTAGAAATGGTTTTTGTGTGGCACCTGGCGATTGCAAATGCTTTGAGAATTACGTCAAAAGTGACAACGACGATTGTGTTTTCACATGTCCGTTGGGTTGCTTAAACGGACAATGCTACTTAGATGGCCGTTGTGTATGTAATCCAGGGTACACACTGGATGAAACACGAAAGTTTTGTCGTCCGATTTGCAGTGGAGATTGCGGTCAAAACCCTAAACACAACTGCACTGAGCCGGAAGTATGCAGTTGTCGTAACGATTTTCAGTTAACTAGTAATGGCTGCAAGCCTATATGTGATCCAGATTGTGGAGTTGGCGGATATTGTGTGGAACATGAAAATGAAAATGCATGCAAATGTGAACCTGGTTATCGTATAAAAGATAAAACTTGTCAATCAGATTGTTATCAGTGAGTCCAAATTTTTTTATTTTTTATTTTTTATACGACTAATATTATTAAATTTTACAGAAAATGCGACAATGGAATATGCTTTAGTCCAAATCGATGCATTTGTAAACCAGGTTTTTCATTCCACGAGCGTTCCACAATTTGTGTGCCGAATTAAAGATAAATATTAATGAGTTATTAAGTTTTAGTGCTTGAGATAAGATAATAATATTTGATTGTTTTATTTTTATATAAATATGAATAAATGTATTTTTCTTAATATACAATTCTTTTCAGTTTCTTTTTGTATGTAACTACGTCTTTTAGTTTAATTTAAATATCACTGAGGTTGTTAACTTATAGAGAACTTCATCCAATATTGACTTTAACTTTGAAAATTGACAAATAGTTCTGAAAAAAAAAATTGGATTAGTTAAAATAACTAACAACTAACAAATAACTATTTATATGCATGTTCATACAATATCACAAATTATATATATATTTTCACATTGTGTTATAAAAATTTAAAAAAAATCATAATTATTAAAATTGGATTTTTAAAAAATTTGAAAAGTAAAAGAGGTTTAAAAAACAAGAATAAATGCTTAAAGATATCTTTAAAATTGGAACTAATAAAATTGGACTAATGTCTATTCTTTAAAAAAAATAAATTTTTTTATTCTCATACTCGTAATACTGTTTTAAAACTACAAGACAAATTTGATATTTTAAAGATACAAGGAATGTGCAATAGCTTAGTTTTAAATATGAAATTAATAAACTTTTTTTTTTGTTTTGAAATTAAAAACAATTTTTGTGAAACGTAATGTAAAATGTGTAAATAGTATATGCTTTGTTTGCTATATAAACGCGAATTCTTCTTCAATGCAAATATTGTTTCATACTTTTTCTTAATAGCAATTATAGTATACTAAACTTGAAATCATGTTTTAAAAAAAAGAAGTAGGGACTGCAAAGTAAACGTTTCACATCACAAGTTTATCCTTTATATATATAATTTTAATTGTTCTAAAATAACATTGCAATTTTTTAGTTTATAAGGACATCATCATATTACATTACTATTATCAGTTCATCGCAAATTTGTTATTAAAACTTACCTTCTTTACGAGAGTCAGAGAGTTTATGTCGTTTCAAGTAAATAGTTGCTATAGTTCCTAGTAATAGTAGTCCAGTCACAGCAGAGGAGCCTATAATTATGTACATCAGTTTCCGACTTTCTTCAATTTTTTGCGTTGTACAGGTGTATCGATATTCCTGTACTTCCAATTTTGTATTATCACGAGTAATGCATATTAGTTCAGTACTATTATCACGGCACTCGCAGTCTTCGGGGTCAACACAGTTTGTTGTAACACTGATTCCACAGGCACTTATGCAGTTTGTTTTTGTGCCGTTTAAGTTATTATTATTCTTCCAACACAAACAGTTGTGTTGGCATTGAGAAAAGTGCAAAATTGTGACTTCTTCTGATGGGATTTCAATATTTATATCTTTGTCATCATCTGACAATACTTGTTGACTTTCAGTGGATGTATCCATAATTTGGTTATTTTCACTTGTTGAACTAACTTCAGTTTGAATACTCCATGTGTATTCAATATAAAATTGTGTACTTTCCCTCGTCATATCATTTATAATAGTCGTTTCAATTGTACTAGTGTCTATATAGTCTGCTTCCAGTGTTGTTGGGTTTGGTTGACAAATTTCCAGACTACCCTCTTCGTTGGTGTTATAATTTGCATCATCATCATCATCACAAATGCAAACATTGGGTTTAGTACAAGTGCCATAAGTGCAGCGTTCACAAATGGGTATGCACTTATTGATCTCTGATAACGATTCTGTATAACCATTATTGCAGGTACAAGTATTTGGTGCACTACAATAACCATTTATACAGATGTTTTCACACACCGGTAAGCACTCATTAATAATTCCAGTTTCACTGATGCTTACCTTATTTGGTTCATATCCTTCTTGACAAATGCAGATGTTTGGCTCGACGCAGTCCGCATTTATGCAAGTAGGTTCGCAAAGAGCATTACAAACATTAAAAGAATTATTTGCGAAACCATAGCCAGGTTTGCAAGCACAAATCTCGGGCTCAATACACTCACTGTTAATACAGTTGAGCGAACAAACTGGTACACAACTCTTATGTGGACCCATCAAATAACCAGGATTGCAAACGCACGTCTCTGGTGCAAAGCAAAAACCGTTTGTGCAATTATTACTGCATTTTGGTTTACACAAAGGCTCCAATGGATTATTGGTTTGAATTTCGAAGCCAGTGAAACATTCACACACATTTGGAGCTGTGCATTTACCAAACTCTGAACAATCTTTCTCACAAAGTGGTTCACAGTGTACAACAATATCACTGGAATTTCTCATTTGGTAGCCTTTATCACAAATGCATTCATTGGGCTTGACACAACTACTGTGTACAGGACAATTTTCAATACATTTTGGCATACATAAATTTTCTTCATCATTCATGCTATACCCATTATCACACTCACAAATATCTGGTGCAGCACAAGTACTAAAAGTAGGACATTCTTTATAACAAATAGGTACACATCTGTTGGTAACTGGATCCATTTTATATGACTCCAAACACTTGCATTCATTGGGTGTTTGACAAAAGCTGTTATCTAAACACGCAATCTCGCATATTGGTTCACAGAAGTTATTTTCTGATAGGTTATAGCCGTCTAAACATTCACATTTATTAGGTGCAATACAATTACTATAAAGGGGGCAACCCTTTGTACAAATTGGTTGGCAGATAGTTTTATTATTGTTAACTTCATAACCTTCATTGCAGATACATTTGTCAGGAGTTGCGCAATAACTGTTATCAGGACACCCATCAGTACAAATAGGTGCGCATTTGTCTTCCGTATTAAATGCGTAACCATCGTTACATTCACACGTTTCTGGTGCAGTACATGAACTATAATTTTGGCATATTTTAGAGCAAACTGGTTGACATATAGGATTAAAATTCGTACCAGCTGTCATTTCAAAACCAATGTCACAACTGCAAATAAACGGGTCGGAACAATGACTATGAGCTGGACATATTGAACAAATTGGTTCACAGTCATTTGACACTTTTTTATAACCACTACAACAGTTGTCGCGTTCTAGTACCAGATCATAATAATCCTACAAAAAATGAATAGATTAAAATTAGCAATTAATTAAAATTAAAAAAAAATATTTATTTTATTTAGTAATTTTTTTTAATTAAGTATTAATTAAAGATTGCAATTCAATAGCTAAGTCTTAAGCTGGAAAATTTAAAACTCCCTTAAACTTATTATTTATATACTGGGAACGTGACAGTTATTAATTAAAAAAATCAACTAAAAAGCCTAATCACTCGCCTTTTAAAATAAAACTCAAAAATTAATAAGTTATTTTACTATTATTTACTTGTAAATAATTATTACTATCTACCTTTTATTATTTACGCACAAATAACTCGTGCATTCCTGCTCTTTATTTTAAATACGCAAAAATAATTATTACTTTTGCTTTTTACTTTTCGTTTTAAAAACGAAAATCTTGAAAATAACTATTATTTTTTATTTTTGAGAGCAAAAATAAAACTCTTTGTATGCAGTTTATTTTTGAAAGCCAAATAAAAGTCCGCAGTAGGGCGTTTTATTTGTAAGCGGAGCAAAACAAAAAGCAGCTTTGTGTGTTGGGTGATTGTTATTGTGAACTCATTGATAAAATGTTTGAAACGGTTAGTGCAGTGTATGCCTATTAAATATATTAAATATAGTGCATTTTTCTTTTTAGGTAATATGTTTTTTTGTTTTATAAGTATTATAATTACAAATCTGATATTGTATTTTAACTATATGTATAATCTGTTGAATGTGCATTGAGTATAACAGAATACATTTCTTTTTTTAGTATTGTCTGGTATATCGTGCTGATCAAATTAAAAAATTTAAAATTCAACTTTTTAAACAAATATTTTATATATATATATATATATATATATATGAATTTTAAACTCAATTCCCTAAAAAAAGAAATTATGTATTGCTCGTTTGCAAGCCTGAAAACTGGCTTTAGTGAACTCTGGATCAATAGCGAAGACATTGGCATGCAGTCGTGTGTAGCAATTAAATCTAGATAAAAAATATTTTGCAGAACTTTACCGATTATTTCATACTAATAATTTTTTTTTCTGTGCTAATCACGTTATATAAGGCGAAATTCTTTATAAGTGCTAACTCCACAAAATATAAAACATTGACGCGCTATATAACAGAGTAAAACAAATGTATTAAAGCGCAAAAACTGTTTGTGAATACAAAAATCAGGCTTATTTTATTTAAATTGATTTATTCTATCATATAATGACATTTCCATTCACGTCTTATGCCCCATCTAACAGTCTTTGGAGCCTTCTAGTCCCTCCCAGAGTATATTAACGTGTCCACGACTGACATGGAGGTGCAGTTAATTTTTTTTTTGCTGGAGCTATTGACATTCAACTTCTACACAACTAACTCATATATATGCTATATTCGAGTGATATATTTAAATAAATAATTCGTATACATTAAAACTGTATGTGTAATAATAATAATTTATAATAATAATAAAACAAAAAATAAGATATAATTTATTAATTTTTCATTACTTTTTTAAAATGCATTTGAAAAATATTACAATTTATCTTATATTGCGGTTTTTCCAAGATAGTGCAACTGGGCACTTTTACTCTTTGTTAGCTAGGGGTTTTTACAGTGTCTCTCACTTCTCTTTGACTAATTTATGCATTCCTCATCAGTTTCGCTGATTATGCGAATACTGATCTACGATCTACATACCGCCCCGTACGGCTAGTGACTACTCTGAGATAAGATAGTGCTATATGGGGCAGCCTGTAGGTTTTCGCGTATAGCTTCAGGGCTCTGTCCCCTATGTATTTTTTGACCAAGTCTCTTGGCATGTTATTCGTGCGGATGTACTATGACACTTTGAAGAGTCTTCGGAGAGTCTGACTTTGAGCAACTTGTAGCTTCTGGTTAGTAAAATTGGTCGCTTTGCTATACGCAATGCACTCGTAGAAAAGTGCCAGTCTGTTTATCTGAATGTAGATCAACCAAAAAAATAATTACCAGGAAAAATTCGTAGTTATCACACGTTATGATGGTTTTACTTAATACTTATTTTTTTAAACATACTACTTAAGCTTATTTATTACGAAGCTACTAAGATGGCTTTAGATCCCTTCACCTAAAGTTTATCGGTGGGTCTTGAAAACGTTGATAGAAATTATACCAACAATATTTACACAATTTTATTATATCAGAAGTATATTCTCTCTTGAAAGTTTCGAATAATATTTTTTATGTTTTGCATAAAAAAGCTTATGAAATGCTGTCAACAGTCCAGCGGTACTAGAATTGTATTTGAGGTATTGCTTTATCAAAAAATATATAGAAGAAAAATTTTACGAATACGGTGACAATTTTTATATTATATATTAAAAATTAATTTTAAATGTTTTGCAATAAAATACTTTACGGTTATTATTTTTAAACTTAATTTTTACATTTTATTGCCCGATATATAATAGTATATACCTCATTATCAGGGTAGCTGTAAGTTTCATATATTGTTCTACCATACCAAGTTCTACCATTCGCACGACTTGCGGTCTTCCAAACAATCCGCGTTCGTCTTACACGTTTCCAATAAGGGCAAAATTTTTCACTACCGCTAATAACGCATATATTTAACAAACTAATTGCAATTAAATATTTGAGGTACATTTTTTTATGTACTTTAAAAACTTCCGGTACGAATATCAATTATAAATTATACTACAGTATAAACACGAATAGCACTTGAAAAATACTAACTTGTAAAATTACACAAAATTTAGTTTTATATGCTAAAGAAACTCAAATTTTATCGCATTTCAAACGTTTTATATGTATATATATAAATATATATATTTCTAATTGCAAAATTATTAAATCTTTTATACCATTTATACGTTGTTCTGTTGTATTCACTTTTGTAAATATCCGGAATGTAGGCGCCATAATAGTATTTGATGTTAGAAACAATGGTTATTTAAATGCACTTTTAATATGTTTGTATGTATGTGTAATAGTTCTTATTGTTTACTTTATTAAAATCAAGGTCTAACTATATGTGGCTATTTTCCATATTTTTAAGTCAATACTTTAGAGTAAATGCATTAGGAAGAAATGCAACATAGGAAGAAAATAAATAATATACGTTATTATAAAACTATAATCAATTGAAGATTTCTTTATATGAAATAAAGACGTTTTTTGAACAGTAGTGAACTACAACAACACAAATTTATTCTATATTATTTTAATTAATTGAATTTTTGATTGTTTCGAGTATTGTCAAATACCCATCATCAATGGTCTTGGAAATAATTCTTGTATTTAATTATTCGTAAATAATTTATTGAAGACTGAATGTATCAGAAATCGAATTCGTGCCCTGCCAAATTTGAAGCTCAGAGTCAGCGCTCCTTAACCAAATGACCCAAGGCCGTACTTGACTTTACTTTGCTGTGAAAGTTTTTTTAACAAGTTCACTTGTTGTGTTTATATTAGAACAAAATCATAAATCAGTTGTAGAATCATTGAATTAATTAATTATATATTTTTTTTTAATTGTTAACTTTCAATACTATTCTTTTTGTAGAGGCATTATTTGTTGCATGATTTATATATACTTTCTTATGTATAGAACCTGTAGGAATGTAATACTGAGAAAGTCATGCCAATGTTACTGTACGAGTCGCAGGGGCGAAACGAATATTTTGTGAATATAAGTTGTAATTTAACGTCATTTTTAAGATGGAAGTGACTATTATATTTAATAGTAACTAGTATATAAATAAATAGGTTTTGAACAATAGTGAACTACAACAACAAAAATTTTGTTTTAATATTATTTTGATTAATTGAATTTTTAATTTATATGAGTTGTGTGTGTATATTATATTATATAAAAGGAACAAGAAGAGTTTTTGTATTTTACTATTGATAGAATAGGCTCCTCAGTTGATGTTTGTCATTTGTGATGATACCAGGTAATATCAAACTAACATTAGTTTAAGTTCTTTAGTTTAGAGAAAATATAATTAAAAACTCAGGTTTTTTTTTATATAAGAAAGATCTAAATTGTTAAAATTTAATTGTAAATTGTGTTATTGCAAACTCCATCAATAAAAACTAAAGTCTTTTAATATTTGTCAAACTATTATTAAATGATATTATTCAATATAATATATAAAGCATCCGGTTCTATAAAATAAAATCCTTAAATTATTATTAACCAATTAAAATGTATGTTGTCGCTTTTGAAGTTAGTCTTTTCGATTGCAATATGTATATACTAAGAATTACCTTAATAATCCTTATATATTTATTTTTTATCGATTGGGGTCGTTTCAAAACGCTATCCACATAAAAAAATGCTTTCTGGATCCTATTCAATCAATTTCTTTGAAAAACTCGTACAATATGCTATATATTTTAGGAACGCTATGTTTTTTTTTTTTAATTTATTAGTTTCAAATACATTTTGAATATAACGTATATTGTGCTATTTTTTTTACAAGCTTTTGACCCCATCACCTCTAATTTGTCTCAGTTTTTTTTATTATGGATATGTTTTCTAATTTCCAGTGTCTTAAAAAAAATGAGGTTTCGATCATTTGCGTTTTATTTATTTATAATTTAATATATTTATATACTAATGTTAACAGTTATTTAAAAAAAATTTTTTTTCAAAATTCTCATTGAAAATTCTGTTTTTATTTTTGATTTAAATTTATAAAGAAATTTTATTTAAAAATTAATAATTCTTCGATAGCATTATAAAAAGTATTTTTAAAAATTAAATTAAAATTTCTATTAAACAAAACTTTAAAAAATATATATTAAAAATAAATATTTTATTTCTAATTTCGACTAATCATTATATTTCATACTTAGATTGAACTTTTTAGAATAATATTAGTTTTAAAAAATAATTTAATGTACACCCCACGCAATACTAAACCCGCAAAATTTCCATTAAATAAAACTTTAGAAAATATACAACAAAAACTCATATTTTATTTCTTATTCGGATTTACTAATAAATGTTATTCATAAATTAAAGATTTAAGAATGATAATAGTTTCAGATGTATTTTCTAAAGCTGTTCCCGAGTTAGTTGACGCCTTTTTCCCGCCGGGACGCCTTTTTTTTTAAAGCAGGACGACAATGAAGTGTGATTTAAAAAATCGTTATTTTAAACTCCTTTATTAATTGCACTTATCCATATGCAAATGTGTAAATAATATTCTGTCTTAAATAATTTATGTTGAAGCTATTTGAGCCAGAGCACTTGAGCACTTTTACTCTTTATTAACTCGAGGTATCTTCAAAACCCCTCTTTACGCCTTGACTGGATTAATGTTTATCACTTCATCAGACTAAGCAATAATTGACCTTGGATCTGCATACCTCCCCGAGCAGCCCTGTCACCATTCTGAGATTCGATAACGCGGTGTTGGTAAGTCTGTCGTCAGTTTTCGTAAATAATTTCAGGGCTCTATCCTTTATGAATCTTGAGGTTCCTGAGGATGTCATTCGTCCTTATGTAACATGGTACCTTGAAAAGTCGTTTAAGAGCAAGATATGCAATTGCAAACTATCACCCGGCATATATGTATAAATATATATTAAACTCAAAACAATAATACGAACTGAATTTTTAAATTTTTAGAATTTTTTCAATGAGCAAACATTTTAAATAATGCTGTGTGACATCACTTCTTTGCTAGTAAGTATCATTTTTTAATGTAAGAGAAAATTTTTACATGCGAAAATGATTTTAAAATATGAAATTGCATTTATGTAGCGATATATAATGTATAAAATCTTATATTGCAAACTACATTCTATTAAAAAAGTTGATGTATTCGCGTCTGGTATATATTTATAATGTTTAACTATTTATATTAAAATTAGATCTGAAATCTAAATTCATCATAACATTATAAAATATTTCGAATTTATATTTTCTTGAATATGAAAATGTTTAAATATTGCTTTATGACATCACTTCGTTGCTAGTCAGGATCACTTTTCAACGTAAGAAAAAATTATTACATACTAAATTTTTTTAATATGTGAAATTGCATTTATTTAGTGTTGTTTAATTAATATAATTAATTATTTAATATAATTAGTTAATTAATTAATATAATTAGTTAATTAATGTAAAATCTTATGTTACCAATCATAATATATATGCATCTGGCTTATATTTGGGATGTTTAAGAGATAGTATTAAAACCAGATTTATAAGCTTATTTAATTTAATCTTATTTAGATTTATAATATATTATTATTATTATTGAGTAAGGGATCGTGCACTGCGACCTAAAAGATCTATTGTGCCCCTTTGTCGGGTTAGAGTATTTCTCCAAGTCCGATTTCTTTAATGAAAGACAGTATGGATCCTATCTTCTCCAGTCTTGAATCCTTATGATCCATGAAATACCCTCCTAGGTGTTTCTTTCGTTTATGCATCAGTGCCGGGCACTCCCCAAGCACATGGTATGCCGTTTCTCTCTCTTCCCTGCAGTATCTGCAGTCTGAGTTGGATTGAATTCCTAACTTCGATAGGTGATTATTCAATCTGCAGTGACCGGTCAGTAAACCCGTAATAATTCTTATGTTAGTCTTTGATTGCACTATGCAATCTTTAAAGCGTTTTAGGTTGTAAGTCCCTAAAAGCATTTTAGATTGTGAGAGTCTTGGTAGCATTAACCAATAGAGTTCTCTCTCTTTTTTCTCTGCGTCATTCATGATAATGGATATAGCTCCTTTGCCTAGACCACAGAATGGTTCTGGGCCTATTATTCTTGATGCCGCGCCTCTTCTTGCAAGTTTGTCTGCTATTTCATTACCTTGGATACCAGTATGTCCCGGAATCCATAAAAGGTGCACCTGATTGATCCCACCGAGTGTGTTCAGCTTGTCAATGCATTCCCATACCAGTTTGGATGTTACCTGGTAAGATATGAGTGCCATTATAGCTGCCTGGCTGTCAGTCAGTATTGCAATTTTACGGTTCCGGTAGTTACGTTCAATATTGAAACTGGCGCATCTATCTATCGCGTATATTTCCGCTTGAAAGATGGTTGTATTGTTTCCTAATGCTTCCCAGTATTTTTTGCCTGGTCCATAAACACCAGCTCCAGCTCCCTCATTGGTGAGAGAGCCGTCTGTATACCATGTTATCATGGTTTCTTTTATTTTTGGGATGTTAGACAAACCCTCCCAGTTCTTTTTGTTGCCAAGTTCAGTTTTGAAGTTTTTTGTAAAGTTATGCTTTACAATCATCCTGTCCATTGGCATTTCAATTTCTGGGATTTGTGCAGCCAAAGTATCAAGTTTTTTGCTATTGGTTTCAAGACCAGTCACCTTATTTGTATTTACTCTTAGAGCAGCCCTCTTCGCCTGTGATTGCACATAGATATGAAGAGGAGTAAGTTCCAGGAGTACTTCAATTGATGACGTGGGACATGTTCTCATTGCTCCTGTTATGCTTACACATGCAAGTCGTTGTACCTTGTTGAGTGTGTTGATAACGCTTTGTTGATTTGTGCAGTTCTGCCAGACTATTGATCCGTAGGTGATCATTGGTCTGATTACTGCTGTGTATATCCATCGCAGTGACTTTGGTGTACATCCCCAATTCTTACCTGCGATGGATCTACATGTCATAAAGGCTTTGGTTGCCTTTTTTGTCACTTCTTGGATATGAGATTTCCATGTTAATTTTTGGTCTAAAATTATACCCAAAAATTTTACCTCCTTTTGTAGTTTTATTTCAAACCCATCTAAGCGGATGGGTTTAAGGTTTTTTATTTTGTATTTCTTAGTGAATAGCTCAATGGTTGTTTTTGCTGGATTTATTTTCAGCCCAACCGAATTGCACCATTCTTTAGTTAGTTTTAAGCCTAACTGGATTCTTTCGCACAGAGTACTCTCATATTTTCCTCTGCAGATAATTACCACATCATCGGCGTACCCCTGGATTTGGAAGCCATTCCTGTCCAGTTTTACCAATAGTTCATCCACTACCATACTCCACATAAGGGGTGATAATACTCCACCTTGTGGGCACCCTCGCGAAGTATTTGCAAAAATATTACCATTGCTGGTCGGAATTTCTACTCTCCTGGTGCGAAGCATATTGCTCATCCAGCGTGAGAGTGTGCCATTGATTCCTCTTTTAGAAATAGTTGAGTTTATAACCTCATGTGAAGTGTTATCAAAGGCTCCTTCAATGTCTAGGAAAGCGCAAATTGCTATCTCTTTCTTATCTATGCTGTCCTGAATCGTGTTACTTAGTTGATGCAGGGCTGTTTCTGTCGACTGCCCTGCCCTATAGGCATGTTGGCGACTGTATAGTGGAGTTACTTTCAGTGTAGTATTCCTGATATAGTTATCCACAACTTTTTCTACTACTTTAAGTAGGAAGGATGTGAGGCAGATTGGTCTGAAGGATTTCGGGTGAGTAGGATCTCTTTTGCCCGCCTTCGGAATAAAGACCACTTTTGCCCTTCTCCACATGTTTGGTATGTATCCCAATGCAATACTGACTCTGGCTATTCTAGTTATTGGACCTAGTAGCTGTTCAATTCCTTTTTGAAGTAATGCCGGAAAGACACCATCAATACCTGGAGATTTCAGTGGCTTGAGCGAATTTACCGCCCACCTGATTTTAGGCATTGTGATTATATTTTTGGCAAATTTCCAATCATCCTTCTTTACTGTTTTAGGGGGTTCAGTGTGTTCTGATTCCGTCCCTAGAGTTGGAGAGGATCCTGGGAAGTGTACGTCCAGAAGTAGTTGTATCTTCTCTTCTTCACCTTCGGTGAAACTTCCATCTTCTCGCTTGAGATTTGTGGAGGTGAGGCTGCTGCTTTTTGCAAGTACCTTGTAGAGTCTTGATACCTCCGTAGTGTTTTCTATGCTTTCGCAGAATTTTTGAAAGCTTCTGCGTTTAGAGGCCCTAATTTCTCTATTGTACAAAGTAAGTTTTTTCCTATATTCTGACCAGTCTCCTGTTCGCTTTGAGTAGTTAAAAAGTCCTCTAACAGTGTTTCTTAGGTTTTTAAGGTCATTGTTCCACCAAGGCACATCCTTGGTGGAGTTAATCAGGCTTAATGGACAGCTATCCTCATATGCATTTAGTATGGCCCCATTAAGGTTTTCTAGGTAATTTTCTAATTGAATTTCATTCTGAATGATTTCATCTAGCCCTAATTGGACAAGATTGTCTTTCAGATTTTCCGTGTAGTTCTCCCAATTTGTTTTTCTTGGGTTCCTTAAAATTTTTTTGTTAATTGGTGAACCTTCAATGTCGAACCTTAGAATTCTATGATCAGACATAGATGGTTCACTGGATACTCTCCAGTTTTTCACAAGCTCACAACCTCGAGTATTTCCTATAGTAATATCTAGGACCTCTTTGCGTGAGATAGTTACAAATGTTGGTGTATTACCTACATTACATATTTCTAATTTTTTACTAGTTATAAATTCTAAAAGGTACTCACCTCTTATATTGGTGTTAGTGCTTCCCCAAACTTCGTTGTGTGCGTTGGAGTCGCAACCGAGTATAAGAGGCAATTTCATTCTCTCGCAGTAGTTTACCAGTTTATCGACCTCTGCAGATGGTACCTGAGTGTCGTCTCCTGGTAGATAACCTGTAGCTACGACTACGTTCCGTAGAACTCCGTTGATGTTGGCCGGAATCTGTATGGCAACGAGGTCCCTGGAGAGAAATTCTGAAAGACAGATAAAGTTGATATTAATATTCAATAGAATGCAGGTTCTTGGTTTATCACATCTTACATCCCAAATTGTCTGCATATTCTTTGCAGTCAAACCACAGATTCGACCCCTGTAAATCCAGGGTTCTTGGACCAGCACTATGCTCAGGTTCGATTTGAGCGTAGCCCTTGCAATAACTGCCGACGCAGCTTTTGCATGGTGGATATTTATTTGGGCGATTCTAGTGCTGGTCATCAGGTGGTTATTCCTCCTTCGTTTCTTCTATCAGACCGTCGTCGATGTCTGACAGAAAGATTCTTTCGGAGTCTTCCTCGGACGCCAGGTTCAGTAGAGAGAGATCTAGATTCTCAATGTCCTCACTCTCGTGAGGTAGCACGCTGATATCTTCAATCTTCTCGCTCCTGGTCGCCTCCTCCTCCACTAGTTCCGCAACAGTTGCAGGTATCGTTCCTACAGCTGGTGTATTTTCCCCAGCTGAGTTACTTCTTTCCTTGTTGTCTCGTCCCTTATGCAGGTGAATTGGGACGGAACTGAATCTGTAGAAGATCCTACAGCCGTTGTTTGTTATGGCTTCCTGAGACCGGTTGTCAATCCCGATTGTTAGGAGTTTGCCATTTTTCAGATCCTTGCTGCTAAAAACTCTCCACATCTGAGTATGTAGACCCTCATTTTGAGTTATGAGCAGTTTTAGCAGCTTTTCCGTGTCGACCCCTTTAGCTCTTGGGAGGTAGACTGTCAACATGTGTAATTTCGGTATTTTGTCCCCGACACACGTGGTGAGTTCAGCGCCTTCCCATCCGTTCAGCTTAGGTGCCGTTCCATGGATAAAATTAGCCGCATCCTCGTCTACGCAGTCAACCAGTATAAGTCCTGGGCGAAAGTGTATCCCGCTAAATCGGAGCTTGGCATCCCATCCTTTATACATCTCCTCAATGAGAAGTTCCTCGATTTTACCTTGCTCCTCCCTAGAAAGAGTAGATTCCGGGTAAGATTTCGGAAGAATTGCTATTCTTAAGCTCTTGGCTACATTAGCGTAACTGCTGCCCGATATTATTTTTCTCGGTTGTTTTGGTGCTGTCATTTGCGTACCATCCTTTGCTTGTGGAGGTTTCTCATTCCCTCTTCTTTTCTTAGCTGATTGATGATCGATCGGACTAATTTCTTGGGCAGACCTCTTCTTAGAGTCTTGATTGCCCCTCGGCCGATTGAGCGCCTTTTCCTTGGCTGCCTCCGGTGCTAAGCCTTCTTTGAGATAGCGCAGGTACCATTTTGTACCCGCACCGCTCAAACCAGTAGATTTCCTGGCGTCGCGAAAGCTTTGGCCGGAGTTTAGTCCAGTGCTTGTCGAGGGCTGTGGTAGTGTTTCGATCGTTACATCTTTTGGTGCAACCTTTGAACCCAGAGTTCCTTGACTTCCTTTTCGTAACGAAAGTTCCGTTTTTGATTCAGTTGGCAGAGAGCTAGTATTGTTCCTAGCTTCTTTGCCCTCAGTACTTTTTTCCGCTTTCCGTTTTGGAAAGGGTGCCTGGCGATCGGTATGTTGGATATCAGACTCCGACCGATTTACCAGTTTATTTGCAGTGTGTGTTCCTGCTGGTTTTTTTATATTGTTTTTATTATTTTTATTCAAATTATGTTCCATTAAATTCCCACGAGTGTGGGGGAAAGGAGGTCCGCCGTGTCATAGCCCCCGATAACACGGTAAGCCCACAGTTACTCAATGAGGCGGGCAGGTATCATTGAGGTGCGACGCTAGAATACAGTCTGTTACCCCGACTGCAAACAAGTCCGATGAACACGTGCAAATTCCGGATTGGGGGGGAAGATGGAGGTGGAGAGGGATAGGGGTATTGAAATGTTGATAGTAGGGAATATTTAGGAATGGGAAGGTGCGGGTTTGGCTCGCATTAGCCGCTATAAGCGTTACCAGGGATCACCACGTGGAGGCCCTCCTTTCGAAGGGGGTGAGTACTTGGGATTAGTCTCACCTGCGAGTCCATCTAGTGAAATACTAGGATATTGAAATACTATAACATTGTACAAATTTTTGTAAAAATATTATTTTTGAATGTAAAATTCTGTTGATAGTGATTTCCGGTATTAATTATTTGTTAGTCAGCACCACTCTTGAATATATGTAAGAAATATTACACTATATGTCTGGGGAGCGCATATATTTCTTTTGAAGTATCCTCTGAAATATTTTATAGTTTACAGTTTCGGTTTTTAGACCGAATTTATTTACGTGAATAGATGCTTTTCATCTTCTTTAGGAGCATGTGGTATTGTTTAATATTTTAATCAGTGAACTAAAAATGATTAAACACTATATGTAACCAAATATATATATGTAATATATATATTTCAATATATGTAACCAAATACTATCCGTCACAAATAGTTGTCCACTCTGTTGATTGCAAATTTCTCGTTAGTGTACAGTAATGGACACATGTTGGATTTGCATCTTCAATCCAATAAAATTCAGGTGATACGGGAACTGAAACAGACATACCATTTTGTATATGGATATGTTTATATATGTTTCCGAATAATAGCGTTTCGTTGTCAATTTTTAGATCGAATATTTTTCAGTGTTGAGTTTAATTTTAAGGTTGTTGGATATGTCAACAAACAAATATATGTATAATAAAATATATGCTGATATGTACCTTTGAAAGGACGGTAATTCAAGCCATACAGCTCCTCTTGTTTTGATTCTGTTGAGTGGGAAATGTCTTAGATATTGATTTAATACCTATTGACGAGGTTCAATACGTATTTCCGATATTCCGGACGAAACATTTTTCTGTAGTAGATAAGTTATGCGAAGATTGCTGAAAGTGGAATACACAGCCTAGGATTGAGTGAAAAAAAAATTACAAAAAAATTAAAAAAACAGAAAAAAGTAAGAAAAATTAAATAAATTAAAAGTAAATTAAAAAAATTTTTAAAAATATTAAAAAAACTTAAAACAAATTGATAAACATTAAAAACCTCAAAATAAAATTAAAAAAAAATAAAAAAATGAAAAAAAATTAAGAGAAAATTAAAAATATAAAAAAAAAATTGAAAGAAAATTAAAAAAAAAATAAAAAACTTTTTTTAAGGTGTGAGTAGTCTAATTATAAAAAACGAACTTATGAAAAAATTTTATGAAAAAATAGGAGGTGCTTAAGTCAATTCTGGTCAAAACTCGTCCCGCTTTTAAAAAAAAGTGAACCATATACATATTTTACATTTTCATATATTCTTTATTATTATTTTAAGAAAAATATGTTCATACCAAAGATAAAACAATTCAAATTTTTTTTGAATTGTGAGGCAAATTTTTTTTTCAAAAGGTTTATGTTGTATCTTATCTGAAAATAATTTTATATCTAATTCTTAATTTATTTATACTGTAAAAATAAAAACAATAATGTGTGCGTGCTGAACAGAACTAGATTTTGGAGGAACTTTTACAACCAAAAAAAGTTTTTCTTTTTAAATTGAAAGGATCTTTTAATCCATTATTTGAAACTTGATAAGTCCAAATTCTAATGAAGCTAAAATTTGTTTAATTTAAATTTTTTCGTTTGAAATTGAATATTATTGAATATTAAATAAATAGACTGTAGGCCGCTGATAATGAGATTCAGTTATCGCTCATAGAATATATTTATAATAAATTTTTTTGCGATAATTAATGACAAAAAACTAGAGCACAAATTTTAGGAATAATATATGTTTCAAAAATATATTTGATAATCGAGATATATCTGAGAAATTGAATCTCTGATGTGAGTTTTAGTTTGACTGTGGTATTGATACGATTTTACTGAAATTTTAAAATAAGGATAGCACTGTACGTGCTACAGGGTATTTTATGATACAAAACTTAGAATTTGTCTTAAAAAAAACCTAGCAGTTCTTCAGGCATTGTCATCAGAAACTAAAATAGTTTTCTATCTACTTAAAATTGTATTTTACCTACCTTGTGAGAAAGAGTTTTATTTCTCATAATGTGAATTTTGGAATAGTTATTCTTTAATTGTTTATTTGAAAATTGAATGTTATACAACCATATAAATTACAATATGTTAGAAATAATGTTTTTGAAGTTCTTTCTGTCTCTAGCAGAATGTACCAAGTCTCCAATCGTTCTTAACTCAGTCGAATGTCGGATCTTCCTCAACCAAGACATTTGTTTTCTTCCCATGCTGCGTTTGCCTTTGATTCTGCCTTCCGCAATCAGTTGCAGCAATTCATATTTTGGAGATCAGATGATACGACCAATATACATCATTTTTCTCATTTTGATAGTTTTTAGGAGTTCTCTATCATTTCTTAATCTTGTTAGCACTTCTTCGTTTGAAACTTTGCCCGTCCAACAAATCTTCAGAATACGTCTGTAGCGTATCCTACAGACCTAACTATTGTTAGGAATAGTTAGAGTACTAGAAAACAATACTCGGAATAGTTTCAGTAATAAACCACAATCAATGTAAACTAATTTAGTAATGTGTGCATTAGTTTTAGTACTGTCAACAGAAAAAGTGTTCTCTGTTTGGCTGTGACCATTATTGTATCATGTCTCTTGTGATGCCTAATTTTTTTCTTTATGAAGAAGACCTATTTACAAATATTCGTCAGTGAATCGTAAGCTACATGTCTAATATAGCTTATAATATTCAGTTTTAAGAATATTTTGCAATTTGATGGTTTATTAAAATTGTAAGTATCGACTGATTAATCTATAGTTACTTTTTGTAATCCTCTTGATTTTTCACCATGTGAACGCTAAAGTTTAAATAATATTTAATAATTTATTAATTTTTTTTTCATAATTTCAGTACACTTTTTAAATTTATTTATAACATGATAATTTTCAAATAGTGAAATATATATAATACAATATATATATATATATATAATAATAATAATAATATGTATCAATAAATTTTCCTCAGTATTCCTTATAATCCAAATCCATGTTTGTATCAGTTACATCTAAACCTTGAGTCAATTTCTTACCAACTTTTTTCTTGAGGTCTTTTATACTCATTTCAAATTTTACACACTTTTTACGTGCAATATCGTAATGTTGATCTGGACCACAGTGGATACGTTCACAGCGCAAAGTACCAAACCAGCCGCTGATATCTCTATAACCGGTATGACAAACACACTCGTTACGTGCAATACAATGACTATGTTGAGGACAACCACCTAGACAAGTTGGTCGACATATTAACTGATGTTCTCTGTTTGGATGATGTGATGGCTCGTAGCCACGTTCACAAATACATTTATTTGGTTCCGCACAATAACTGTGAGGTGGACATGTCGTTTCACAAATAGGTTCACATAAATTAAATATTAGGATGCGATAGCCAGGGCAACAAACAATAGCTGTATCCCAGCGTAAATGCTCCTCATACTCAACGTATTGCTCCAGTTGCTGCTGTACGTTGTTGTCATTGTCGTGGTGTGTAGTAAGCCGTGTTTTTGTTACCGGGACCTGGTATTCGATACTTATATTTTTTTGACAATGCCCATTCGTTAAAAATAATCCATTAGTGTGGCCGGTGAATGTTAAAAGTGTTATTATGATTTTAAAAAAATTACAAATATGCATTCCCGTATGGTTTTAAAAAATAGCTTATACAATCCGACCGATTACACCAGATACTGTTACGAAAATGTCACGTTATGCGTCGAAGATCATTTGAAACGCTGAGTTCAACTGATAAAAAAGAAAGCTATTGCGATGGTGCATGTGCAAGAAAAGTTAAGAGAAGAATATATAAATCATTTTTATTTATATATACAATACAAACGCTCTTCAAAAAGATTAAAAACATCGAAAACATAGAAGAATTTTATATAAACATGCAGAACATTTTATCATATTTTTATTTATGAAATTCTTCCTATTATTGACACTTTTTTTTTGAGATTATTTACAAATTATGTAGACAATAAAAAAATTGCTAGCTGTAACGCCTACGTATCTGGTAGGCATTTAAAAACTAAAAGTTAGTTAAAAAAAAAAATCAAACTAGCAATTTTTTTTTTTTCATTTCGTCTCTAAATTTATGGAGTCCTTTTAAAAAGTTTAATAACAGATCTCTCGTGGTGGCATTTATATATATTTGGCTCTATATGTTATTTAATATATTTTGTTACCGATCTCAATTTACACTTTTAGTAAATATGGACGAGAGCCAGGTTCTGAGAAGACTTTTCAAGGTATCATGGTACATTACAGCTAATTTAATTTATATCTTTACAAATGAGTCTTGTGGTTATTGAGAAAAAAACAAAGTACTTTCTGTCAACAAACAAATTTCTTGAATGTCTTGGGAACCCCGTTTCTGACAACTATAAATTTCAAGTTGAGAAAGACGTTGTTGATTTGGGAACTAGCGTAAACAACAGATGTTACGTCTGGCTAAGTAAGCAATTGAAAAATAAAGCACTTGCTTGGAGAATTACCAACACTTTTGAAAAGGCGTTAGGAGCATACGAGAGAAAAACCCTTCGGGAGATCTAGGGCAGCCATATGAATGCAGAGATGACTGGTCATGTCGTGCGAATGGAAAAAAATGGATTGGTTAGAAAAGTTTTTGATTAGGTAGCCACAGATGGAAAACGTTCACATTGTCGATGAAAAATGCAAGCGTTTTCAGTAGTGTTCGGTACTACCAAGTGGCGATAGTAAGGCACTTATCGGGTTGGCTATAGTAGGTTACTGGAATCTCAAGAAAATTATTGATTTAAATAGACTAACAAAATCATATAGGAGGTAAATCTTAAAATATCTTTAACCGAATTATTGTGAAATAAATATTTTTTTGATTAAAAATAAAAAACTTAATTGATTGTTGAAAATTGAAGATACAGCCTTGGCTTGAATACCATATGTCACCTTTTTTTATTTTTACAAAAACTCTATCTAACTCTAACTAACTCTATCCACATCTTTTCATATATTGTCGGTCCGGTCAAATGGCTGGACATGGTATAAATTTCTTTTTTTGAATAAACATTTTTTAAATAATGTTTTTAGACTTAATGTTAAATTAATACTGTATAAGATTTTATATTTTAGTTTTTTGTTGGTCAAGCATAGTTGATGTACATGGCTTTTCAACCTTCAAAATTTATCTAGTAGGGTCCTACGCAAACATTAATTCTTCAAGACTATCCTTCAAAAATAAAATCAATATATCTAGGGCTAAAACGAGTAAAAATAAAAAAGATTCCTTATCAGTAAAGGTTTATTGTGATTAGTTGGCTTGATTAGTAATCTGTCATAAGTAAGCTATCATAAAAAAGTAAAATATATAGTTCGACCTCGAAGATTGCAACTCTTGAATATCTCAACTCCTTGTCTATTGCAACCTCTTAAATTTTTCTAGTATTACCTTTAATATTGCAATTTTGAAAATTGACGATCGCAAAGAATGCACCTTTGCTATTTAATATCCTCTCGAGCATTCTTAATGTTTTATTTGTCCCACCTATACCTACACCTATTTATTTGCTTACCTATACTCAATTATAAGAATTTACGAATACACTCTGGGTGCATGAGACGGCACTGTACTAAATGATCAACTTAATCATGACGTTATTCCAGATAATGTTATTTCTAAATAAGAAATGGATGAATTATTGTCTATAAACTTTTGACATATGATTGGAATATTCCAATGAATTTCCAATGAAGGTTTTATAATAGTTCGCTTATTGCGTTGGTAACACTTTTTTCTTCTCACTGCCCAGCTAGGTGCTTAGACACAGAAAGTAGTGTTGTTGTTTTGCGTACATTTAAGCAACTATAGGCCAGCAACTTGCTGTTTTTTTGCCACATGTTATAGCTGCCGAAACTACTTTATGTTATGCATATTGTTTAAAAGACTAAAAATTGGGATATAATAAAATCGCCGTAATTTGTGTTTAGTATATATTAAATTTAATTAATCTTTAAAATTTTGTGTATTTTATAATTATTCATAACACTATTTCCAAGTACAAACTTTTTTTTCAATAATAATATTTGGTATGTTTAGTGTGGTTATTGTGAAATCCAAAAGCGATAGCTTCTAGCATATCTTCCAAAATTATTCATCACATACGATTGCTTAAAGCTGTTGACTTTTCCAGCTAATGGTCCACATTCGTTTGTTCAGTACACAAAAAAGTGACTTAAAGCCTGTGCGTGTACAATTCTAAAATAGTGTAATTGGTTCAAATCAAATAACACGTTATATCTGAAGTCAGAAACACTCTGATTAGTTACACGCACTCTTTTGGTTAGGACATCAAATCACTCACAATTACGTTCAGGCTTTTGACGGTGTTTGTTAAACATTTTTCTCATTTCTTCTTGCCCAATTCTATTAGTTAGTAGTTCATAATATTTAATACAAAGTAATTACTTCCCAGTTCAACGCCTACTAATAAATGACTTTGTTAGTTATCTAAATGATAACTGAAATAATTTACTGGATCTTAAAGTTTTTAGATTATGAAATCCAATTGATTTAATGAATCCATTACTCCCGATTCCACCCAGAGTTAACACTTCCCGCGATCTTTTAGTAAATTAACTTTCTTCAAATTTCTTTCTTGGCGTTTCTAGGTATTTGTCGCTCTATGCAAGAAAGAAACACTGCACACAGACACAGACCTCATCCAACCATTGTGTTTTGCGCGGGCTGGTGGAATTTTTCCTTGTCTTGTGTGATTTTTGCGGGCTGGAAAAAATACCATGTGTAAAAATATGAAGTGCATACATTATAATTTAAATTATTTTACCAGAGCTGGAGTAGACTTCAAAGTTTTGAATATTAGTTCGATTTAATATTCAAGACGGTTTTATAATATTCTGAAAATTTTTTTAATAAAAGGTCATTGAAATATTTATTTATTTAAATTTATTTACATATCTCCATTACATTTACCTTGAATTCGCTTAGTTCCCGCGGTGACTTTCTTTTATTATCAGCCAATTCCTGTGCCCTCTCCTTGAACCCGGCGTACGCCTTAGCTGAATCATTTGGTTCTTCAACTGGATATCCTGGCACAGGAATTGGCGCACCTGGACGATCTTGGGTTGCGCACTCAAGGTCCGGTTTTATAACTAATTTTGTATAAAAATATTATATTAGTTTCAGTTTGAACAAAATATGTTTACTTTGAAGTAAGTTTACAGTAAGTTTACAAAAAAAAGGGGAAACTTTAATTGTTTTTATACTATTAGACCTTTTAAATATATGTTGGTAAGGTTTTGAACGGAACTATTGACTATTTTTATTTTAAAAATAATTGACATTTGTTTGACAGAGTTTGTTTAGATAGAGTAAAGTAATTACTTTATGTAATATTACATTTTCTTAGATAACTATGTACCCCTAGTGTAAATATTACATCTTACATTGTCTGAGGATACCTATCTTTCTTAAGATTAAATGTAAAGATAAAAAGAACTGTAGCTAACTTTTAGTGAACTCAAATACTGTGTGAATGCCATATTAGGTTGAAGATTACCTATTTAAGGTTTTTGACAAGTTTAGGGTTTCGTATATGATCTATAAAAATCAATTCTCTCTACTTTAGTGTACTTTATTATATAGTTAACTATATATATTAGCATATAAATTTAAGATAGTAAAGAACCATTTTTTAAAGACATGTAAAAGATAAACTTACCTTTTTTAAGTTCCGCGAATTGATCTTTGCTAATTTTACTTTTCGAATAAATAATGTCCCGCATATTCTCAGTGACTATCAATATTGATGAAAGTTAAGATTACTTTTAAATGAGTGAATAAAAAACTTACATTGTTTGCTAGCTATTTCTTTAGCTATTTTGGCAAGATGCTTAATATTTTTACTCATTTTTTTTATTTTTAAAGATTAATTAATTTACTAAAAAATATATACTGCAATTTTGTTTGGATTCCAAAAAACTTTTTAAACACTCTTTACTTAAAATTATTTATAAATAAAATATGAAAAATTTTCATTTCTAAAAAATTTTATATGCTCAAAAATTCGCCTACTATTTCAAAAAAAAAAAAAAAAAGAAAACTATATACAAAATGAAACGGTATGTTAAGTTCTTTAAGATAATTGTGACACCATGCAGAAAAATTGCTTTAGAAAATAATTTAAAATTGAGATTAGTAACGAAATTAATTGGATTGCTATATAACTAAGACCTGCTAGATAAATCAGAAGATGTCAGCACGGTTTCCTCACTTAAGAAGGAACCATAGCAAGAGTTTATAGACTAGAGCTGTCCTTCAAATAACTTTCAAGCAAAAATACCTAAGGTAGACAGTTCTATTTTTTTCAATTAATCCATCAAAACCGTAAAATTCCTATCACAACTGTTAGCTAAGCAACAATAAAGGAACTTAATTTTTTTTAGGTGACATCAAAACTAAAGTAAATTGCATTTCCATATAGGTTATCACACTACTAAACCGGGAATGAACTTTAGTAGAGTTGTGTCCTTTATAGAGAAGATTATAGGACTTCAATACATGCGCCAAGTGAGGACAAGCACTTAGGTGAGTATCTTATATTGGACTAAGAAATAAGAGAGCAAAATGGATGCGATAATATGATTTATTGATAAAATTGAATTGAAAGAATCAGAATATATGAAATGGGTATAAAGAATCTCTAGACCGCAGTATATATAGATGAATGGTTTGTATAGTGAAAAGTCTTTGTAATAAGTACTTGATAAAGATTAGAAATCATTTTATATTTCAATATAATTACTACTACTTAAAATAAAAATTTTAATAATTTTATTTTATTTATGGTATATATATATTTTTGTTATGTATTCATTCTATATTATGTTAAAAGAAATTATTTTTCTATTACTTTTTGCACTAATTACAAATACATAAAGAATTAAATTTTTTGATATAAGAAATAAATAATTCTAAAGTATTTTTTTATATATAGATAAAACATTAGTTGTTTACCACAAGTATTTGTATATATATCTGAATCTATATACTGTACGATTTAAAAACTTTATGCTTTTATCACATACGAAGTGCTGCAATAGAATGATTTCATTATTTCAGACAAAGCTTCAGTTACTGATACAAACGAGAAGTGCGAAGACTTGAATTATATGTAATTGAGAACATTACATTGCGTTATGTACATAAATAAGTTACAGACATTGTGGACTAGTATTTTATTCGTACTAATAAAGAACGATATCTACTCCCGAGCGGACGGTCCATATTGCACTTATAATCGTACGAAAACCGAAAACATTCCTGTATGGAAGAGGAATAAAGAAAATGAAAAGTATATTGAATTTGAAACCACGATAAAATGGAATTTGATACAAGATTGCTGTGAAGGTTATAGAAAAATCAATCAGGATATATGTGCGGCGATATGTAGTGATGACTGTGACAATAATGCAATATGTATAGCGCCAGATACTTGCAAATGTAAAGATGGCTACAAAGAAGCACCAGACAATAATCTGTGTTTACCGAATTGTGAAGATAAGTGTCCTACAAATTCATTATGTATCGCTCCATTTTATTGTGAATGCTTAGAAGGTTATAGAAAAGCAAATGATGAATGTGTGCCCATATGCACAGTCGAATGTCGGAATAGTTTTTGCGTAGCACCGGAAAAATGTGAGTGTTATAAAAATTACGAATTACAAGATGGATCGTGCCAATTATCTTTATTCCATACTTTACTAGAAGTTAAGAATCAATTAGAGAAACATGAAACAGTTACTGAACAAAATCTTAAACCAATTCACACAACGGGTAACTATGCTATAAAAAAAGTCAACAGTGCATCGTTCGAGAATTCCAAAACCCCTTCAATGAATGGGTCTCATATTTGGGGAAATATATTAATAGCATGTGCTACTTTCATCTTGTTGGTACTGATAGCTTTTTGTTTATACTTAGCATTTATTCGTGATTATGGAACATATGATGTCGAAGGTAAGATTTTATTAAATATTTATACATTATTGGAAGACTTTAATATAAAATACATTTTTTTATAGATCAAGAAAACTTTCACTGCGATGTTAGTAATAACAAAAATTACAACGAATTAAGGTGTGATTAAACTAACAGAAGTTTTTAATAAACTCATTATATATTATGAATGTAGTATGCATGTACTTAAGTAGAAAAAAAATTATTATAATAAATATATCCAAAAATTAATAATATATCGAAATAAATATATGTAATGCGATTTGAAAAATAGATATATAATTTGCGCCTGTCATCAGATGGATAGATGTTTTTAGATCTTTTTGCAATCTTTTTATCATTGATTTTGGGGGCAAATCCATTTTCAGTGTATGCCTTTGATTGTGTATAATCTATTTATGTTTTATTTTAATTTTCTATAGACATAATAAAAGTGACCCTTTAAAAATAATAATAAGTTTTATTTTGCGATTCTCGAAAATAAAACGCATGTATTGCAATTTATATCTGTTTTGCAGTAATAAATTGCGTTTTATTTTTATTTTTTATTTTAGACAATATAAGACATAATAGCTATTTTTGCGTTTTTCGTTTTTAAGATTAGAATAATAATTATATTATACGTTTTTATTTTATATCTTTATTTGAGTGTGAAAAAAAAAAAGGCAAATGCTAACTTTTATTTTTGAAAAAATAAAAGGCAAATGATAACTTTTATTTTTGAAAAATACAACATAAGGCAAAGTTAAGCTATTATTTTTCGAGTTCAATTTTAAAAAACGAATTTATGTATAGCACATACACTATATGAAAGATGGGTGTTGTTAGAATGACAACAACTTACTAATATTAGCATTTACTCAACTTTTTAATGATTAATTTTTTGTTGAAAGTTTTTATAATAACTATTGTTACCGGTTTCCGGTTTAAATGTGTGTGTTTCTTCAATACATTAAATAAAGTACGAATATGGGCAATTCAGTACAGCTACACAAACATGACTCAACTAGGAGCATTTCCTACAAATGACTAACCGATTAGCTAGTATCTGGGCAAATGACTGTTTAGTACTTTATATAATGCAAAATTAAAGTATAAGTAAAGAAATAATATTGAGTGCTTGGGAATTACTCATTGTTTTGGTTAACAAACCATATTATTGAAAATGCATTTGTGGGGGCTTCAATAAAGGTGTAAATAAATAAATTGATGTTGACCAGTATCTAATGTCAACCAGACAGTATTTGTTACATAGAGTGCGTCCTTAAAAACAATTTTCGGAAATAGATTTATGTGACGTATACTTACAAATACGGTTTCAGTTTCAAGTAGTGCTAGTTGTGAACTAGTTGCAAATTTTACGCGAACTTGGAGAAAAGGAAAATTTTGTCGTCAGTTATTGTCCAATGAGTTACCAGTTATCTGGCGTAAGAGTCACCAAAAATTTGTGACAGTCAACACTTATTGAAAAGTTTGAAGCTTTATTCAGTAAGATTAATTATTATTACTTTTTAATTCCAAATTATTAATTATTTTGTAGCACGGTGACATAAAACGTTAAGTTTAAATAGACTACCATGAGGAATTGCCAATTAACTTAGCCACAGACGCATCATCTTAAAAAGTCACTGCAGTAATTCCAATAACGTTTCTGAAATGAAACCGGTGGTGGTGCTTAACAAAGGAACTAATTGTGGCGACTTGTAACTAGTGGTGATTTGAAACCCTATTTAAACTTAAAGTGATCTTTAATTAGGTCCGATGACCTAATATTTTTTCAGATCTAAGCTTCTTGAGCTACACTCACTAGTGCTACAGTCCTTGCGTATAACAGTATTGGATTACTGCACAATGGGCAGTAGGTTTTAATCAAGATGAAAGAAAGATATATTGTTAAAGACATAGAGAGGATCTATTCTAATTAATTAACATTATTATATATATAGCATTATTTTTATTTATCATTTTCAAAATGACGGAACGTTACAATTTTGTGAATAAATTCTCAATTTTAACTTTTTGTCTAATACTGAGAAAGGCTTAGCATAAGAATAACAATATCTAAAAGTACATATTAATAAAGTAATTAAAAATATTTAAAAGAATATTCTTTACACAACTGTTTTCGATCTGATATATACAAAGTGGCTGGAGGAAGTCCAGTACAATTATATACATACATCGTGGGCTGAACCTGGGTATATTTCCATTGATTTTATATGCAAGTAAATTGTGTTCAAATTAATCTGATTAATCTGATTGACAATGGCCCACAGCTTATATCTGAAGTGCTCTAAAAAACCTTATGTTCGCATGTTTAAAAAAGAATTAATTTGTTGGGGTACTACTAGGCGAGTACGTACCACAACATACTCAAGTCTAAAGGAATGTTATAGCACCAGCAAAAGTGTTTCATAGCTCTTCAGCCTTAACTATTTTGTCACAAATGTTTAGTACGAAACTATCTAAATTTGCTGAAGGAAAGTTAGACACCAAGTTTACTCATAATCAAAGTGTTTATGATAGCAATGGAAATTGAATAACGGGCGCAATGGGCGGAAGTCTCTGTAACGTGATGTTGCTAAAACCGAAGGACTTTACAAAAGTTGTCAAATTCAGTTGTAATTTTAAGTTGACAAGAGAGGAAGCACAGAAACACAACAGTTTGGTTATGCATATAAGTCTCCATATTGATATGGAGATCACCGATAAAAGTTTACAATGAGCAATAGCTTGTTTCAGCGAAACAATCATATTTTTGATTCCAGTGATGTGTTGATGTTTGATAGCTATTGGAACTTAACCAGTTAATCGTCTTGTGGAAAAAGAAAATATTGAAAATATGAATGAGAGATGGATATGACATGAAGGATGAAGGATTTGGATTACTTAAGTTTCGTATTCGAAAATGGTTAGATTGACTCGAGTAAACCTATCAAAAATTTCAGACTTATGTTAGCCTGTATCATTACAGGCGTAGTCATGTAGTGTGTATATATGAAAATGGCCGGTAAGAAAAATGTGTGATTTAGTACCCGCTGATAGAAGACGCAGTAAAGAACTCGGCATTTGGCGCTACCATTTGTCGCTAAATGGTTAGGTTGGATCAGTGGCTTTGTATTCAAGAAACCTCACTTGAGCATAAATAATGGCGTTAGTTCATATATAGATTGGAAGGTCAGTATAAGATTGACACCAGAAAAACATAACAACTCCTTCATTAGGTATTGGTGAACCAACTTGAGAATTTTATGAATTTGGCTAAGTTCCTAATATTGCCCCAGAAGATTTTTGATCTTTTAGTATCTTAAGAGAATAGATTTAGCCTCATAGCATCCCTATCGCCTTCCTATTATGCAGTAGCCCATCAGCACTGATTCCGTAGTGCTGAGCAGGTTCCGCTATAGTTGAAGCAACTGATTGATACGTTTTTTGTCTAAATTAGACTAGGTTAACATAGAGATCTGACAGCAAGATACGTCAGGCCAGTACTTGTTGGCTATGCTCAGATATTTTGTTTAATTGCCAGTTTAACTGTTGCAAGTAGAATGCCAATATTTGAGAAGTGAATGTCGGAGAAGAGTGCCTGCCTTGGCAAAGACGTCTACCATGCAATTGCCAGACTTGTCCCTATATTCTTAAACTCATATGAGTTGGATTTTGATATGTCTAGCTAAATCATTGAGGGAAGTACGGCTGTATTGAGTTATAATTATTATGGTTGAAGTGCCTACTAGCGACTTAAAATTTATTTCCAATGTAGATATTTTCATGGTACGATATTCTATATGGACCTTTTAACAAAGTTTTCTCAAATCACGAATGGAATCTCGCCATTTTGTTGTAAAATATAGTGAAAAGGTTACAATTAAAGAGACCACATACCCAAAAAACAGGTTTCAGAAATCAACCTAAGCAAATGTTGGGTAAGCCTAACGTAGACGCCTCCGCGAGATGTTTAAGATTACATCTAAACGAGATAACAATTCCGTTTAAGTTGCTAAATTGTAAACATTTGTTGGTGTTATATGAATGCTGACAAATTCCAATACATAAGTATATATATAAATATATATATATATATGTATGACATATATATAAAGAATTTTATGAAATTTGAATTTAATGGAAATTAATATGAATCATACTTGTATAAACACTTTTTTTCACATATTATAAATTTTTGAACTGAATTTCTGTTCTAGAGAACACTATTAAAGAAATGAAATTATAATAACCGAAAAGCATTAAGGTCACTTTATATGAATACTAAGAATGTTGATAAAAGTAAAAAAAATCAAGCAAGTTAACGTCCAACCACAGCAAATACCGCACATGTTATGGTAGATATATTTCAGTTTAGTCAAAGTCCAACAATTTGTGGTGCAGGATCAAAAGCCAAAATTATATAGTTTAAATAAATTACTTAACATTTCAATAAAATATAATAAAATATAATAAAAAATAATAGCATAAAATGTGGCGAAATATTATTTATGTTTTTGTGGTACAAATATGTTTGATTAAATCCAATATTGCAAGTTTTGATTACGATTTTGGAAGCAGTGAAACCGATACTTTTATCTGCTCACCACCATGCCCCGAAAACTCTTTCTGTGTTGAAGGAAATTTGTGTGAATGCTCTAAAGGTTACTTTAATAATTACTCTTTTAATGACGATATTATCTGTGAACCTTTGGATAATTGTGGGCTTGGATATACATGGAATGAAGACAAGCAGAGTTGTATGAAATCAGAATATACCACACAGATTTCTGGAACTACAACTACAAAAAATATTATTCACTTACTTAGTAGTACTACACCTAAGGCGCTTGACTTAAACAACGATTATGATCAAAAGAATTCAAAAAGTTATATGTCCACAACCAAGAGCTTGGATAACGATGTGACTACTGACAACAAACCAGAATGTTCACCGAATTATATATATCAAGATGGAGAGTGCCGATTTAATAAATTAAATGATTTTGTATGTATCGGGATTTGTGGTGAAAATGAACAATGTGTTCGTCACAATGAATGTGATTGTATTCCAGGATTTTCACGGTCTGAAGGCGACTGCATCCTTGATGAAAGTAGCAGCAGTAAGAAGTTATTAGATGTTGATAAAAATTATAATATAGTGACTGATTTTGTGCTGGCGTTAGGCATAGCGTGTGTTACATTAGCATTTATAATATTATTAATCGTTTTATATAGAAAGCTTGTTAAATGTAAATAATAAAAATAATAATGTTAATAAAAAGTTAAAACGTTAATTTTATGTGACAGAATTGTTAACAATTAATTAATAAAAAGACATGTATGTGCACCATATAATATATATAATATACGTATATATTTTTTTATTTAATTAAAATTCTTTTTTTGTGTATACTCTCATCAAAGTAATTTTGTGACATCAATAACTCGCACTTCCATGGCTCGAATTTTCTATAACTTGAACTAAAAAGAGTGCAACAGGGTTTTAGAGAGCAAATTACATACAATTCTGTTTCTATAACTCGAACTGTTATAACGTGCGAATAGGAATATGGGAAAATGCATTATATAAGTCGAATTTTTTTTTTTTAAGTATAAATCCATTTTGGTGTTATGGGAAGTCCCTTCTTCAAACCCAAATGTTTAATATTTTCTTTCTTATGTTGCTTCTATTTGCAAATGCCAATCGCTGGCACCGTGGTTTAAAAAGTAAATAAAATAACTTCAAATTCTACTCTTAACAATTATATTGAACTTTTCTTACAGGTTATATATCAACCTTTCTTACAGATGACGATATTATTGAGCATTATAGCTCTGAATTAGTAGCTCCGACTCTAAGCGCAACGAAAAGTGATGATGAGAATCCGGTGGATGAAATTATTCATCAGCCTTCGAAGAATGAAGTAGAAGATTTATTCAAAATTCTGAATTCTTATTTGCAAACTTTTGATACTACAACTGATGATATAGTTAATAAACCTTATAGTGATTAGGTTTGAAATAAATTGGAGTCTCTGCTAAGGCCAAGGATAGCATCAACCTTGATGTGATCAGGATCAATGAATCTTTTTAACTGTCGCATGCCGGTTTGGGCTCTCCAGTGTTCAAGTAGATGTTGTTTCTCCCGTTCACATAATAAGCTATTTGCGAAGCTATTTGTCACCTCGCAAAAGGGCTCTGGAACAATGAAAGGAGTACATGCACCCTTCTTTGCTAGGGAGTCTGCTATTTCATTTCCCACATGTCCTTCGTGTCCCGGTACCCACATAAGAGTAACATAGTTCCTCGATGCTAGGATGTAGAGAAGTTGAAAGCATTCCTAGAGACCAACTTTGATTGAAATAAGGATTTTGCTAAAAATTTTAGAGCTGCTTGGAGTAGATATTAACCTGCTAAAGTTCCGCATGATTTAATTTACTATCTACTACAATGAAAACAAACTCCGATGTATTGTATTGGTAGGCTCTGGTACAATAAAGTGAGTACATTGCCAACCAATGTTCTTTACTCCTTGTTTCTTATTTAACGACGCTACAACCATCCAAATTGATGGTTGTTTCTTTAAAATGATTGATGTATCATACCGATCATTTTAGATTTTTTTTTTATTTTTTTTTTGGATTGACAGATATTACAAAAGATACAAAACTGTATCTACAGCAACTAGTTATGGCTGACTAGCGAGCCGTTTACATCGATTGACTTATATACTATTATGTACATTATATAAATTATGTGTATTATATATTATATTATATATTAAATATAATATATTATATATTATATATTATATATTATATATTATAAATTATATTTTATATATTATATTTTATATATTATATATTTTATATAATATTATATACCTCGTTTAATGGCCGCCTCGTTTAATGGAATTTCGTTTTACGGTCTACGTTTTTGGAACGACTTAAGGCTGTTAAGCGAAGTCCAGGTGTATATTGATTGACTATTATATCGATCAACTGATGATAAAAATGGTAGTTTTTTTAATTTGAAAACCTCATATAATTGATGTTGAACTTGTAAATAATTTTATTTGTTTTTTATATCCATTGCCATCTTGGAATAATTAGAATACAATGCAACTTTATGAAACGCTAAATAAAAGAAATATTAAATAAAATAATATAAATAAAATATAAGAAGAAACAATCCATCGATGAGTTCTTGAACTTATCTTAGTTTCTTTGAAATATTATTGGGTTAATAATTTTTTTAATATGAATTAACTTTACTTTACAACGTAATACTTTCTGAAGTTTTTATCGTTATTTATTTCAAAGCCTAAATAAAAAAAAATTTTAACTGTTGTTTAAAAAAAGGTCTGGAAAAAGAATTTCAAGTATTTTGTTCTTATCAGCTTATCACCTCAAATGGGAACTCTTATGAATGCGGAAAAATAAATTAAAAAAATATGAGGAACTGTATGATTCATTTAATAAATTTTTGAATTTATTTTTAAAAATATATATGGAAAAAAATGAAAATAAAAATATTAAATAAATTAATTTTAGAATTACTTATGGTATATCTATTAGAAATAACTACAAATAATTCACATGTGCTAAGTTCAACTTCAGAATTATCGATGATATATTTAAATTCATATTTTACAGAACTTATCAGTTCTTTGTATATTAAAAGACTGTGAAAGCAAGAGCAAATGTGCCTCAGTGAAAAATAAAGAAAAAGATATTAAAAATTGTTTACGAGAAATGATAGTGAAGGGGTAAACATATTTTCAATATATGGTATGAACGTTATTGTACCATTGGATGTTTCCATTTTGAGGGGATGTGAGGCAATGCGTATATTTGCTATAATTCGTTTCAGTAAAGATAAATTTTAGTGGAAAGTATTTACTCAGAAGACTTTACATATCAGTGGTTCATTTTTTGTCATACAAGCTGCATTTCAAAATGCTGAAGTTAGACTTAATATGCATAAATTTAGTGCTACTTGTGTTAAATTATTTTTCAAAACACACAGAATCTTACCATGTACAATACTCGATGTTAGAAACCACAACTCTAAAATCGGGCAGAAAATCAAATTACCATATAATTAACTCGAAAATCTTAGAAGATCTTCAAACAGCAGAATTAAACTTAAATATGAATATCCCGCAGTGTCTATTGGGATATGAAAGACGTGGTGAGATTTGTGTACCCATCTGTGCAGTACCTTGTAGATTACATACGTTTTGCTCAGCACCAAATACTTGTAACTGTGCGCAAGGTTACCACAATGCAGGAAATTCTTCTGGAGAATGTGTGCCTGAGTGCATGACAACCTGTGGGTCTAATGCTCACTGTAGGAAACCAAATGTTTGTGCTTGTAACACAGGATACGTGCTGGTTGATTTGCAAAAATGTGTAAAGCGTTGCAGATCCGATTTCTTATGGAATGATATAGCTCAAGATTGTATACCTATATTGCCAGCGGCTTCTCAACTTATTGCAGAAGAAATGGATTTGTACTTACCTGCCGTAAACGAAAATGTAGCTTTAGTATCTGATAATAATTTAAACTTGCTAAGCCGGAATAATAGTTACCTGACTTTGAATGCTGACGTTGTGACGAATACAACTGATGGCAATGATCTTGTCAACACAAAAAATTGGTTCAATATTTCGACATTTTTCGTGGGTTTTGGTACAATAGTCACGATATGCCTTCTATTGGTTAGTTTACAGTATTACAAAAGAATGGATGATGCCCTGCGATTACCAATTATTCAAGGTAAATCATTCATTATAATATATATAATTGATATAATTTTTTAAACAAAAATATGTGTTATGTTCGATTAAAGATATTATTCTCCAGCTACAGTAATCAAGCTACAGTAATTGATTTTTTAATCATATAACAATTAATCTTAATTATGGTTTCTTAGCAAAAGATATAAACAATTTTATTGTTAAATGAATGATGGAATAAACTGACTATTTCTAATCTCAACAACAGGGATTAAAACGTCAGTTTTTCTGTAATTTTCAAGTAAACGGCACATCTGCGGTACCTCTTCTTCAATCTTTAATACTGATTTTGGTCTATTTGTAAGATCAGCGTATTATTTTCATTTCGGGTAAACGAAGGCAAAGAGGGCCTTCGTGGAGGTGGAACATAGAGCTCAAGTGATTTGGAAGCTAGCTAACCTTCTTGTTTTGTCAATTGATTTTGTGTAGCTCACCTTTTTAGTTGTTTGCTAACAGAAGGCAGCTCCGATAGACTGCTCTACAGCATTGAACACTTCCGATGTCGGAGGTGATAATCTTAGTTTTGAGAAGAACCTCTACAAATTTCACTAAATTATCATCATGTTTTAGATTTGAAAGCGATTTTATGATGCCATTAGGGCAGACATTGTTGAAAGTGCAGTCGATATCCAGAAATGATCAACTTGTAAAATGAATACATAGAGCGCTGTATCGATAGATTTGTCTTTAGTATATGCATGCTGCGATGTAAAGAGAAATACTGGATTAATAGTGTTCCTGATGTGTAGGTGAAGAACCTTTTTCAGTACTTTCAGAAGAAAGGAAGACAAGTTGATGTGCTTATAGTCCTTGACGTTAGATTGTACTTCCTCCCTGCTTTTTGAATAAATATTGCTCGAGTGATTCTTCACCAACTGGGAATATAAAGCAGTTTACAATAACTATTGTATATGTTAAGAAGCCAGGGAACGTTCACATATTCACTCTGTTGAAATTCATAGGAGATTTATGTGATTTAAAAGTTTGAATGGCCCACCTGATTTGAGTATTTGTCACTTGAAAAGGGTTGATATTTGATTATCAGAGCTGCATTCCTTGAAGTGTGGGTGTCTAGAAGGATTTCGAGAGTCTCTTTGCTAGAGGTGGTTCGGTGACCACTTGTTAACTATTGGCAATTTAGGGTTTTGTGAGTGGAGTTGAGAATTTTGTGTAGTCGGCTGGATGCAGAAGAAGTTTCAATGTCACCGCAGAGTCATTTCTAGGCTGTCCTTTTGGCCCGCTTTATCGCGTACTTAAATTTCCTTTGCTTTTCTTTATATAATGCCCAGTTTCTTGTAACTTTGGCACCATTGAAGAGTGTTTTACATGTTTTTCGTAGGTCTGCAATAGTCAAGTTTCACTTTTTATACTTTTTACAGATTTATGAGATTCATACTGAGAGCTTCCTTTTTGTAACGCATCTTTTCAATTGAAATATGGATCGACTAAATTTCATTTGTTTAATTTCCTAAGCAAAGTTTAGAGTCACTCACCTTTAGGTGCATAATGGCTACTGTTTGGGTTCAAATTTTTTCCCAAGATCTGCACTTTTAAAATACTTTTTACTATTTGTGTATATTTTATTTTATTTTAAAGAAGGTAGGTATGAGATAAGTGTTCAAAAGATTATTCAATTTAAAGATATGGTAATTTATATAATGGCTTTTCTCTTTAGAGAGAACTTTATATGGTACTCTGTCTCAAGAAATTATCTCTCTTGTTTTGCCGTTAAAGTCGAAAACATCCTAGATAACTTCGATTTAAACCTCCTCATTCATTCAATACTATTTAAAAAATAAATAAATTAAAAAGTTTCTTAAAAATATATTATTTATGTATTTCCAGTACCTGGTGAGCGTTACGGGGATTATCCATTAGATCGCAGTCAAATAATGGTGTATTAGAAGTGAATTTAAAGTCAAGTGTTAAAACTGTTTTATATATTGTAATATGCAAATAATATTTTTGATTATAATTTTTTGAATAATTCTTTAATCAATTATTGTAGTGTATAATTCTTAAATGTATTGAAAAAAAATATTTTTTTAATTAAATATATATTCACAAATTTGTAAAACAAATGTTTTGTTGCAAAAAGATACAATTTTAATATTTGAGTCTTGGAAAAAATAACATACCATGTTTTGAACTGACATTACTTACCAATTACCAATCACTGAAGAATTTATACTGCCACATGTATCTAAAGATGTCAAAGATGTAATATAATAATTTATATTATAAAATTCGTGGACTCCAAATTCCCCACAGATATATGGTGGGTTGTAGTGACAAGCCATTAAATAACTTCGATGTACTTCAAGTAATGATTTTTAGCCATTTTGCCACGATATTTCTCGCAAGAATCCAAAAAATAGAAGAAGTATCTTCCTAGAAACCTATTTCATACGGGTGCTTAAGCCGGGCATTAACAGAGAAAGTGTTTTATGGTTTCTTTTTCCTGCAGGTTTCCACAACTTCTGCAATAAAGATAAATAGGAGTACCCAGTTTCTCTGTGTGTCCCAATGCAGAAAAAAATTGCCGAAAAAACTGTAGTAAGACTTACGCGGTCTCTTTTGACGAGTTCCCAGGATCTATTTTTGTTATAGGTGGACTATGTTAACCTGGAGGTTGCACATGACTTAAGTGCCTTCCATATAATATTGACAAGTTGAAAAAACTAGAGGTAAGTACTTCTCTTAATGGTGTCTAGGGTGATATAAACCAGTGCTGTCAGAGGTGCATCCAGGGAAGCACCAGAGCGAGCTAAACTGTCAGCTTTCTCGTTCCCTTCCTATTTCCAGCAACTTGGATTAGAGTGATGTCAACCAATCAACTAAGCTGTTGATTGCCTCGCTACATTCTTTTACTATCTTTGATTTTGTGATGAAGGATTCAAGGGCTTTGATTGCGACCTAGCTGTCAATGAAAATGGCAACACCACAAATATCTTTGATGTTACTTGCAATTTGCCGACAAGCTTCTCTAATCGCTAAGATTTGAAAAACCATGGCCTTATTAGGTACCCCAAGAGAATTGTTTATGTTTGCAGATGCTGAGTAGATTCTTGCTTCTACCCTGCAGTTAATTTTCGAGCCATCCGTTTAAATTGAGATATCATGTAGACACGGATTCAGATAATCCGATGTCATTCAATACAGACAGTTTGGAACTGTATCTAGACTATGTCCATGTGTTCGTTTCGTCTTGACGCCTATCCCTTTCAGCCTAACAGGGATGTTACAAACGATATTTATGATGTGAAGAACGATATTATTTATGTATAATATCGGGATGAATCCCCCATTTTTTGCCGAACATTCTTTTGCAAAAGTAGAAAGCTACACAAACTTTCTTGATTCGAAGATAGAGATTACTATCCAGATTACTATAGTTTTAACTGTTGCCGGTTTAATAAAGGCAACTTGAAAGCCGTTTTAAGTATCAAGGGTAAACCCCATTATTTTGGTTTTCCTTGGGTTAATACCTAGTTCACAGTCTGTGGCCCAAATACTTATCTTAACCAAGGCTCTTTGCATAATATTGACTATTAAATTAGGGAATATAATATAATATAGATATATAGCTTCTTTATACTACTCACAATGGTTCATCGAATCCTGTCTTGCTTTACAAATTGGTGGAAATATTTCACATAAACAATTTGACCAGCCCTACTGTTTATTAAAAAATATGAATTATAAAGTTACGGACAGACGGACAATATATAAAATAAAATTATACAATATGAAAATACAATGTATTTATTATATTATATATATTTTTCACATGTGTTTTTTTTATACATATTTCTTACATATTATTAAATGTACATTGAATTTTTATAAATATTTATATGATGTACATACATATGTTTTACTTATATAAAACATTATATATATATATATATACATATATAATTTTTTAAATATATTTATTTATATATTTATATACATATCTATACACATATTTATTTATATATATATATCTATATATATATATTTATATATATTATATATATATATACATACATTATTTAAATATTTGTATATTTATATATACATGTTTTACATATTTCTTATAGATATGTAGCTTAAAATAATTTTACATTTATATGTATTGCTAATTATAAATATATCGTTAACTTTTTGTACTAATACCACTCCCGAGATCTTTGAAAAAATTTGGTAATAAATTTTATAAATGATATGATACGACATCTTAACTTTTACCATAAGAAAAATTAATCTTCGTTTTTAAAATACTATATTCTCAATGTATACAAGAAATGTATACTATTGTTTCAAAAAAATTTTTTTTAATATTTTTGAGTTTTTTTTTACTTTTATATATTATAGATAAAAGACAGATTCTGATTTAAACACACAAAAAGATTTCAAATAAAATCAAAGTTTAATTGATACTCGGATTCTTAGAATTCGTTCAATATATTATTTTAAAACATTTTTTCGATAATGGTTTCCAATCATCATTTTAGCTATGAAGGCACTCGAATAATATCAGCCTTTTTGGAGAAGTTAACCAAACCGTACTGATTTTCTGTGAAAAGTACTTCAATATGAGTTTTTAGAAATTAAAATAAAGTAATGCAACTTACCTAACTTTCCTACATTATAGGTTTTCTTTCTAGCAATGTAACACATCGTTAACAAAATAATAAATATTAATGGCATAATTATCGCAACAATTATCCAAAGAAATCTACTTTTGATTTTAGTGTAAGAAGCTTCAAATACAGACTTGCATTCTCCAAAACTGTTAGCGACATAGCCATCGAAACATATGCAAACATTGAACTCATTACAATATCCATTTAAACAGTCTATCGTTGAATTATCAGTTGCTAAGCAAATAGGTAAACAATATACGACATCTTTAATAATCTCGCTCCGATATCCCTTGCTGCAGCTGCACATATCATTAATACAGCTACCATTGTGGCAACTAGTGGAACAGTCCTTCAAAGCTTCAAGTTGTCTTGCTGTTGTAATATGACTCTTAACCCTATCGTCTCCTTCTTCTTCCGTATTGTTCCGATCATATGCCATGTACTGATAATCGAACTCACCAGAGTCGTCAATAATATTAGTTTCTTCTTTACTCTCATCCATTTCTTCTTCACTCTCATCTATCAGCTTCGTGTAAGTTGAAGATTTATATAGTATATTATTGGTATACTGTTCAGTGTTACCGTATATTTCTGAGCTGCCTGTATTGATAATAATCGCTTCACAAGTATTATATTCAGATTTATTATAGCCAGGAAAACATGTACAAGTATCAGGTGCTACACATACACCATGCTGGCAGCCTCCTTCACAAAATGGATCACATGAGTAGTTAGATACTTTTACATAACCTTCGGTGCATTCACAGAGATCTGGTTGTGTACAATATCCATTAATACAAGGTTCATTACAGATGGGTTCACAAGTATTGTTCATCGATCTTGAATAACCTTCGTCGCAACCGCATACACCAGGCATATCACAGAAACCATTTAGGCAGCCACTTTCACAAATTGGATCACATAAGTAGTAAGATGGTTCGAGAGTCTTATCTTCAGATTTACTATAGCCAGGAAAACATACACAAGTATCAGGTGCTACACATACACCATGCTGGCAGTCTCCTTCACAAAATGGGTCACATGAGTAGTTAGATACTTTTATATAACCTTCGGTACATTCACAGAGATCTGGTTGTGCACAATATCCATTAATACAAGGTTCATTACAGATGGGTTCACAAGTATTGTTCATCGATCTTGAATAACCTTCGTCGCAACCGCATACACCAGGCATATCACAGAAACCATTTAGGCAGCCACTTTCACAAATTGGATCACATAAGTAGTAAGATGGTTCGAGAGTCTTATCTTCAGATTTACTATAGCCAGGAAAACATACACAAGTATCAGGTGCTACACATACACCATGCTGGCAGTCTCCTTCACAAAATGGGTCACATGAGTAGTTAGATACTTTTATATAACCTTCGGTACATTCACAGAGATCTGGTTGTGCACAATATCCATTAATACAAGGTTCATTACAGATGGGTTCACAAGTATTGTTCATCGATCTTGAATAACCTTCGTCGCAACCGCATACACCAGGCATATCACAGAAACCATTTAGGCAGCCACTTTCACAAATTGGATCACATAAGTAGTAAGATGGTTCGAGAGTTTTATCTTCAGATTTACTATAGCCAGGAAAACATACACAAGTATCAGGTGCTACACATACACCATGCTGGCAGTCTCCTTCACAAAATGGGTCACATGAGTAGTTAGATACTTTTATATAACCTTCGGTACATTCACAGAGATCTGGTTGTGCACAATATCCATTAATACAAGGTTCATTACAGATGGGTTCGCAGGTGTTGTTTACTGATTTTGAGTAACCCTCGTTGCATTTGCATACACCAGGCGTATCGCAGAAACCATTTAGGCAACCATTTTCACAAATTGGATCACATGAGTACTTATTTGCCTTTGAATAATCTTTGTAGCATTCGCAGAGATCCGGTTGTGCACAATATCCATTAATACAAGGTTCATTACAGATGGGTTCGCAGGTGTTGTTTACTGATTTTGAATATCCTTCATTGCATTCGCATACATCAGGTTTTGCACAATATCCGTTTATACAACCATTAGCGCAATGTGGAGAACAAGTATTATCTAGTAATTTGTGAAATCCATTGTTGCACTCACATGTTTCAGGGGAATGGCAATAACCATTAACACAGCTCTTGGTACATACAGGCCTACATACATTTTCAGTTTCCTTTTCGTATCCCTTATTGCATTCACATTTACCGGGAGCAGCACACACTCCATTAATGCACTCATCCACGCAGAATGGTTCACATTGTTTACTCTTGGATTTTACATAACCGCGTTTACATTCGCATTGATCTGGACTACGACAAATACCATTTTCGCAACCATTGCTGCATATGGGTGTACATATGCCACTATCATTCATTTTATATCCACTGTCGCAAGTACAAATATTAGGCGCGGAACAGTAACCATGGTCACATTTTATTTTACAAATGGGATCACAAAGATTCGTGGTGATATTGAGTGAGTAACCTTCGTGACATGCACACGTTTTTGGTGATGCACAATATCCATTTTTGCAATCATTGTCGCATTTTGGCTGACACTGGCCTTCCGCATTCAATTCGTAGTTCGAATAACAAACGCATTTACCTGGAGCATTGCAATATCCATGATCACAAGTACCACAGTCTGGCACACAACTGTACGGGAATAAATAATTAAAAATCCATATATTCATTCGAAATAAAACAAAGTATATGCCCACCCCAAAGTGACGTCACGCTTGTATCCTTTCTTGCACTCACACTTATTAGGCCCCACGCAAATCGCATTTTTACATAATTGCGAACAAATTGGTACACATTTTGACTTTACTCTTCTATAACCAGGACAGCAAAACTGTATTGTTTAAAGTATAAGTTTTTCATATACGTACATATAATCATTTCCTAACTGCGTGCTTACTTACGATTCTTCTACCGTTCGCATCCCTAGGCGGAACTTCTTTAATTACTCCATTTATTTTATAGCAAAATTTAGCACCAACAGCGCTCATCAATAAAGAGAAAGTTATAACACCAACCAAATGCATTTCTACACGTCTGTTCCTCAACGTCCAATTGGCATTAGAGTTTAAATTAAACTGTCGCCGATTACTCTACATTTGTAAAATCATTGCCTGGCAAAAAATTATTACTTAGGCATACACATATCGATATGTTTATACAGGGTGCCTCTCACCAAGTAACTTGAATTTAAGTCAACTTAATTAACGGAAAACATTTAACCAGACGAAAGGATCCATTTTCAATATAAATTGAATGAAAAGGTGCCTAATCTGATCGCTGGAATCACTCAGTCAAAATTTTGTAACATTAAAAAAAATTTCCATCAAACAACTCAAGTCATAGCATATATCAAATATCAAATTTCACTTCATTAAACATTTCCTAAAATCGGTGCCTAATTTATTAATGTGCTAAGTATCGTTAGGAAACACTCTGTATATTGAAATATACATAATATACACAATGAGTTATTTTTGCGATTGTTATACTTTAAAATATATATATGTGTTATAGTTTCAAAGTTACATATACATCCGCTCTCGATATATAACTTTGAAGCCTTATCATGTTATTCATATATGCAAATGGTTGAGTGGTGCTGGCATTTGCGACCGACTCAAAAGAGCTGCAAGGCGCTTTGTTTTCATATATAAAAAATTAATAAACTAGGTGACATATATGTATATATATATATACATTGCACATAAGTACAACGAAGATGCCCTGAATGTTATTACACTTCGTTAGGTATATTAACTTTATTAAAGTAGCGTTCCTCTATGCACTTTCAATATACCATATATAATATAGATTGAACTGTTTTTAGTTTTCTGGATTTAATCCAGTACAATATATTTCAAATTCTCTTCCTTATAAGTAATTATGCTGAAGCACATAAACTGAGACTTTAACACCATTTTAGAAGCATCATCCCATCTTAAAACAGAAGGACTAATACTTCGGTTTCAACGAACTAAGTCGTTTGATTTGTTATCCTAATACATTAATCATTATAAGTAAGATATTTCATTATAAGTATCTAGACTAATGTCGACTATTATAAGTGCCCCCCATATCAATACTACTAATTCGTTCAAGTAGTCTAGGTGCAATTTCAATAATAAGAAGAAAAAAAATAAAATAATAGTAAATAAATAATTATCAAACTTAGCAAGAGAAAACTGAGGTTGCTGGCTGATGAACTGAAGAAACGCTTTTGTCTGCGCTACCATCTTTATAAGGCAGAATTCTCTTCTAAGAAGTAATGTAAATTATGAAGATTATGAAATATAGCTGTAGAAATATACTTCCATTCTATTGAATAAGACTCCGTGTTATATTCCGTGTATTTAGAGGACAATTCTGGCAAAGATCGTTAAAAGACTTGCTTAAGATCTTTGTAAGACCCACCCTAAAATCGTTTGTAAGATTTTAGCTATTCTGTCACAAAAGTGACGGAAGTGACAGATTTTTATCATTTGTAATTCGTGGTAGAAAGCTGTTTTGTTCTCTTACTTTTGTGATGAAACCAAAAAACAGTTGTTAATCGCTATCGCATGCAAGCAAATAATTCAATTTTAAAACAAAAGTGATGGAATGCCGCAAAATGTATGTTCCATTATTATTACATTATTATTATTATGCTATTAATGCATATAACATAATAGTGGAAAGACTCGACTAGTACCTATTATCCCTGGCACGCAGGTACATAAACCGTTGACACATTTATCACTCCCCCCCCCCCCCCTAATTTCCTACATGCCGAAGAACTTAATTTTGAGATTCTATAAGTTCTATTTTACCGGCCTACCCAATTCCTTGCTCTCTATTTCGACGAGAAATAGATAATAGATAATCCTGCTGTATAATCGCGGATATCATAACCATCCTCATAGAGCGCAACGTTAGTGGTCGCTCCTCCAAGGTAGCTCCCTAGGCAATTTTCTATCTTCTCTAACTTTAACTCTCTAGCGTCCTCACTCATAACTTAGATAAATTTGTAACCACAAATATTAAGCTCCTATTACCGTCAACAGAACTTTACTGAGAGCTTCTATTTCAATTATATTCTATTATATTCTAATTAAGTAATAGATCAATATATTTAAACCATAGGGCAAGAATCGAGTTTATTGTTAGCTAACATACAATGTTCAATTGTATACCTTTTTTACACATCACACGTTCCTTAAAATGTATCTTAAGTATAAACATTTATTGTATCTTCTTTATATACCGTTATAAATTATACAAATTCTTGACACCAATTACCGATTGGTAGGTATGTCCAACCCAGCTATATATATAAGTGTCATGTAAAGAGATTATCTACAAATTTCTCATGTCGGCGAGGATTAGGTTTTGTAACAACAGAATAATAATAAGATAATATTATATATAATATTTTATAATATCTTATTATATAATATTTATAATATATATAATACTATGTGCGGATATGTCGGTATATCTATCTGTAACTATTTTTTATTTCGGTTTTATTTTATATTCAGAATATATGAGCAGTTTTAAGTCAGCAGAAGTATACACTTATAAAATTTGTGTATATTCCCTATAGAGTACTATACATCCAAAGTTTAGCGTTTTATTGCTCAGAATGTTGTCCTTTAAGTTAAAGAAATGTGTTCCTTTTAAATCTCGTAAAGACTTTTCAAGATAATATCAAACTCAAAACAGGATCATTTATGATATTTTGTATATACTTTCATATATAAAAATTTAATTTTATATATAACGACGTTGTATTAACCGTTAATTAGGTATCAGGGAACATTGATCACTTCAGATATAATTTTGAACTTTTATACGTATAAAATTTAGCTGTTAGTGTTTGTAAGTGAATACTAGTAGATTTATATTAGTAAGCAAGGTAATTATACTGTTCAAAAGTGGGAAGAATCTAATATATAGGTTTCACCCTAAACTTACAAAATACATGTTAATTTAGAAAATGAGAAAGGGGAGCTATATCATATATATATACACATGTACACATATATATGTAAATATTTCTTGCTATTAAATAATGTAATAAAATTAAATAATATTTTACAATAATATATATTAAAATACAACTTAAATAATTATTCACTTTTTATCTAACATTATAGTATATTTAATATAAATCCCTAAGTTTTTTAGAAAACAACTTGCGCCAGTTATATGCAATTCAAATCATTATATTCAAAGTCAAGGTTTCCTGACTAATAGTCAAGGCAACAAAGATACGAGCTTCATTTCATTAAATATTTATATATATTATAAATTTTTTACACTATATCTTGACCTCAAATAAAATGAAGATAAAGGGACTGTATCAAAAAAGTTTATATGTTTTGCGGTTCATAATTTCTGTTCATTGTGAAATATCAAGTCTTTAATATTTACATTTAGGGGAACATTCAGCGATTCTATAGTGAATTAATATTTATTTATATCATCTTTGTTTGAATTTTTTAATGGTTGAGTAACTTGGGAAGTATAATATATGGGTACACAATAGTCCCTCTTGTAGCGTCTCTTCACCGGCTAAACTTCAATATGACTAACCTGTGTTTGCAATTTATGGAATGCGCGCCTAATAGGAACACAGTGTGATCAAATTAAAATTAGATAATCACAGTTTTTCTGGTATTTTCTGAACCAGTATAAATATGTATATATATAAATATGTTAATTGGAAAAAATTTGAATTTTAAACACAAAATAAAAAAAATCATAAAAAAATCTTCAGACTTTCAATAATCATAGAGTTTCACCTATTTAAAAATGATACCTAATTAGTATATCTCATGATAAGTCGTCTGTACTAATTGCGAGAACCTAACCATTTATATAAATTCTCTGTAAATACATATTTTTCTGAATTAAAATATGTGCCACACCTGTTAACGCTGATAGCAACCCTATCATCAGGCCAAAATGCGAATGAACCATTCTGAAACGGACTATGATTTGGAACTTAAAATGTCAAAACGCTTTGATTTGCATTAAAATTATCTAAAGTAACAAAAATACTTGAAAATTACTAGTTACATTAAATGGGTGTGTGCGAAGTCAGATAAAATACCTGTCATCAAATTAAAATTCCGAAAGGACCCATTATTCACAACCTTCTGACTGTATTGGTCAGGATTGCCAAATGAAGGATTGCATTTTAAAATGGCAGGGCAATACTTTTTAGTTCCAACATTATTTTGTGATTGAGTTGTCAATTATAAATTTGGACACAAACGCGTAATGACAAAAAAATTGAACTGTGCTATGTCACAGGCACTCTTTCTGACCTAAATGAGCTAAAAATTTTGTACATGTCTATTCGGTATTGGTATCATTTATGCATTTATTTTCCTGTTTAGTGAGTGGGCTAAAATCACCCCAATTTCTGATGGTTAGCCATCTTAGGATCACCGTTCAAAACTCGGTCGTTCAGAACTCGAAGCCCAAATGTCTGTTTTTTGTTGTTGTTTAGTCTTTTGAGTATAGCTTTCCGCCTGTGTGTTCTCAGTTGCCATCCTTACTGTTGTGTTACTGCATCTGCTATTATTGGAGACACCCTTCTTGGTTATGTGAATTGTGGTAGTGCTTTACGTGTCTCTTCCAAATGTTTAAAGCACCACATGGTTTGTGTTAAAATTGTTTTTACCGTATTTTGATTACTTGAACGTATGTCATATATTATGCATATACAAGGTGGGTAGTAGAACGAGTTCTTCTCTGATGCGATTACAGTGCAAGAATTTATAGTGTGTATTGTACGATGTAGGGAGTATTTGCCAGCTAAAAATTTTGCAAATATTCTAGTAAGTATCCGTAGCCGTCAAGTATCTGAGCCATATGGTAGCTCAAATCATCATAATTTTTTATCAAGCTTTCTTCATCCTATTCTATGAGGAATCAGCGCTTTGAAGACGAGTGAAATAGTACTTTTAGTCACTTTCCTATCCTATAATGAGATGAATATGCTATTAAGTATTTCTATTTTGATTTTAAATTACTAATTTTTGTTTATGACTGCTACTGTATTTATATATGAATAATGACTAGTCATCAGAAAAG